AAAAAACCTTCGGGTTAGATTGTTGTTTTTTTGTTCATTATGCAAGATGCGCCCTTTTTATTAAACAAAATGTGACACGCCCCCAAAGGGGACCAAAAAGTTTATGATTTTACAAGTAAACATTTGTCCACCTTCGTTCACTTGACTGGATTGGAAAACAACTCACCATGATTGCCCGTTACAGCTAGATTTCTGTAACATCATTTGCCCCCATTTGTATAAAATGTGGCCCCACCCCAAAAGAGGCACAATTCTTGATTTTTTTTTATTCTCGTAATAAAGCACTTGGGTGAGATAATGCACTTGGGTGTCCTAATGCCAACAAGAAAAGTGAAATTATCTGAATGTTGTTTTTTTTGCGCGTGAAGCCCCCACTTTTTAATATCACGGCCCCACCCATACAAGGGTAAGAAAAAAATGGCATCAAGTGGTTTTGAACTTGTTGAGGTATATGTATATATGTGGTGTTCCCTAACGCGGCGTACTTCCCCCGACAATCCTCATGCAGTTCTGCCAAACCTCCTTGTTAAAAAACTTCAAATTCATTTAGTTAAATACTGGTACAGGCTACTATAGGTTTTCCCGGACACTTTTGAAAAAAAAACATGGTTGGTCCCAAGTTTATCCGCATTTTTTTGTTCCCTGGGGCTTTGCCCTTTTGGGACCCTATTTGGGGACAGAAATGAGTTTGGCACTCAGACTTATTCTTATTATACAATTTCTTTGTAATTAAAAAACAGCATGGGACCACAAGCTTTAATTTGAGTGGTAGATAATCTTTCTGTCTTAAAAATGGGACTCGCTACATGGCTATTTATTCTTACCCTACCCCTAAATCACTCAAATCGGCTGTATAGTGGGTGGCATAGCAAACGTATTATGCATTTTATGACAACAGTGCCAAGACTGGTACAGAGATAGACCAATATCATATCAACAAATGTGGATATTGGAGCATCGCAGATCTGGCCCTTTATTTGACGGCCGTGGGAGCCATCATTTAAAAAGTGCTGAGTCATGCTGAGTCACCACTATTTTAATGCATTTTTTTTCGTTAAGTATATGGAGTCCAAAATATTTTTCTGCCTTTTTTCTACATGCTTGGATGCGAAACAGGCATAAACAATGGATTTTATTTCAATACCTACTGTCAGGCTTGCAAGAACTGTACTACTGTAATGCATACAGATAAACATGTACACAAAGTAAATTTACTTGGCAAGTCAAGTTCTGACTCGTACTGAGTGCTGAGTCAGCACGTTTTAAATACAATTCTGTTGCCAGATTACCCCATGTATGTCACTTTTGTAAACTTTAACAAAAAGGAATCTGAATACAGGCATAAGGGCAAAATGGCGATTTCTTATTAACATGGAAGACAAGGGACAAGCAAGTTAACAGTTGGGGTTAACAGTTGGGGGCCACATTTTGTAATATACATGTACGTGTATATCATATGCACATTTTTGTCTATTATGTGCATTTCCGGGGTTAAGGATGGTACATAAGCAATGTTACGGGTAACACCATTTCGGAAAAAAGTGCACATTATTTTAGGCACATCTGGTAAAAAAATATACGCACCAAATTATGCGCGGGGGGGGGGGGGGGGGGGCGGGCGACGCACCCTGCCCAAAAATTATCAGATCGCCACCCATGGATGCAAATTCCATATGTTGTTAATAAACAGGTCAAACAGGTCCAACTGTTAACAGAACAGATCTGCAATGCTCCAATATATTTGTTGATATGATATTGGTCTATCGCTGTGCCACATTATTTTGGCACTGTCAGAAAATGCACAATAGGTTGCTATACCACCCACTCATGATACAGCCGATTTGAGTGATTTAGGGGTAGGTTAAACAAAATGGACATAGCAAGCCCAATTTTCAAGACAAGACTACTCAAATTAAAGCTTGTCTCAGGCAGTTTTGTATTTACAAAGAAAGAGTGTATCTTAAAAATAAGTGTAAGTTTCAAACTCATGTCTGTCCCCAATTGGGGCAAAGTTACAGGATTTGGGGGTGTCCGCGAAGCAATATACCCCCAGGGAATGCGGATTAGCTTGGGACCAACCATATTTTTGTTGTTTACCTACGCTATTAGAAAAGTAAAAAGTTGCAACAGGTCACGATTGGACCATTTTTGGGAGAGCAGTGGCCCAAAATATGATTTTAGCTGTTTTTCAAAAGAATAAACCCCCAAAATAAAAGGTTTTTTTTTTAGCTGGAAGGCAAAAAGACCGGCTGTGCAACTTCATTAGGAGCAGCATTTTCGGATGTCCCAAGTTATCCTACAACAGAAAATGATATTCAGATTAATCATAAAATGTTGTGGTTAAATGGCCTTATCCCAGGGACTAATACTTCTTTTACAAATTCATGTACACATTTTCCAAAATTGTCCGGCAATACCTATGAGCTCCGTGCGCTACCAAAAGAGGGCGCCCTTTTACCTAGCAACGACGTCCCATGGGCGGTACATTTCGCGCACTGTTCCTTGTGTGTGACGCGCGTACACTAGGGGATTTGTTCTACACGCCGTGGCCGCGCACCCCCAACTGTACTTCCTTTGCCGGTGAGGGGGTACTTGTGAACGGAGCGGATATTACCTTAAAATGCTTGCGGTTGAATCCTTTTAGTCCGAAATTCAAAAGCGCTGGCGTCCGGAAATTGGGCATAAACTCGGCCGAGGGCTCCCGAACGTGGCTCACTTGAACAAATCCCGGAAAATCCCACGCTAACATTTAAGAATATCTTTAAAGTTAATAAATTCTGCCTAATCATTATTCTCCACTCACATACCCAACTACAAGCTTGTCAGAAAATTGTTTTCGTTTTTTTGGACTCATTTCAAAGGGGTTCATTGTGCACCTCGAAATAGAATTGGCAATCACGCCAATGTAGAATTTTTCTAGAACTTTGTAGCGGGTACGTTAACTCAAGATTTACCAACGGGGATGTTTAGAGCTTGATTAAATTTCACTTACTGTGAAATTTGAGTTAAAATATTGCTCTAACAAGAAACTAGAGGCGAAAAATCAATGTGCGCCACGTATAGGGGCCGCGTCACGTTATGGTACATTAACACTATCCATAATTATAGTGATCCTGATAGTTTCACAGATTGTACCCAAAATGTATGGGCCCCACAAGCCTATATGTCTGTTTATGGTGTGAATCGAGGAATTTCTATTGTTCCTTATCATCGATCTTTTGTTTATACACTAACTTTGTTGGCAACAGCCCCCAATGGTTTTGTACACGTTTTCTAATCGAGGTCGTCCTCGATTTGACTCCTGCATGTCCTCAATTACTCGATGACACGTGTGTCCTCGATTTACACCATAAACAGACATACTTAAATTGTATGCGTGTCTGTACGTATAAACACATAATGAAGACCCTTTTGTTATAAACCTTTAGGCTGAGCAGTCCATTATACTATTATGGAGCATTTATTACCATTTCATCTGGTGAATGCTGAACAGTGAAAGAAAGCATGTTTTTACTCCAAATTAAATTCTTTTGGTGTTTGTAAACTCAGTTTTAGTTTTTCTTACATACGATCCAACTATTTTGGGCAATTCCACGAAAAGTGGACACGGCTGGAAAGTGGAAACCGTATGAAATCTTCCAAACTACAAGCATCACAACATCAAACGTGGTGTCAAATTAAGGGGACAACACGATCTTTCATTTGAGTGGTGTGCCAATGAGATGGAATATAGTAAAGTGTGAATTGGGTCCAGAAACCTGTTTTTTGGGGCTTAAATCATGGATTTTTTTGTATTCATTTTGGCACCTTGTTTTGACATACAAAAAGTGACTGTTGTTGAGAGTTTTGTGTTTAAGGCAGAGAGAAAGGTTCATATATTATAAGAACAGAGTTTCATTATGTTGCAGTTCATGAAACTCAGATTTTATGCCATGTTAGAAACCATGAAGAGGAAGTAATGTGAGTGACATAACGTGAGTGACGGTACCTCCCTGTACTCTAATGTCCCTTGCATCTAAAAAACACACTTATTTGATTCAAAATGGGTTTTTATATAGCTATGGGTTGAATAAAAGATAAAAAAATGTTACTTATGTGTTGCATACTACAGTTCGAGGAGACAACAAAATTGCAGGACAATTGTCCATGTCCTTTTTTTGAGTGACGACAAACAAAACACATATTTTCAAAAAGTGAATGAATGGATTGAATTTTTCTTTCCATTTGAGTACCCCTTTACCCAAGGTTGTTGTATGGCTGGTTTGATTCAGCTTGATCAAATACTTGTAAAGCAGTGAGGGGTCAAAGTAGCCTCATGGCAGTGTAATGTGAGTGACGGTGGAATTGCCCTTTTACAACTTAATTGCTATTTTGGCAGACCACGTACATTTATACCTGGCTTTATCACAGGAATATCACATTGGGCATTCTTAGACTGAGGTTCAGTTTCGGTGTAATTTCTAAGCAAATATCACGGAAACTATACATCTCGAACATCTGAATGTTCCTGTTTTAAGTATCCAAAGTAATACGTATAATGTGGTTCCAAAACAAAAGTTAAGAAAGAGTTACTGCGTATATTTAAAAGCCAAAAAAGGCAATCTATATCTTGGCCTTATTAATGAGAATCGAGCATTCAGTAAGATGTACGATTTTGAAATTGTAATGACTGTAATAAAAGAACCATATCAACATCGTATGCCCGACTCTCAAAATTACGGAAGCTCAATCGTGCCAGTTAGGCCTCAATTAAATTTGATAATAGAGATTTGTGAAACCTTTTGTAACCAAGTGATTGAAATTTAAAGAATACGATTTTCGCATGTACAACTGTTTCTACAAAAGTGCATTTCACTTAACTCATGCACAGTTTCTATTCAGCTTTAATTTTGGTCACACTAAATAACGTTTTGAATGTCCCGATAGAGCGCCCTCGCTATAGGTTTTTGTTCCTCTTTGACACATGAGTCCACGGACCCTTTCAACAAACCCTGTCCACAATGAGGGCGCTTGGTGCAAACTCTATATACGGGGATATACTTGGTAAAGGGAGACCTTAAGATACATAAGGTTTTGTTGCAAACTGTGTGTCAAATATAAAAGAAATGTCAAGGTTTACGAATGTTTGCGGTCTATGAAGTCATCTTCCAGCCTATTCGACTACCCAGCGTCGTTAACAAGCGATCGCTTATACGTCACAATATTCCACATTCGCATTATAATTGATACCCTAATAGCGCGCATAGAAGTGGTCATATTTTTCCTTCACTAAAAACAAAATCAACGGACGGGTACAAATTATGGCAGGATATTAAAATCTTTCAAAACTGCCCTTTTGAAACTGCATAAAGTAACCAAACAACGGAGTCTTTGGAAGGGATTCGAACCACATACCTTCTGAAAACGAATCCTTCCCACTAACCACTATACCGCGCGATAGCCACTTGGCCTGCCTTTGTTTGTGATCTTTGGGCCCAATTAAAACAGGTAAATAACGTGGCATTTTTGACATAAGAGCCTCGCTTATTGACGACGGTGGGTAGTCGGATCGGTGCTTCTTCACTCTATTCCAAATGAACTCAGAGGCACAACAGCTATGCTGCAGTATTTCATTTGTGATTTGTATCATAGGTGTTCAGCATGCATGGGTTCTGGAGTACGACGATTGCTATCTTGATCATCTATGGAACTATTGCCCCAGCCTTTTGCAACCCGGTACAGTATTGTTACATTTTCCCCCTTAAAATGAAAGGTTAGTAGCCCACAAGAAGCCAATGTGACGTGGGATAGGGAAGTTGTCATTCATATGCATCAGAAATATAATACCCATATGAATATTTGTTCAAACAAAACCCTCATCTCTACATTGCTGAAAATGGTAAATGAGAAGATTCACTTAACACGTATAGGCAGGCCCGGATTAAGTGTTTCGTAGGCCCTAGGCACCAGTGTTCGCTCTAGACACCGGCACCGAATTCATGTTGATGTATTAAAGTACAAGCACTGTACAAATCAAGCCAGGGCAAACTGGTGAAGGCCCTAGTTCTAAAAGCCTGTTGGCACCAAGGGCGTCAATAATCGCTTCTTAAACGTGGGGGTTATTACATACATACATATCTTGATCAGAACTAATGCGAGTGCGAAGCCCAGATGGCGTGGGTTTCGAGGCCTGCGCTTAAGGAGGCCGGAAAAAATGGATTCTTGACGATCTATGGCGCGATCTGAGGCACTTTCTGACCACTTTAAGCAAAGCAAAAGATCATCATTTTCCAGTTTGGAGTCCTTAAATCAGCTATTCTGAGTTATAGAATCAGATATAGGCCATATTTTATTTTATTCGGGGACGAAAATAATTGGGGGAACGACATTCCCCCATCCCCCATCGATCGACGCCCACGGTTGGCACCGTGCTTCAGAACGACAGACTTTACACATAAAGTTTATACGTAGGGCTACATGACATTGTGTGCCTAGCGTCAGCGTCAGTTGGTGAATCGAAGATTCTGAGAGAGATCCTAAAGCTTTAAAAAAATCTCTGCGTGTGGGTACCCTATTTATGTATTTTCGACCGTAGGCCCCCGAATTTTCGTAGGCCCTATAGGCACAGTGCCTACTGTGCCTATTGGATAATCCGGGCCTGCATATTATAGGCGGGGGGGGGGGGGGCTACTACCTGTTTTATAAACTGTATATACCTTTACATCGTACAAATGGGATAAGGTTGAAAATGACTTGGTCCAGAGGAAATGGCCGCTGAGAGCATGATATCAATCATCTGCAGCATTTGAATATTCCATTATTTACACGATGATCACCCGATTTTCCCCTTTTCGCCCTCTCATGTAGCAATATGGAGAGCCCCCGGGGGCTATCATTCACAAGTCGCAGGACAGGTAGGTTCACCACAATGACTACATTACCGTCTAATCAGCGAAATGTTTTGAAGAGTTTTGATGCAAGTGTAGATACATCCATTTCATAAGAATTGCGATAAAATCACCTTAGAATAGACATATAATTCACAAAACTGGATTTCTTATTAAACTATATTTTGATGAACGGCTGAAAAAAAATGAATTTCAATTTAAACTGAATTCGATTGACTAAGTTTAAATATGGTTGTAATGGTTTTGGATCGGAACCGTTCGTATACTATTATCTAATGGGTATGTATTTCCAATTTAGGTAAGGATGGTTTTGCTGACGAACCCAAAGTGTTGTCCCACAATGATTCTTTTATATAAAATTTGATATGCATAAAATTGTTACCAAAAAATCGTGGGACAGCTGACAGTTTTCATACTTGCAGCCGAAAGTGGATTACGATATTAGTAAGCCCAGTTATCCATTCACATCCGACGCCCACTGATTTCTTTTTTAACTGGAGCCTCTGTCAAAAGTGAACGTATTTACTATTTGTATTTTATCCACTGGCTTTGATGTATTTACTTGTACTCCTCCTCCTCCTCCTCCTCATCCTTGTCGTCGTCGTCGTCGTCGTCGTCGTCGTCGTGTAGCCAAATGTTGATCCCCTCTGGGGATATTTTTCACAAGTCGCAGGACAGGTAGGTTCACCACAATTACTACATTACAGTCTAATCAGCGAAATGTTTTGAAGAGTTTTGATGCAAGTGTAGATACATGTACATCCATTTCATAAGAATTGCGGTAAAATCACCTTTCAATAGACATTATAATCACCATTTAAATAGACAGCCTATAATTCACAAAACTGGATTCCCATTAACCATATTTGCTTGGTGGGATGCCGTCTTGAAGTATGAGGGTGTGTTACAACTCTTACAATTCCTTTAGCGGATAGTCCACCGAAACGATGAACAGGAATTGGGCAATGACATCTCCTTGCAGAACGCCGGTGGTGACATGGAAGGCTTCATTGACTGTCACAGTGAAATGGGAATCCACGTAGAGGATCTTAATGGCGTTCAGCATCTTCTTAGGAATCCCATAGCTTCGTAGGATGGTAAACATGACTGTTTGGTTGATTGAATCAGATGCCTGCCTGGAGTCGATACATGTGACATCGAGGGGAAGTTGATGTCATGGAAACCCTCCACGATCCTTCTTAGAATGTGTATCTGTTGGGTACAGCTTCTTCATTTTCGGAAACCAGCTTGGGTGCTTCCTCTAGGAACGGATCGATTTGGTCTCGGATTCTGTTTAGAAGAATCTCGGCGGAGATGGAAATGAGACTGTTTTCCCTGTCATCAAAGAGGATTGGGCAGAGGTACAATAATGCAAATGTTTGTGGTCCATTCTTTTTGGCGGCTGTAATGTTGTACATACCTCGACACAGAAGTTATGGATAACTTCGGCCATTGGTATGCAACCCCCTTGTAGTTCTCCCACAGTGATAGCACAGTGTAGACCAACGGCTCGGTTCTTCATCACAACGATGGCTTTCTGTGTCTCCCTCCATATGCAGTGATGGTTCATATGACACTGTATTGAGCTTCAAACCTATTTGAAAGTTTGATCTGGAACTGCTCCTTTACAGTTTGGTCCTGAAGTTTTCCCCAGTTGAATTTCGCACGTTGCAAGGCTCTCGTTTAGATGATCTAAGACTGGATACCAGCCGGATGCTGACTACTAGGTGGTTCGAGTCCAGCTCCACTGATTTGTCTGCCCGGCAGCTTCGCACTGACTTTAACCAATTTACTACCGATGAGAATGTGGTCAAGTCGATGCTTTAATCAAGGTGGGTGCATCCATGTCCAAAAACGGGACCTTGGCTGAAGAAAATATCATCTGGGTGGGGCTCGGCTTATGTTCCTCACACAATGTTACTAGTCTCTCGCGGCGCCGTTGTCATTCGAGATTCTTAGAAGCAGTACTGACCAATGACGTGGGTCATTGTTGTGCTTCTTGTCTTGTTCGATATTTCGGGGTCATTAATAGCGTTAATAATGCAAAATAATTGATGTTAATATTGGGGCTTATTCATAACTCTATGGGCTTGCTTAACCGTATTGATAGTTGGCATAAGTCAGGAATGTTGTAGCTGATTGACATGAAATTTGATGACTTTTCCTAACTTGTTATCCAAACTAAGTTTGTGGGTTGTCTATGGTTACCGTTAGTCTGAGCAACAGACGCTTACGTGCGCAGAGACACACTGCAAACGTCTGATTTATCCGCGCGCCAGCCAATTGAAGCCTCTCTTAGAAGTTGTGACGTCAGTTAGAGCAGAAATTTGGCAACAATTATTCAATGGTCAAAGCGTGCATTTTTTTTGTAATACAACATAGGGTTACCGAATATACGATAGAAGGCGCCCTTTGAATAGTCAAAATGAAGAGGGCAAGTTGTTTTGCATCATCAGACGCATATCAGACGCTTGCTGCGCATGCGGCTAATCCATATATAGACTAGGATCCCGTGCAAACAGGTTTAAAAATGAGTAATTGTACATTATGTTTGGAATCATGCATTTTTTAAACATCTTTTCTGTTTAAAGCCTTATTAGATATTCACTTGAGATGTATAAACAATATGGCCACAATTTCAACGAAAAGCTCTATTTGAAGCATAAACGAAAAGCTTTTTTTTTTTAAAGCATAGGTCTATCTGTACCTGTTGTCAATTTTAGGGTGCAATGACACAGATACTCTTCGTTCCAAGAAATATATTTTGGGTGAAATTATCAAAAATCGCACCTGAGATTTCTGACCATAATATGAACGCACAATTAAGGCGCATCAAACGTGCAAAGGACGTTCGCATGAACTGCGTTAAATAAAAGTGTGATGAAAGTGCGCGTTTCATAACATGGCGATTGAATGACGCAGCGTTTTGAAACCCTTTTATGCATATATTTTAGTGCTTTGGTCCTTTGCACGTTTCGGTTTGAAAAAACATTGACGTAATACGCGGGTCCTTGAATGTGTTCCTTTTTCCCAATGATAAAGCACAGGACATGAATGTTTTTTTTCTTGTTATATGTTTTAGGACGGGCAGATAGATGCTGAGGAGCTCCAGAGAGCCTTGACGAGTTCTGGTATAGCGGGATCCTATCGGTGTAAGTATACACCATCAACGGCAGGGAGGCCAAAGGGGGACACCCCCCCCCAAAAAAAAAATAGCCCATCGTGCTTTTTAAAAGCGTGCACAGTCAACCTTAGGCCAAAAAAAGTCTCCGGTTTCTGGTATGGAGCTTGCCCAAGAAGTGGTGCGGCGACGCAGCTTTTTGTTTTACCGTTTTTTTATTTCAAATGTCGGCTGATGACTGCAAAAATTGCCCGACTAAACTATGTGCAAATATATGGGAGTCAAGAGAGGCCACATAAAGCTTATTCTCGATCGTAAGCCCATCTAAAAACACGTTTAAATTGTTCAGCAGCAGGATTCCAGTCAAACCAGTGAGTTTGGCGGTTTTGAGATATCATCTTTCATTGAAAAAAAAAATCGTTTTCATTTTGCCGACGCGCATGGCTACGGCGACGCGCGCGCACACCAGAAACCGGAGACATTTTTTTGGCCTTACCCGAGAAAATAAAAAGGTTTTAGCATTTTTTACCATCTTCCTGCATGCTAAATTTCGATATTTCTGGGGATACAAGTGTATTATTTTTTGAAGAAGAGTTTGTTTATTGATTGGCAGTGAGTATGATGACGTAATGTTCTTTTATTCTTTACAGTTTTTAGCAAGGCTGTCTGTGAACTGCTCATTCTGTCGCTGGATGTATCCTTTATTTCCTTCAGTTGCTCAGCTCAATAGATATACACATTTCGAGAAAACCGTGAAAATGCATCACGGACCCCGAAAATTGTACATATATTTTCTCTGTTTTCTCAAAATGTATAGTATCCACTGAGCTAAATCTTCAAGTTATGCACTCTTCTTGGGCAATTTTGATGCATCAAACGAAAACTAAAATGCACTATATAAAAGCAAATGTTGCCATTACCTTTATAAAGCTCTGTGGGTAGGCCTACTTTAAAAAATGGGTTTAAAGCAAGCTCACAAAAACGTTGTTTTCATCAAAGCATCACCAAGACCAGGACATTATTTTGATATGGAGTGTAATAATGTCAAGTCTTCAACCAGAAATGAATGGCCTCAAGCCAAGTGACAACCTGTCAAAATAAACCCCCGATAAATGCATTCATTTCTCATTCGTTATCCCACGTTACTTGTGTTTTGACTGGTGATTAACCTGCCGTGGACGTTGATGCATTTACCAATAATCCGTCTTTTTACAAAGTAAATGTGTGCAGTGAATTATATACAGATGTTTGAAAGTAGGATGAAAAATGACACGTGGCTTTTGGATTTGATGACTTAACGCATGACGGACAGCGGGACCGTTCAGGTATGATGGGCTTCACGGAATTCAAGGAGCTGTGGGACGCCCTCAATCAATGGAAGGCTACATTTCTTAATTACGACAGAGATCGTAGTGGTACAGTGGAACCTCATGAGCTGCATGCAGCACTCATAGACTGGGGTAATTTGATGTATCTTAACAAAATCATTCATATTGTTAAGGTCTTATCAGAATGCTCTATTATGAAACCATTTGACATCGAAATAGGGATTTCATTGTTTAAAATTCGCCTTTCTTTACCTTTTCGAAACCGAATGTCTTCACTTAGAGTCATAAAGGCCAGGCAAGTTATATTCCTCTTTTTCGTATAAACAAAACGGGTAAAAAAATCCCTTTAAAAAAATTGTATCGAAACGCAAATGACTGGAATGCCATTCCAGGTGATATTGTTCGAAGTATCTCTAAGATTCTCCAACGGACAATCTTTACATTTTTTTGTAAACCTAGGTCTTCCTGATTTTTTTTTATTGTATCTGTTTTTAAATAGCACCCACTGCCCTTTATTATCCACTTGTTTTACATTTTAAATTATTTTGAAGATATATTTTCCATTTGATAATTCAATTAATTTCGTTATATATTCATTTAACTCTAGATCTCACGCAGCTTCATTCCTGTAAATTCAATCTTATGTATTTATTTATCGATTTTATATTACACCGCATAACCTTATTGAATAACTTCTACACATTTTACATCTTTTTATGCTTTATTTGATTCTTGTGTTGTAATTTTAACCATTATTTTCGTTGTCTGTTTTGTAGTCTTTATTGGTTTACTGTCTACATAACATCCCTGAATCTGTGTTTTAATTTTATGTATTATTTTCATTGGATTTTCACTTCTTTTATGTTTTACTGTTTTTATCCTTTTATTTGAACGTGGGATGTTGGACAAGGAGAGGAGATAGAGGCGCTGGCATTCTGATGATGACATTGATAATGGAGGCACTGTATGATCTGTTCCTCATTCACACCCTTTGACTTCTGCTTCGGTGTTCTTGTTTATTCCTATTTCTCCTCGATTATTGTGTTCTTTTTAGCTGACATTTTTTGTCTTTTGGGTGTTTTATCCTTTGTCAGGGTATAAGCTCAGCCCCCAGGCGCTTCAAGCAATTGTGCGCCGTTTCGCTGTGGGTGATGGTAAAATGGCCCTTGATGACTTCATTCACTTTGCGGTCCGCCTGCGAATGGCAACAGGTATAATATGCACACGTCATGTTCAGCTCGCAGCAGCACCATGGTTTATTATTTCGTACCTTCTTGTAGACACCCATTAATTCGGCAGGACTTCTTAAATTCCGAATTTACTCTTGAAATTCCGAAAAGAAACATTAAAAAACCGATGAGTTTAATATTGGGCTAAGATTTTTTTCCGTTTACAGTTCAGCTGAGCTGTCGCCGGTTATCCGATAAGCGAGGTTAAATGGTATTTATCAGTGAATGCCTATCAAGTAACTTTTTTTAGTAATTCAAGATCAAAGTGAACATGGTTAACATCCGCATTCTTCCGATCCCATCCAATCTCCGAAGCTTTCCCCCAAAACGTAGCCGTATATTTTGTTGCCATCGCTTTTCAATTGAATGTGAGAAATCAGAATATTTGTTCAAGTTTATTCCTTGATGAAAACCATTGATTTTGACATATCCTTCAACAGATCAGTTCAGGAGCAGAGATACTACTCAAACCGGGCATGCAACCTTTAAGTATGATGATGTGAGTGTTGAATTTGTTCAAATGTAAGGAGAGACTGGTAAGGGGTGGGTGGCTTAATAAGTTTGGATTGTCTTGCAAAAAAATAAGTCGCATGGATTTCCGAAGGTTGCCTAGTTGTATATTACATACAACTAGGCAACTAGGCAACTTTCGAGGTTCCGTTGTTGATCATTCTTCTCGTTTGTGCAGTCTGAGCATCACGGGCCAGTTTTGCTCATGAATATGGAAATTACATTAGCATAAAAACCAAATAAGTCACCAAATCACCTAGATAATTGCAAATCACGAGTTAAATGGGGACACAAAAGATGTAGTTTTAAGGACTGCACAAAATGTCTATTTCATGGGCCCATTTAGTCTTATTAACGGTGTTTTTGTCTTATTCTTTGCTCCAGTTCATCCAAATTGTGATGTCACTGTGATGTCTGGATCCGTCAAGATGTCTCCAGCAATGAGCTTTATGGAGTGGATGTCATTGTCATTGGAATTAGCAAAACTTGTATCGTACATTGAGATGACTATAATTATTACAAGAATATTGTTTGCTATATTATTTTGTACTAGAGGGTGAGTCAAAAAAGCGAAACCCAAATGTCGGGACTATTGTTTTAGTGAAGTTCTGCATGTAGCACTAGGATATGACAGTCCAATTTATAAGCTTTCTTTTAGTACAAGAATCAGTCATATCCCTCATGTACTTTTCAAGTTACGGAGTTTTAAACACAACCACCGTTTTAAAGTTCTGTCCACGGATCACCAAAAAATGTGGGTTCTTTCAAAACGAAAACAATTCACACACATCTCTATGTGATTTGTTTTCGTTTTGCTGGAAGAACACTTACCTTTTAGTGATCCTTGGACAGAACTTTCAAACGGTGTTTGTGTTTAAAATTCCGTAACTTAAAAAGTACATGAGTGATTTGAATGATTCTTGTACTAAAAGAAAGTTTATGAATTGGGTTTTCATATCCTAGACTTTGAAAGTGCTACATGCAGAACTTCACTAAAACAATGATCCCGACATTTGGGTTTCGGCTTTTTTTGTACTCACCCTGTATAAGGGGCCATATCGTTCTCTTCTCTGTGTTGGGCGATAACTGGTAAAAATCCGGCATATTTTGGTAAATCCGGCATAATCCGGTAATTTGGAATTTTTATTTCAATAATCGTTTTCTCTTAGTTAAAGCATACATATCGTTTACTATCATCACGGGCTTTAAAGCTTAGTTGTAGCGTATAAAATGTATATGATATTATTGTACGTCATTGAAATAATTTGCCGGCAACGAAACACTCAAGCCTATATAGATGTGAAATATGCGTTTTGACAGGAGGCTTTCAAAAGCGGGAATTTTACTCAATATAATTAAATTAATTTTACAAGGAAGACCAGTAAGTTGACGCAAAAATGTTGTGATTTTTTTTAAATGTCAGAACAGAAAGAGGTTCAAGTAATTCAACCTTTCCCGTGGAACCATTCTTTAAAATGTATCTTTTGGGATTTGATAGATTTCAGTATACATTTTATTTACACGTACACTTCATTTCCGGTTTGAATATTGATTTAGCTCAGACAGGATACATGTTTATCATTATGTGAAAAGAGCTTCTAAAAATATGGAAATAATAATGTACGTGCGTATAGGCCTATGTATAAATAACACTTAGCGTCTGGTTGATGACGTCACAGCATTTGGAAGCCCGAGCTCAATATTGTACCGGATATCATTATTTGAGCTACGAACAAAGTCATAAGACATAAATCAAAAGATGATTTTGAACTAAAACAAAAGAAAAGCAAACTGTTCGGTAACATCAAGGGCGCATCTACAACACACTGCCTCATAGACATTCTCCATACACTCCACGCAAATGCAGATACACCAAAATCAGCATCGTCTGTCCTTTTGAAAGATTTCTCCAAAGCGTTTGATCATATAGATCACACTATCGCCATCACTAAACTCTTGAGGTTGGGAGTTCCCCTTCACTGCATGGTTGCATGGGTAGCTGACTTTTTGTCTGACAGACAGCGTGCAGTATGGGCGGCCATTAGGGCAAAAAAGACAAAAAAACAAAATAAAACAAAACCACAAAATTAAACAAACAACACAAAAATAAACGAACAACTCAGAAATAAACGAACAACTCAGAAATAAACGAATATAATTCAGAAATAAACGAACAACTCAGAAATAAACGAATATAACTCATAAATAAATGAGCAACTCAGAAATAAACGAACAATTAAGAAATAAACAAACAATTCAGGAATAAACAAATATAACTCAGAAACAAACGAACAACTCACAAATAAACGAACAACTCACAAATAAACGAACAACTCAAAAATAAACGTACAACTCAGAAATAAACGAACAACTCAAAAATAAACGAACAACTCAGAAATAAACGAACAACTCAAAAATAAACCATCAACGCAGAAATAAACAATCAACTCAGAGTTAAACGATCAACTCAGGAATAAACGATCAACTCAGAAATAAACGATCAACTCAGAAATATACACGAACTCAGAAATAAACGAACAACTCAGAAATAAACGAAGAACTCAGAAATAAACGAACAACATCCCCAGGGTGTCGAGCAGCAGTACGCGCCCACCATGTACCATACATTACAGAAGTGCAGACGACATAATGTTTACCGCGGCATTCAAAATGGCGGACACCTTGAACCGCTTCACGCGATGAACACGTAGAAAAAACGGAGGGTAAAAACGTAGTGTTTTTTCGTCGACGACCTCCGAAGCCAGAAAGAAGTCTATGCGAAAGGTAAGCCTGGGATGCAGTTTAATTTTTATGATGAAAAACGTTGACTTTGTAAACGTTTACCATGGCATTCCGTCATGTCTAGTCTGTACGTCATGTGAACGGTATGCCAATGCCGGCCGGGTTTGGCCACATGTACTGGGCTGGGATGGCGCGGCGTGCCACTGCGCCATGCATGACTACGTTGGTCCATGGAGGAATTCCTCCATGGTTGGTCAGACAGGAAAGAATGGGAATTCCATACACGTACGCCACTAGTTTTTCCCTGCAATGACTATACTAGTAGTAGCCACCAGAAGCGGTAACATGTCCTAAAAAGTGATATTTACTGGGAAAATATTGAAATATTTAGTGAGAAAACATAATTTTTCAGACCAGTCTCATTATACTGGTTTGTAACACCATGGTAACAGGGTGTGAAGTAACCTCCATCTAGGAGGTAGACTATGGGATTCTTTCCCCGGACGGGTATGGTCTATGTGTCTTGTTTATTTTTTGAGCATTTTGCCGCTTTAAAGATCAAACGACTTCCGCGACTCTAAAATTTTATTCATAATTCTAATAAAAGAGACTTTTTACCCGTTATTTTTCAGTTCGAGTTGAATTTTTTTAGTATCTTTACGCAACAATTTTTACAAACGCAAAAGGCCCCTAGCCCCCTAGTACTAGTATTAATGTTGAGCGCGATCGGGTGATCGTGATGCTATCTGTCGATTGCGCTGCCACCAGTCGAACCGCTTCTCAAATACGCCATTGACATGGTTTAACTGTTTAGCCTGAAATACTCAGTGAACCCCAAATAAACTGTGAACTGCTGTGTGCATATTGCATTATTTTGGTGACCCACAAAAAATATCATGCATTGTGTGTTTGGAAGCAGAGAAAATGAAGAAAAAAATGAATTGGATTTACTTAAACAAAATCAGCAGTTTATTTCAGTTCTCTTTGGTTCCACTGGTTGCACAGGGTACAAGAGTAATGGTAGTAATCCGAACAGGATGTCAACATGATGATTAATTTGTAACTCTCAAATTTTGGTTGCAGGACGATTCTAGTAACATGGAAGGGAAGCCTGTGATGAAACAAGATCATTCCGAGAAGTAATCATGAAGCGGAAAGTACAACTTTAATATGCCTCATTTTCTCATTGGAGCAGACCATTGCAGCCTCATCAGCTGGTTGAGTCTGTTGCAGTAGCATGCGCGACCGTTCAACGGTAAATGGGAAAACAGTGACATTTTCTTGGAGAGAAGATACCCCTAACCTACAGGAAGCGTTCAAAAAGTGCGCTGCTATGCTACAATATTTGGCCCTCACTAAATGAAGTACATGTAGGCCTAGTTTTTTTTTCTGTGTAGCCTACATGTACATGTACATGTAGGCCCTACTTAAGTCTTTGTTGTCACTCTAAGTCTAATCCATGTCACATTTGCAGTTCTACATGTACATGTAAATTGTAACTGTACAACTTCTGCACACAGAAACTAAAAGAGGTGCTACATTTTTTTCTGCAGATATTTGTAAAAATTATTAAATTTAAATAGATACATGCAGTGCTAGATACATGTAAAGTAGCGGCCAAACTCAGATTTCTTCTTTTTGCCTAGTGAGGGCACTGTACCAGAAAGATGGTAACCAAGCTCTCCTTAGCAACATAGATTTAGCGTTGTAGAGTTTGCAACTTGTGTGTTAAATTCTTCGCCCAAAGCAATAATCGCTGAGGTTTATTAAACGGTTGGTACAGCAGTTTACTGTTAAACAATTTCTATAAATTATGTAGTGATAAGTGTGATATTTAGTACCGTTTTATAACCTATAAGTTGCATTTTCAACGCATTTGTTGGTTGCATAGTCACGGTATTGTGGAACCTGTTAAAAGCACATGTACTGCAGGTCGAGATTTATACAGGGTGTACCTAAACCCTTCTTGCATTTAGACATCAGTATTCTTTTAATCTGAAGTAAAATGCTTCCGTTTTCAGGTTATATTCAATTTTCATTGCACTGCTGGGAACACCGAAAGTAAAGATCAAGCGACTTTGTGCCCAGGAATCATATTGCTTGTAATGAGGCAATGTCTAACTGATCTGAAACAATGCCGGAGAACGGTTCTCCAATCACTTGAAAAGATATGGTTGAAAATAATTATTCAAATTTTGAAAGTATATCACTTGTAATATGATACATGATGACGTAATGGTTACATCACAAACTGTTCACATCTTCGGACCTGGGTTCAAATTCATATCAGGTTTGATCCTCATCCCATGAACCGTTTGGAAGAAATTTTGGTTTGTTTTGATTCGAGGCTCATGTTTTTATTTTGAATTCACCTAATTTTGACCTTCCGGTTGCCCCGGAAGAAAAAGTCAAACGACTTTACGTACACAACAAAACAAATATCAAGTAATTAGCTATCTAATGACAAATTACAAACCTTGTTGATTATTTTGTTCATTTTGTCACTGTTTCAACTAGAATCGCGTGCATACCCGATGACGTCATCATAACGTAGGAGTAATGTCCACACCTTTGGATCTGGGATGATGTTGGTTAAAACCCACATAGAATAATTGGTCGGAAAAATAGACGAAAAGAAAGAAACATTTTTTTCCAAACAATTCTATAACAATGATTGGGTCGTGCCCGATCACACAATAAATAAATAAATCGCGGTGTTGTAAAGACACCAGACTATTATGCATTCAGTTGTAACATCCAGAATTGTTTTGGGTGTGATTATAAGGACGAGAGAAAGCTAGTGGTATCGAGCTGCTCGAGGCCATGGAGACGAGGTTAGTACTATACGATTTTGTGAACTCGTTCCCAAGAGGTAGGAACGTAGAATAATTGCCTCTGCAGTATAGACGCCCCTTTACAAGCCTTTTGTTGTCTTCCGCAGTATCCCAATAATCAGAGGGACGAGGCAGATCGTTGGTACCAGGCCGATCACAATAAACGCCAAGTCGTAGCTTCCTCTGGTGTCGTATACCCAACCTATCAGACAAACAGAAACCAAGATGAACATGTTAAATGATTTACAAATCACTCCGTGTCTAGATTTTGAAACTATTCACGAAGCAATAATTTCACTTAGTCGGTTGTTTTTGTTTAAAGGGTCCATGAAATGATTTTTACTCTTGGAGCATAATTATTCGTACCATTAATATCCATTTCTCTGAAATGTATACACATTTTCCAAACATTTTGAACGTTTCATGCTTTTTCTGACAACTGAGGGCGTCGTTGCTGCGATGCCACTTTAGGAACACACTCTTCAGATTAGGGTTTTTCTCTTCAAATTGTAAACCCAAAATTCTGCTTATTGAAAACACTCTGCATAATTTTTGTCCATTGTCTTATTCTGTTATATACATAATGACGTATTGAATGCATAACGTGAATAAATAACCACATCGAACCCCTACAATTCTGGTAATTTTTTTTTGCTGGAGCAGATGTGAAAGTGAAGTTTCTTGCATGAATGGCATCACAATTTTCTCACGAAAATGGAAATTTGCATTAGCAATAAGAAACAAAAAGGTACGAGAACGCCCTTATAATGGCAATATGAAGATTATGAATACAGTTAAATGAAACGCAAAGGTTCAAGGATTGCAATAAGAAAATCCAATACATGGGCACTTTGATAATGATGATGTTTTTATCTTGCTGTTTGACTTCTTGACCATCATCATCAAGGCTGCATAGACATCACGACCACTTTAGTAGTAGTCAGGCAAAAAAAAAATAGTCGGTCTCTGGTCAGACCAAAGTTCCGGAATTGACGCGGCGACGCGGCTTTTCTTTTCTTTTTTGCTTTTTTTTTTCTTCTTCAAGCTTGGATTGTACAGTCAAGGTGAGGTACTATTTTGCTTTTTTGGTGTCCTCATGTACATAGGTGTCCTCCATAATTTGCCTTGGTGCTTTCGATCATTTTCCTTGGTGCAATTTCCCTTTCCTTGGTGCTCTTTGGTAAAACAAATTGAGGAGGTGCGGAAATAGAGGGCGCTGTTGGAGCTACCGCGGAACATTTTGGAAAAAAAAAAGTTCGACGCGCATGATTAAAATCGACGCGCGCGCTGACCAGAGACCGACTTATTTTTTTTTGGCCTAGTGCTGAGAGATGTGGGGGAAATAAACTTACCAGGTACGAACCCGCCAAAAAGTCTGGGTACGAAGAGGAAGAACTTAACCCATGCGAACGCGCTCACAAGTCGATCCATTTCAAAGATGTCTTTGACCAAGACGTCAACGAGTGTATACACTGCTGAGGCGAACAACCCACAGACGAAGGTGACGAATACACAGCTAGGAATGTCAGTCACCCAGGGATCCACGACGAACGAGAGAGTCAGAAATAGGCTGCTGATGATTATCGCTGTTGAGCATTTCACCATGTCTCGGTCGATGAATGGCGCCCAGACGATTGCCCCGAGAAAATATCCGACGGCAGCTGCCGAGCAAAGTGCGGCAGCCACAAGGGGCGGGAAGCCCTTGACTTCTAAATGAGGAACGTAATACAACATCCAAGAATCGAATGCACAAGTCACTCCGAATCGACACATAAATGCAATCCAAAACTTGAACTCTGTCAGTATTCCGAGATCTATAGCTTTAAGGAGATGAAGACAAGATTTCTTGCCACGACTGCTGCATCCTTCCTTGTCGGTGTCATCCTGGTGGTTATCTAAGCTATCGGTAAGAGGCTCGTACTGTGCTTTGGTGACCCTGACAACGGCTGCGCTAGCAATCTGATGCATACTGATTCCAGCAATAAGCAGCGCCGCTCCTCTCCAACCGTAGGTGTCGAGGAAAAGCTGCGTCATCGGTGCAAAAGCAAGAAAGGCAACTGCATTTCCGACATGGCCAATCCCACAGGCCAAAGTGTAACGCCTTTGGAAGTGTCGTGCTTGTAGGACATTAACCAAGAGAGTGATAATTCCCATGCTTGGTCCTGTACGAATATACAAAACGGATATAACTTAATAAAATAAAACAAACAAAACAAAAACACAAGCTAACCATCCAGCCAGCAAGCTGGCCATCCATCCTTCCAGACAGCAGCGCAGGAGGTCAACAGCCAGCTAGTATTATTCCCATGGGCGTCGCCAGGATTTTTTCTAGAGGGGGGCAACATTTTTTTTGCCAAAAAATGCTTGTATTTCTCAACACATTCTCGATTTATCAGTTTTAGAGGGGGGCAGGGACATTTTGCCCCCCCCCCAACTCATTAAATTTACACCACTTTGTCTTCGCGCCTCTTTTTCTTTTTTTTCTTTTTTTTTCTTCCTTTTTTTTAAACCTAAATTTTTTGCTTTTCCGGGGGGGGGGGGGGCAAGTGCCCCCCCCCCTCGCGACGCCCATGCTTATTCCTTGGCCCCATTGTCCTTCGGACTTCAAATATGGGGACACGAGCAGTGAACCTTCCACACATGAATCCGTGTAATGTATGCAAATGATACGTATGACATTATAAGTCTGAATTCCGACTCCTGATATGCATTCAAAATCACAACGGTAATGTTTGTGCACAACCAGCCTATTGCAAAATAGGCAATAGGCCACGAATGTACAATTTCGGAGGTAATGAGCTGCTATTTTTGCTGAATTTGAAAGTATCTCTGGCAAATATCAATGACGAGAGAAATATTGCTGTTCAAAATATACAACTGATGCAGTTGAAATGCTTGAAGGTTGCTTTCATTGAGACACTGGTGATTTGGTGTACTTTTTGTGGTAAGACAAGCTTGAGTTTCTTGATAATCGTGAGTTCAATCACCGGCGCGGCGTCCATGCACAACAGTTGAACAGCGATTGAAGATTTAGAGTGTGTGATGCCGTAGGTATAACCTTGAGCTGCATAACTAAGAAGAGGGATGTGGGGGACCCATGATGTACTTTATATCTTCGAAATTAAGTTACAAGTTTTGTTAATTTAAAAAAAAACTAAACTAACATATAAGAACACGTTCTTTACCTACAAGAGTTGCCAATGCCAGGGCTATGTGAATAGTACTTGATGAAAGAGGAACCAAAAGCAAGCCTACGCTGAATACCACACTACCGACGATTAACAAAGGGCGATAGCTGAATCGTTCTTCCAGGGCCATGGTTAGAATAGCTGAAATCAAAGAAAAAGATGATAATTGGGTTCCTCCATTACTGTTGTACACAGCTGTGGGAAAGCGACTCCACCACCTAACAAAGGGCGATAGCTGAATCGTTCTTCCAGGGCCATGGTTAGAATAGCTGAAATCAAAGAAAAAGATGATAATTGGGTTCCTCCATTACTGTTGTACACAGCTGTGGGAAAGCGACTCCACCACCTGAGCGCACCATAGCGCCCTCTTGTGATTTACTGTTATAATCGTCCAATCTTTATCGAATCACGTTGTTTACCGTTAATTATTGCTCCGTAAAATTCTTGTTTATGACTCCCAATCATCATTTGCCTTAATTATCCAATTACCAGGTAAACTATAAATACCCCCTGTGCGTGAATTACAGAAAGTGAGAACAATTTTGTTTGATTAAGATATGATATTTGGGGGGATTTACTTCATGTTTATTTTGGATTGCAATTTACACTGTTCTAATGTATATGGGAATTACATGTCAGGCCATATGCATGGTTATACACAATATTGAGGGTTTCATAGTATTAAGGGTCTTTCCATGAATCTATGTGCTATTATACCAAATGTTTGAGGTTGTTAATAAGTATTTTGAGCCATTTTCTTCCATATTTGTGGTCATGTTATGTACATATTATTGCCAGCCTAATCATGGGCACACATTGTGTTTACATGTATTGTTAATGTTTATGACATGATTAGGGGTTCCCAGGCCTGTGCACATAATAAATAAGTTCCCCTTTGTGTATATTCCTCCTTAGAATCACAGCACACAGCACACATACTCCTTCCAGTGCCACACAGCACACACATCTATTCCTACCAGTGCCACACTACCCATAACCGGAGTCAATAATAAAACCTGTTCAACCCATCACCAGTTTTGGTCGCCTACTTCTCTTCAACAGTGTCTCAAAAAAGGATACCCTTTTGTGTAAATGTAAATTATCAGAAATGTACTGAATATTTCAGAAAGAGGCATGAACAAGGAAAAAGGCTAGGGTGTCCTCTATCTGATGGGGCCCGTCTTCTAGTCAGCTTGGAATCAAAACTGTCACATTTCTATGTGTTGTACAGCCACGTGGTAAACATGCCCGGGGTCGATCTATCACAAGATCCTAGTACATGTATGTGGACCGTATGGTGTACAATTAAGGCCACTATCCGCTCCGTTCACAAGCACCCCCTCACCGGCAAAGGAAGTACAGTTGGGAGCAAGGGCGGATCCAGAACACAATTTTTTGGGGGGGGGCCAAAAAAAAATTTGGTCCCCAAAAAAGTGGGTCAAAAAAATTACGGCGTGGGGTTCGGGGCCCGCTTAAGGGCCCCGAAAAAAATTTGGATTCTAGATGCTCTGTGGTGCGATCTGAGGCAATTTCTGACCACTTTAACCAATGTTTTTTTAAGGAAAAGATGGTGGTGTACTCATTGCCTGCCTTTATTGCGATGTCATAAAAAAAAAAATGGTTTCGTTTGGGGGGGGGGGGGCATGGCCCCCTTTGGCGCCCCCCCCCTGGATCCGCCCTTGGTTGGGAGTGACCAACCGACGCCATTTTGCCTGACTGCAATTCATTTTCCGCGAAGCGCAGCCACTGCGTGTAAATAGAACAAATCCCCTGGTGTACGTGCGTCACACACAAGGAACGGTGCGCGTCAACCAGCGAAATGTCCCGCTCGTGGGACGTCGTTGTTAGGTAAAAGGGCGCCCTCTTTTGGTAGCGCACAGAGCTCATATGCGGCGCGGTATCTGTCCTTACGCGGCAGGGTGCGTGTGTTTACGGGGCGTGATGCCTGTCTTTACGCGGCATGATGTCTATCCTTATGTAATAAAAAAATACTACTACTACTACCTTTATTTATTGATGGTAGCCATGTCACCTCGGGGATGATTTTTCAATGTGCCATCATTAAAAAATCAGTATAAAAAATATATTGAAAATGTACAATACAGTGTACATCAAATAAATAAATAAATAAATAATTTCAACAGGAGGCCGAAGTTAAAATACAATGCTAAAAATTCAGATCCAAACCAGTCCAGAGTCCCAGACTATACAGACTGTCACAATAAAACCACTCTTTTCTTGTATCTGTGACTATTTAATAGGTAGTGTGAATAGTTCTGTCTTTTTAAACCTTGTGTTATGCATGAGTGGGTAAGAGCCCAAACCTAGCAAGTCGTGGTTGACGATCAAGATAGGTACCATTGTCCCTATTGTTGCCTTTTGTTCCCGGTAACCCATAAGTGCCAATATGTAAGCGCACACCCACCCAAAATGGGCAAGATCCAGGATTAGTCCCTATCTTAAAATGATTTCTGGCCCATTTTGACCCCACATTCCAAATGTCATGCTTTTACCTCAAATTGCACAAGTTTGGCCAAAAATTGAGCCCCACTACTTGTAATATGTCCTTAAATAGCGCGAAAATTGAGAGCCTACCACCAGAGGAGCACACACCACGCCACTTAAGGACAGACATCACGCCGCGTAAAGACCATAGAGCTTTATTAAATTACTAGAGCGCTAACTCCTCATTCTTGCGAGCGGAGACGCTTTGAAGCCAACCTCGTTCCCCATGGGTATGATCTTGCTGCGCCATGTTGTTTCCCATCATGCCTTGCGCGATCTTAACCCCTGGAATTGTGTAATTTAAATGTGTCAAAATATGGCACATTATAGTTAGGCTGCAGTTTATCCGTTTTACGTGCCGACGCCATCTTTAAAATGTTAAAAGTTGTGATTTTGAAGAATCAATCCTTTCAAACATAACGTTTGGACGTTGCGTTATCTAGTAAAGATTTGTATTAAATGTACGTACCCCTTTCGTCCCTTTACAACCGAAGATACAGGGTTTTTTTTTTTAGCGAAAAACGAGGCCGCCATAATCCATATCGTAAAGGCATCGCGACTTTTGAATAATTTTTTTTTCGTATATATACGTGACGTTACGTGCAAAGCACGCGAGCGCATTATGGGCGCGCCCGGCGTGCAATATTCGAAATGCGCGCGCAGTACGCTGTGGATAGCCAATCAGCGTCATTTACGTCATCATCACGGTCAGGTAATTATACATGTAGGCCTAGTAATAATAATTACACAATGTACCTAAATGTCCGCCTGTCTGCAACACTCGGACCATGGAGGTAGGAATAGATGCTCGGACACAGATTTTTTTCTGCTGCCAAACATTTTCGGCAAACTTTTAAACAATTGAAACAAAAATGTGTGAGCCCCCCAGCCAAATCCTGGGTGCGCCACTAACAAGGGGTGAGATCTGGTGATCTTGGGGCCACTCGACTCGATCGAACCACGAAATTACTCTGTCACGAGCTCTGCGAAACGATGCCTTACAGTAACACTAGTAACAGTAACATTAGTCTTTGGGGCGGGGCTCCGTCCTGATCCCACCACACCCGCCTGAAAACGTCAAGTCGCTGTCTTGAGAATATTATCCGGATATGCCTACATATGGCGGGCCGGGCCTATACCTTAAAGTCTTAAGTAACAGCAAAAAAGATAACGTCCGTATGCCCTTGCAACCCAGGTCAAAACTAGGCACAAGTGCTGATTTTGACCTCTTTCATGAAGGTCATGTTTTCTCGGTTATCAATTACAATGACGTAATAAAATTAATACTATTGTATAGACTATAAAGACATCCTTACCTTTTTCTTGTGCACGTAGTTGCCTCGTCGTGAAATATTCAGTACATTTCTGATAATGTTTACATTTAAAATGGGTAACCTTTTTGACAGTGTTGTAGGTCTCGAGACCGGTCTCGGTCTCGAGACCGGTCTCGAGACCACTTTTTGCTGGTCTCGGTCTCGGTCTCGGTCTCGGAAGCTGTGGTCTCGGTCTTGGTCTCGGTCTCAGTCCCCTTTGGTCTCGATATTTTGGCTGGTCTCGGGTCGAGACCGGCAATATTGTAGCTTTTACAGCTCGATCGATTACTTTGTGTTCACTTCGTTCAGTACCGTTGTTATTTAAAACATTTGCTAGCCCGTAGATCAAGCTTGTTATATATCGCGGTCGGTTTGGACTCGCCTGCACGTTGGAAAGTCCCCAAAGTACATGTAAAGCTGCAGCAGTACCAGTTACTGAACGATTTGGAACAAGTTCGGCATTTATCTGTTGAATCGGCCACATAAAGCAAAGTATAAACTTGTACATGTAACAATTTATGCAATAAGTGTCAACCATTTTCGGGGATTGTGTAGTTTAGCCCACCCCTGTGGGCGTAATCACTTGCATTTTGTATTCTGATATTAAATGAGGTGCTTCAAATTAGTTATATTTTCGACCCCACACAATGTTCTCTTTAATTTGGGACAGTATTTTGACAGTATTTTTAAAAGTAAATTTTTCTACCTGATTTTCCAGCTTTGAACTCACACACTCTTAGGGGCCATTCAGAATTTTCAGTGTTTTAAAATTTCGATCTTTTTTCCAAATTGTGGGTGGGTGGGTCAAGCTAAATAATTGAAAATCGAAATTCACTTTCCATGGAAAAAAAGATACAGAAACAAAGAAAGATAGATCTTTTGACTTGCAAACGCGCAAACGTTCCGATATCGCGATGCGTGTTTCTTTTCCAACTTCGTCCCCTGTATGTACTGTCAGTGGCATAGCCAGGAATTTTTCAGTGTGTGTGTGTGTGTGTGTGTGGGGGGGGGGGGGGGGGGGGGGGGCTTGAACATTTCATGGGGGGGGGGGGCGTCATGTAGATCAATGATATTTTTTTTCGAAACTCAAAATCTCAGTGGGGGAGGCGACTGGGGGGTGGGCGACAAGGTTTCATGGAGGGGGGGATGGCGCCTCCCACGCCCCCCCCCCCCGTGGCTACGCCACTGCAGGTCAAACAGTTAAAGTTTATGTAAACTTGTATGAAAAGTCAAAGAAAAGTAACTCTCATGATCTATTTGACACCAAGTTTGTGTTAACTTTCCGGTAACGCCCTAAAAAAATTATCCAGACAAATATGTTTATTTTGTAACATTTTATGTTCGTCTGTCGGTCTTCTATGGTGTTATGTTTACTTTTAGGTACCTTCAATGGTACTATGTTTAATTAACCTGTTCATTTGTTTAATTAAACTAATAACGCACATATAGTTGCCAAATATGGCACTAACAAGTTTGAGGTCGGCAATTTCGTCTTTAAAAATCTTGGTACGTCGGGTTACCGTACACACAATTGTCCTGGAAATAACAGTACCAAAGTACAGAAAGTCGTACGCAAGAGCTCCCCAGCAAGTATCGCTGACGCCATTAGGCCTATGATTCCAAAAATTTTCACTGTGTCACACAGTGAAATAACTAAAAAGCGTCGTTGTATTGTGGACACATAAAGCATTCAAGTCGCGTTCTTGCACACTTTCTGCAGGTCGACTGGATATCCTTGAACCACTGCCCCTGCTTTGCATAACAAGTGCACATGAATGAACGATTCGACTTTTATTCAAAGAAATTTCTATGTACAGTCACCAGACTCTATTCAGTAAAGTCCCCGTCAAAACGAAAGTAAGCAATCCACGTGCATAACGCACGGCTACACCATCGTACAGTGTGGCAGGGACACCAACAAGTAAAACAACAATTAAACATTTAAAAAAAAAATGGATAAATATTCTGATTGAATTTCGTTAAAAGATACTTTTTGGTGAGGTATCACATATTTTATCACATAAAAGAGGATGACCAACAACTTCACGCCGTCACTGAACTAGACACACATGTACATGTACATGGTGTTCAAGTACATGTACATGCAAGTGCATGTACATGTACAGTCATGTTCAGTTTTTTTATTAATCGAAATTAGGGGTGGGTGGGTGGGTCAAAATAATTTGGAAAAAAAGTCGAAATTTTAAAACATTGACCATTCTGAATGGCCCCTTACATGTACAAGTTACCACCCACTGTTGCCATGAGAGTGTATGATGAGACCCCATTTGGCTGCTCATTTTAAAGTACCCCATTATTCCTCAAAAATTAAAAATCCCGTTCAGAAAAAATTAAAAATACATATCTGGCACATTCTGGCTACCACCTCGCAACTTGTGGGTCTACATGTACAAGTCCACATTCTATGACAAAAATTTAAAAAATAATTCAACATTTTCTAGCTCCCATTTTTTAAAATCAAGTACACAAGTCTTGTTAGAAGTTAAGTCCTAAATTTATTTTAGGAAAAAAGAGGCAATGTAAAATTAAAATTGCATCTTTAAATATCCGTTAGAAGTCATAGCTGAACCAAGGGGGTGAATGTGGAGTTTAGGATCCGAGTTCCTATAACAGATGAAACATCTACCCTTAACTTTTTACTTTTGTCACGATTGGGTGTAGACAACATGTCAAAGCCCATGTTTCTTAAGTGTAACTACTTTTTGCTCAAGTAAGGTGTCATGTATCAATTTGTCAACACTGCCACTGGTCGAAATTTTGGTCTGTATTCTTTGTGAATAGAAAGGTAAATTTTTCAACTATAATAACGTGTCTTGTTTTTTTTAATTTCGACTTTTGTTATTCATTATCAGCGGTCTCGGTCTCGGTCTCGGTCTCGGACCATATTGGTCTCGGTCTCGGTCCGCCTTGAAGGGGCTGGTCTCGGTCTCGGTCTCGGTCTCGAATCTTCAGGTCTCGGTCTTGGTCTCGGTCTCGGACTATCCGGTCTCGACTACAACACTGCTTTTTGAGACACCCTGTATGCTCACTTTTGTGTTTTTCAAATGCAGCTGAATAAATGAACATTTTGACATATATTTCTGAATACTTCTAAGAACGTACCTCCAATATCTGCAGTAGCTGCTGTTATTGATGCAATTGTTCCAATGATCCATGTGTGCGTGGTGAATTGCTCCGTCAGCGTCGGCAACAACACGCCTAGACTTTTGAAAACACATCCCCACATAAAATTAATGGTAAACGACAACAGGACCAAGAAACACCCGGTAGTATCGAAATCCATACTGAATCATACTCAGCTTGGCCTACACTGTCTTGTGCCACAGTTCGGGGGCTAATGACGCAAAACCGAAGGCGGCGGAACGATGTACTATGCGTGCACCACCGTCTTTCAAAAAAGTTTCTCATGCATGAATTGCCAGCCATATAAAATTCTACCTCTCGGCCCGGTCAGGTAAGATTGTATGGTCTGGTATTTGAGGAGTGCGCTAATTCAAAGAAAAAATGAAACTAGAGGTTTGCGTTTGTTGAGTTACAAACGCAGAGTGGTCGGGCTGGCATATTTTCTGTGTTTACAATGACTTAATCATAATTGAACTGCACAATACTCCTCCAATTACCCTGCATATCCATTACCCTGTGTTTTTCACAATGAAAGTCACACAACCTGCAGTTTAACTTGTTGCTTTACCTCGACAAGACTTGTAGGTCTATCCGGAAGCGCACATCTGGTGCTGCATGGATGGCTACTCAAGCATTACAACCAGTTAGGACTATTGGTAGACTTGCCGGAGCCTCAACCGTCGTTGGAGTTTATGCAACATATGCTAATCATATCATAACATGGCTTTTATGGGTTTTTTCTTTTGCATGGGCATAATAAAATTCTGCACTGACTTTACGACAGAAACGTTTGTGGCTACACGCTGTGGAAATATTAATTTTCAGCATTCAGATATGTGAGGAAAACTGGTGAGGCGCGATTTCAATCGGTTATGGAAAGAAATCTTGTTTTCCTTTTATTTGACGCTAATTTCTATATTTTGAATTCACCTAACTTTGACCTTCCGGCAGCCCCGGAAGGAAAGGTCAAACGACCTTGACTTTCGGATGATGACGCCATCACATTGTTTTTGTGTCTGGCATTCCTCACTAAACACTTTCATAATATATGTGTCTGTGGTAAAATGCTTCCGCTTTTGAGCTATATTCAGTTTTTATTGCACTTCCGGTAACACCGGAAGTAAAGGTCAAGCAGTTTTGTGTCTGGGGGACAAGAAATGTTCCTCACGGCATAGTCTACAACCCCACGAAAAAACAAACACGATACTCTATTTAGTTCAAAAGATATACGCAAACTATTTTGTCAAGATTTGCCCTTAAATCGCTTGTAATTTGATACCTGATAACGTCATGATGACGTAACAAAATTTATAACATCTTCGTAACATGGTACAAGTTCACACAAGGTTTTGTGATCATACCGTGAACCGTTCGGAAGAAATGCTGCTTTGTTTTGATGTCAGGCTAACGTCTTCATTTTGAATTCACCTAACTTTGACCTTCCGGTAGACCCGGAAGTAAAGGTCAAGCGAGTTCACGTACGCGACAAAAACTGTTTAGCGATTAATGGTCTATCTGATGACAGAATACAAACATCATTGATTGTTTAGTTCAAGAGTTATAGGTGAAAGTAATTGGTCACTTTTTCAGATAAAATCACTTGTAATTTGACACCTGATGACGTAATCATGACGTCAGAGTAATATGCACCACTTCGGATGAGGGGCGATATATATTGAAAGTTACAAGTTCATACCATATACCGTTTAAGAGAAAACCCGCGGAGAAGTATTGTCCGGAAAAAAAAGAAAGAAAGAAAGAAAGAAAGAAAGAAAGATTAATCGTAACAGATGCAAAGAGTGGTCGGGTTGTGCCCGACCACTCAATGAAAAGAAATGCAATTGGTGTGCATATAAAGGGTTTGTGCCCGCTCAACCGTCAGTGTATTTTTGGTGTTAAGCAGGAACACGCTCGATCGCACGGACCACTTTGTGGCCAACTCTAGTCACCATGATGGATGACATTTGCGCTTTAGAAATACAAGTACATGCAAACCCTTCGGGGGATGAATCACTGGTAGTTTCTCGTCTTGAAGACGAGCTTTCTGGTCTTTTTTTTTAGCCAAATCAGGCAAAGCCACCCACGCCGGCCAAGAAGCGTACAAAACGCAAATCGACCGCTAAAGCTGCCATACCTGCTGCCGCTGGTAGTGCGCCTAGTGAGCACCATTCTTTGACTAGCGGGAATACTAACAAAAATGAAAGTTCTGACTTGCACGAGGTAGTCTATGCGCTGCAAAATACAGTCGCAAAACTTTCAGATGCACTTGCTCGCCAAAAGCAACCAAGCCATGCATTTACTGACGCTAGCGTGGGTTGTGGCGTGACAACAGACGAATTTGCACTCGAAAGGGGCGAAATTCAGTTAAACGATTATTCATACCTGGAAGGGATGAAATGCAAAGTGAGCGTGCCAACGCCATGCCATTAGATGTACCCGAAAGGGACACAAATTTCTACTCGGAGTACGAGGTCAATAACCTATTTGTGGACCCTCCAAATGAGTCTAAATCATGCGAAATAGCCGACGACGAGTTGCTTTTCAGATGGGCTCACTCGTCAATGACGATGAGAAGGACTTTCCATTAACGAGAATCTGGCAAAACAATCAATTCACTATCACGGGGGAAAATCCAGCAAGATAAGCTAAAAGAAAAGCCAAAAAGGTTGTGATAAACCTAAAAATTGTCCAAATCTTTGCCCAACAAAGGTAAATCCAGAGATATGGCCGTTCTTGAAACCCACTACTAGACAAAGACGCGATAGCATATAAGACCGGACTTAAGTCCGAAATATGCGCCATATGTGTTCATCTATGATACCATGCACCCCTCATTACTGTTCGGGGATGATCTTGTGCAATCTTGTAAATCCATACAGGAAACAAATAAATTGAGTTCAACTGTATATGGCAAGGAACCTTCAAACTTCCGACGCCGAGGGGTTCCAAACTATCAATATTCTCGCCCCAGCTCGTCCGGCTATATTGTTATAGCAACCGGCAACAACGAGCATCCTACTACAGGGGAAATTGGCAAAAGAATCGTCGACCCTATTACAGCCAAGATGGCGCGGGCTCGTCGTCGTATGCCTTTGCGGATAGGACTGACTGCTGATATTCCAATTGCGGGAAGATTGCAACATTTTGTATCAGCTTGGAAAAGTATTACATCTGATGCTTGGATATTAGATACCACTTCTCACTGCCATATTGTGTTTAAGGAAACGCCGCGGCGTGCCGCATCAGTCATTTTCTCCTAAGACTATAATGTTACTCTGATAAAGAGCCACAAATGATTGACGAAGAGGTTTAAACGTTGTACAAAAAAAGGGCCATAGTACAGGCCAGTCCATGCAAAGGGCAATTTTTTTGGAATTTGTTTATTTATTTATTTCTTATTTATCCTGGTTGATCCATTTAGTGAGAAAGACTCACTGATCTCCCATGAATCCCAGCTCACACTAAACTACTATTAAAATACAATTAAAATATTAAGAGTAAATGTAAGAATGTTAAAAATTCATTTAAATAGACTTAAATAAAATAGGAATTACACAGATGATAAACAGACATTTACAATACAATATAAAACATCACTGCAAGATGACATCCCCCACCCCTGTTTTTTCTTCTTTTTTCCCGCTTATCTTTTTTTTTAACTGAGCTGTTTGAGTTGATTGACAAAGTGATTGAGACTTGCTGGATGCGGAGATTTTAAATGTTGCGGTAAGTTATTCCAAGCCTGGGCACCCCTGAAGTTAAAAGTTCTTCTTCCATTTTCTGTTTTAGGGAGTGGAAGAGCCACATTGCCAACAGTGCTATTCCTAGTTCGATGACAATATAGCTCACTGACTGGAACAAAAACTTTGCTAAGATAATTAGGAACATTGCCGGACAAACACTTAAAAACCATGGTACTAATATGAATTTCTCTTCTTTCATGTAGAGTTTTCCAACCTAGTTCACTACGTACAGCTGATGCTGATGTTCTAGATGGGACCTTAAGAATAGTCCTTCCTGCTCTATTTAAAAGTACATCAAGCCGTTCCATGCGTACAATTATAAATCTAATAGGACTCAATAAATTTGTTGAGTACCATCATTTCAAGATGGAAACATTGGAGTATGCTTTAACGTAACTAGCAAAGATTGATACACCTTCTGTTCATGTCTTGATTATAAATTATGTCACATTACGCGGGGGAATTGGCAAAAGAATCGTCGACCTATATTACACATTGGAGTAAGCTTTAACGTTGATTTGAACTGGCAGTTTTCTAGCATCTATTGATCTGAAAGATGCCTATTTTACAATGGTTCAAGAACATCAGAAGTATTTACGTTTTCAATGGCATAACAAATTGTGGCAATTTACTTGCTTGCGTTTCGGGCTAGCTATGCTCCCCGTACCGTCACAAAAGTCATGAAACCAGTTACTGCTACTCTGCGTAACAAAGGCCACGTATCTGTTTAGTATATCGACTATTCATTACTCATCGGAGATACAGAGGATGAATGATTAAGGAATGTTGATGAAAGATGCAAACTTATGAATGACTTGGGGTTCGTAATAAATGACAAGAAATCTATGAAGAACCCTACTCAAAACATAGATTTTTTTGGGATTCATGAATTAACTCAATGTATATGATCATACGTTTACCAACCAGAAAGGTTTCCGCCATTATTGACCTCTGTCGATCTTTGAAAAGTCAAACATATCCAACGATAATCATTTCACAAATTAAAGGGAAACTTGTTTCATGCTTCCCAGCGGTACCCCTTGGACCACTTTTTTTATAGAAATCTTGAAATGGCTTAGAATGAAGCCTTGAAGAAAAATTGAGGTAATTTTCATGCCAAAATGCACATTACTGAAAATGCTAAACACGAGTTACATTGGTGGACGTTGAATTTAGCTACTTCATACCGTCCCATATTATCCACAGTTGCTGACACTGAAATCCAAACTGATGCATCATCTCATGAATGAGGAGCATTATGTCCTAGTCTGAATTTAAAAACGAATGGACGATGGACTTCTAACAAAACATTATTTCATATCAATTATCTTGAACTCTTAGCAGTCATGTACGCACTATCCTCATTTGCCGATCATCTTCAAGGCAAAACTGTGTCAGTCTTAATCGATAACACTACGGCTGTGGCGTATATAAACCACATGGGTGGATGCCACTCTAAAGACCTCAATGACTTATGGCTTTGGTGTTTGGAACAATTAAGGCATATGGTTAATTGCACGACATATTCCTGGCTTAAGTAATACACAAGCAGATTTTTTGTCAAGATCTTTCAATGATAATCTTGAATGGAAACGAGACCTTAATGTCTTCAAATACATAATATCAGGCTGGAGCTTCACACCGACCGTAGATCTGTTTGCCTCAAGAAATAACTACCAACTAAAATCCTTTATATCATGGTTACCTGACCCTGAGGCTAAGTCATGTGACGCCTTCCCAATATCATGGTAAAATGAATTGATTTATTGTTTTCCAGCTTTCTCTCTCATCGACAGGGTTCTCCAAAACGTAGAGCTGGACCTGACAACTGGGGATGGGGTCCTAATTTTCACTCTGTGGAAAACCCAGCATTGGTTTCTCCATTGGTCATTCCAAAGTGCGACAACCTACTGTACCTACCACATGTACCGGAACGGTCTCATCCTCTCCAAGACCGCCTCGTCATGTGTGCTCGGCTTCTATCAGGAGTTCCCTCGCTTCAACAGGACTTTCACAACGAACTATTGACATCATCTTCCATCGTGGAGACCGGGTACGCAAAAACAATACTGTTGTGCATTATCAAAATGGTTACAATTCTGTAGTAAACAACATGTTCATCCAATTCATGCCTCTGTCAACTCAGCACTAGAATTCCTAACAGAACTAGTTGACCAGGGTGCTCAGTATAGCACCATAAACACGACAAGAAGTACACTATCAACTATGCTATGGGTAGACACCGATTCAGATAAAACTTTCGGGAGTCAACCCTCGGTCGTTAGATTCAAGCGTGGAGTTTATTACCTTAGACCTCAATTACCACGCAATTCCAAATCTTCGGATGTTATTTTTTTTACGAGTTGATCAAAAACCTCAAAGCCTGGCAAACCACAACCAGTTATAACCTTGTCATATTATAAACCAAATAAGTCCTTGTGTGTTGTAAGAACATTGTCAGAATATTTAGGACTAAGACGAACCAAGGTTTACAGAAATGATAACATGAAATTGTTTTTGAGCTATGCTCCTTCACATAACGAGGTTGGAACAGCTACAATTAGTAGATGGCTGAAACAGTCACTGTTTGACGCTGGTTTGGATGTGTCAACTTTTAAAGCACACAGTTTTAGGTCAGCGTCAGCATCAATAACATCTTGTGAGGATTCCTAGAAATTGAGATAGGGCCGCTGACCATTCAGCCCTGGTTCGGAAAGGCCCCCCCCCCCCGGTAAGCTCACCCGCCAGTAAAAAGCCCGCCCGCTAGTAAAAAGCCCGTTCGTACCAGACCAGCTACCGTGCCGCCCCAGGAGGCAGGTCCGGTTGCTGATCACGAACTCTCCCTTCCTGGGGGCGGTGTATTTATTTGCAGCGCACATCGTCAATGGATCACGATAATTCAGCTAGTTCGATGTTTATTCATAAGAAAATAACAATGACGTCACACTATTGCTATCGCTCAGTCATGTATGTACATTAAAGCCTTTCAAAGAACGGCTTTCGTCGAGCTGTCACAATGGCCTAGTGGATAGTGGAATGAACTACGGATCGCAAGATCCGTAGTTCGAGCCCATGCCCGTTTTCATATAATAATTATGTTTTGTTGGTTGGGATAGGTTTAATAAGCCTCTGTACTAATGACGTCACACCTTGTTTACGTGTGTGCTTTCCTATGGTGCTCGGTGGACCGTGGGCCCCAACTGGTTCCATAGGAAAGTGCATAGGTAAATATAGTGTGACGTCATTAGTACAGAGGCTTATTGAAGGGAACACATTACGAGAACCTAAGTGTCTTCCATCCACACAACGTGATCAATGTTTTATCCGTTGGAAAATAAAAATGACGACATCCGTCATGTTCTGAGTGATGACTACAGTCAGCAACGAAGCACTGTCCCATTAAATGGGACAGTGCTTCGTTGCTGACTGTAAAATTGTTCCAGTCTTATTTATTCTTAACGTCTGAGAAATCTCAACCAAACCTACGGCGCTATAGGATCTTTGGTCTCAACTAGAAAATGTTCACCAAAGTTTCACGTGCAAAACGTACGGTAAAAATGGCGAACGAGACATTGTGTGGACCGGTCACTATTGACATTTTAGTTTTAATATCATGCTAGATACAATTACATGTACTACATTTCGTAATTTTATAAATTTTACTAAATTTTCTACTTATGCTTTGTAAAAATAAGTCAAATAAACGTTAAACTGGGTGTTTGTAGAATATGATCATAGATGTGGTATCTACATGGGTGATTTAACTTTTGACAAGAAGAATGCAGACAGTTTAATTGATTTCAGCTTCGTCGTTGAAGTCTCTTCAAAAAGTCTGAGGATTCCGGGATGCTGTCCCAATGGCATCGTACGATGCAACCGAAGACGGTCTTGAAGTCACGGTGCTTGGTCGCGTAGATCAAGGGGTTGATGCAACTGTTCGCAAACAAGATGGCGGCCGTATAAGGAACAGCAGGATCGCAGGCTTCAAAGGACGGGCAGATGGCAAACGGTCCGAGACATACAATAAAGGCACAGACGATGTAGAACATGTTCTTGGTGATGTCGGTCTGGTAGCGTAAGAAACTGGAGGCTTGAGACCTAGCAGTACTCGTTACTGTAGTTTGGGGTAGTTGTGATTGGGGCTGCGGGCACGAGCTACTAGATGTGAATTGAACCGACGGGTTGGGGTTACGGAGTCTCTTGGAGTGGCGGTACACGTGTCTCCAGATGAGAACATAGCAGATGATGACAACGAAAGGAGTGGGATATAAGACTGAACCGATGATGATGTTGTAAGTGTTGTATGAGGGATGCGAGGTGACTGAACCGCAGAAACGGTACCTGGCGTTGTAGCCAACAGCACCCACATCTGCGAGCGGTGGTATGATGGTGACGAGAAGTGGGACCAGCCAAGTCAGTACTAGCCAGACGGCGATCTTCTTTGTCTTGAAGATATTCCGATAGGAAGCTCCGGGTCTAGTGATAAGTAGCCAGCGGTTTAAGCCGATCGAGGCCAACGTGAAAATGCTGCAGCCCACGGTGGTGAATTGAACGACGGCCACCACGCTGCATATCCACTCGCCAACCGGCAGGCCGTCTTTACCCAACAAAGCCACGGCATCCCACGGGATGACAAGGCAGGTCAGCAGGTCCGCTATGCTCAGGTTCACCACGAAGGCGTTGGTGGTCGTGCGGAGCTTTTTGGACAAAATCACGGCTAAGATCACCAGCGAGTTGCCGATGAGTCCCGTCAAGGACACAATCAGATACAAAGTACCGACTATGGCTCGCTGGGTGTAATCAGTAAATTCATACGGAGGACTTCCAGTTGAGTTACATTTCAAGACGCTGGCAATTACACTGCTAGTCATAATTTCATCACTGTATAATAACATTACAAATGACTAGAAAGTGGATATCCAACTTCAAATGCTGCCTGTACGATCTCGGCACTGCCTTGTACAACTGCCGGGGTCACAGTCAGTTATTTAGTGTCTATATCGAGGTGCAGGCCAGCATGATCATTTTGTGACAATGGCGCATACCCACTATTCTCTGTTAGAACCCTATAGTCGGATGCGTGAATTGGAACACCGGAAATTGCAGCTTGGCAGAAAGAAAAGTGAACCGGTTCCAATATCAAGGACGGAAACCAGAGGTTCTTGTTTTGTCAAATTTGAAATGCGGATGCGGATTACAATGGATGAAATCACGAAGCAATACCGCACGCAATCTCTTTCTTCACGCAATAGTATACGTTTTTTTCACAGTTCAATGACGAATTGATATACTAACAATTAGATAGAGCCGAGTAAAAAAAGGAACAGTTTCTCGTCAGCCTTTAAAAAAATGAAGGAGGCGGATGCTCTTTCCTTAGATGGCGGATTTTCCGAGATGACGGATGGATTCTTCCATTTTTTGCGCCTCTTTTGGTGTACAAAATTGTGTCCAAAAGGAGCCGGAACCTTTTTTTTTTTACACAGCTACAAATGTGCACATATACTGAGAATGTATATGAAATATAAAAAAGGAGGCGGGCGGGAATAAAAAAAGGAAGAAGGCGGGGACGAGAAACTGTTTTATTTTTTACGTGGCCTACTGATGATCGGGAAAAAAATCACAAGACGTGTACACAATATTGTTGTTCTATATGAATAGCGTCCCCGTGCGTCGAATGCTGTCCAGACAACACAGTCGATTGGGGGGGGGGGGGATGTTTTAAACAGTGTAAATGTCCAACTTTAAACGAAATTTGAATTTATATGCAATAATATATGCCAAGGTTGACATGATTATGTTCATCGCTGGTGTTCACCTGATGTTCTCCCACTTAGGTTCACAGCTTCCAAACTTTCCCGTCGTTAAAATCAAAAGTCTGCTTGGGTAATTAAAGAAAAATACCTTTAAAATGTGACTGAACTTTATGATTTTAGCAATTGAAAATGTCTTAGCCTATGCAGAGCGACTGCCTCTTCCACAAATGCCTCGTCTCACTGCCTTCAGACAATCTGAAGGCTCTGGGATGTTGTCCCACTGGCGACGCACGATGCAGTGGAAGACGGCCTTGAAGTCGCGGTGCTTGGTCGCATAGATCAAGGGGTTGATGCAACTGTTGAACAAAACGAGAGCTGCAGCGTACGGCTTGAGTGCGTCGCTGTCAGTCAAGAAGAGGCATATTGTATATGGAGTAAGGCAAAGCATGAAGGCACATACGATGTAGAACATGTTCTTGGTGATCTCTTGTTGGCGGCGGCTTATCTGCGGAGGGTTAACCGGCTGATGGCTTCTAATGGCGGCTGGTGATCTTGGCGCCACGGAGCCATCCACGTCGGTGTAATCTCCAGTTTCCATTGGAATGCTGACCATCCTGCGGACATGCCCCCGCAGGTGCATCCAGATGAGAATGTAGCACACGGTGATGGTGGTGAAAGGAACAGGGTACAAGGCAACGGCTATAATGACATCAAATATGCGGTGATGTTTATGCCAACGGTCTGGACCGCAGAAATGCAGCTGAGAGTTGTACCCAACGCTACCCAAACCAAGAAGCAACGGCGAAAGGATAAAGACGAGAGGGATAAGCCAAGTGAGTACCAGCAAGACTGTTGTCTTCTTGGGTGTGAACACCTTGGGGTAGGTGGTTCTAGGCCGTTTGATCAGCAGCAAGCGGTTCAGGCCGATGGAAGCCAGTGTGTAGATGCTGCAACCAACGGTTGCGAAAATGACGACGGCAACGCCGCCACATATCACACCAAGGACCGGCAGCTGGTTTCGACTGAGTAAAGCTACCGAATGCCACGGGATGACAAGGCAGGTCAGCAGGTCCGCCACGCACAGGTTCACCACAAATGCATTGGTGACAGTACGGAGCTTTTTGGACAGAAGCACAGCCAGGATCACATGTGAGTTGCCGATGATTCCCAATATTGATATCATCAGGATCAGTGTGGCAACTATCACTCTCTGGGCGTAGTCGTCGAACTTGTACGGTGGGTCCTCCGTAGAGTTAGAAACCAGACTTTCCATTGAGCTTTCACCCTGTCTATCCATTGCTCAAAAGGTGGAAGTTATAAAATGTGACTACGATTTCTACGGTTATATACATGCCAAAGACCCCCGAGTTTCATGTATTGACAAAGTTGTCGCTTTCAAAGAATTGCGGACAGTGTCACTGTGTTGAAAACCACGACCTTCCTCATTACAATGTTTTAATGAAAAATATACCACAATAACGTGTTTATTCTGACAGGTGGATCACAGTTTATTCTGGATTCCCTTCCTTGTACAGTTAAAAAAAAGTACGCGGCCTCCAAATATTTTTATTTTGAATGTGATGCTATATTGCACGGGTAATAGTTTCAATTGTGCCCCAGAGGTGCCAGCAAGAAGGGACAGAAGAAGTGTTTTAGGATAGACAGGGGAAGAAAGACACGGGGTGCACAGGGTCCAAGTTAAGCCTTAAAATACTCCTCATCGCATATTTACTGAATTTATAGGTTTTTCTGGCCAATTTCCTAAAATGTTCATTCACTTCTGAAAATCGGTCATTCGTTTTCCTCCGAATTTGAATGCACGTCTTTAATCCTATTTCAAATCAACGAAAGTTCGATTGTTTTTTTTGTCCGTGCATTCAGTTTTGAGAAACAGACGGCCAATTACGTTACCTGTGCATTAATTTACGCAAGCATACCTTTTCGCGCAGAGTTCTGGAATACAATTTCGCGAATGTGCAATCAAAAGTACATGTACGTTTTTCTCATTCAAAATAGCAGATTACATCACAGAACATTAAACTCAAAGTGAAATGGAATAGTCAAAGTTTGATATAGCCCTATAAAAGCGAAAAAGAAGTCTTGTTAACAAATCTGAAAGAACATAAACGAAAGGTGCTCAGTGGCGCACCCAGGACTTGGTCGGGGGGGGGGGGGGGCTCAATTGTTGTTGTTTTTTTAATGTTGCCCAGAAGTTTTGGTCGCAGAAAAAAATTGGAGTTTTTTTCGGGGGCGGACTATTTTGATGTTGGTGGCGCCACTTACACCCCTATTATACTACTCGAAAAATAATAGGCCACATATATGTACATATCACCAAGGTAAATTCGTGGGACTAACCCCCCCCCCAAAAAAAATGGACAACCTCTGGGGGGGGGGGGGGGCTCAAGCCCCCCGAGGCCCCCCCCCCGGGTGCGCCACTGGATGTGCTGCTCAATCACTTACTTGATTGAACTGAAATTGGCCGGGAAATCCTATTTTAAAAGGAAAAGGCTGAGGAGTAGTCACGAACGAATGCACCACATTTTTTTGTATCTGCAAATGCGACAAACATTGTCGTGAATTAAATTCATGGAAAACAAAAGGCTGAGAATAGGCAAAGGCGATTGCACCATGTTTGTTGTTCCTGCAAATGGGACAAAACGTGTCAAAGCTATAATCTGTCACTCCAGGTGCAAGGCAACTGGGAGACAGTCCAGATACTTATAAGACAAAATGTAGCGCAGTGTTTGCATATTGACAAGGTACACATGTGACTTAGTAGTTTAACATTTCATATGTGAATAACATGTTTTATGATGAAAGATTTTTGTGAGCGAAGAATATGATACACCTTTGAAGATGTTGATTGAAAAAGCACATGTGTGTACATGCATTATATTTGATTGTTAATTGTAAAGGGGTGTAGACGGGACGTCCTGAAAAATGGTGCATGTAAACCCCTCCATTTTTGCTAATCTACAACCACAATTTTCTGCGGCTGTTTACACCATCTCCAAGGTAATGGATTTAGCTTGAGAATAACGTTTGTTTCATTGAGATTGCTTTTGTAAATCCAAAGATATGTTTGAATAACGGCAAAGCCAAGAAACCCATTTTGTGCCACTTTCTGTGAAGCAGTTAAAATAATAATAATAATAATAACGGAGTCTTATATAGCGCACGTATCTACCAACAATTAGGTACTCAAGGCGCTGGAAATTATGTCAATTATTAAAGAAAGGTAAATAAAATTTATGAGAAATATGAGACCCATTATGTAGCACCTTATAATGTTTACAAGGTGCTGCGGCGCACATTGCAGCCACTGCCAGAAACACCGGGGCAAACCCCTTCTCTTTAGCGATAAGTGTTACTGGGTTCTTTAACGTGCATTACACAACACACGGGACCTACGGCTTTACAGTATCAGTATAGTCCTAGTATAAAACCAAATCACTTTACTGTTAGTGATTTAAACATTTTTAAGCAGAGTGTGCAATATTTATTTATATTGAATTGAACTCTTTCATTGAAGTTTTAAAGAAATGAACCTGTCTGTACTATTAAATTGTTTCAACATAAGAACAAAACCTATTATTGTCGTGTGAATGGAATGTTTGTCTTACACCCATAATCTTATAAAAAGAGCCATACTGGCATTGTCTGATCTTTGAAGCACTCGCTTCCTAAAAGTGGCACAGAATGTCGTGTTTTTTTTGGCTTTGCGGTTATTCAAACATATCTCTGGATTTACAAAAGCAATCTTAATTAAACAAACGAGATTCTCAAGCTAAATCTGTAACCGTCTTGAAGATCGTGTAAACATTTGCAGTAAAATCCGGTTGTAAATTGGCGAAAATCATAAAGTGGCGGGGTTTACATGCACCATTTTTTTCAGGACACCCTGTACTGGACGAAGATTTCTCGCAGTCTTCCAACGTGAAACGTAGGTCTACATGTATATCATTTCAATGGGCTCCTTCATAAAAATGCATTATTTATAGAAGGGATAAAGACAATCCATCGCCTGACTGCTGAACTGCATGTCATCATAAGGAAGTGGAATGTGTTTACGCAACCGGTCGGCGGAAGCAAACAATGTAAATAGGCCGACAGAAATATCTGTGCAATCCTAATTCCGGTAGGACTATATTGCAACGCTGATCACGATGGATGGGTAAAATGATCAACGTATTGAATATGGAACACCAACGCTGCCGTCAATAGTTCATATTCCATTCGCCAGACATCATTTCATTCGGAAAACCATTCCATTCGACAAATTCATGACTCCTTTCGGCAAAATCATTTGGCAATGTTATCATTCCGTTACGCGAAAATTAATCATCGCGTTCATTCGGCGAATTCACAAATATTCGGCGAATTCCCTTTTTTATTCTGCGAATTCATCAGGTTGAATTCGGGGGACGGGGGCGGGGACAAGAGGGCTGGACACCATCTGACCACAGATGGCGCTGTACAAAGATGTATGTATGCACACACATGTATATTGTGCACATAAAATGGATGTATACAGGTACATAATGCGCAATTACGCAATTTGTTTTTCATAACAAGCAAAAAAAAAGATGGTGAACAATCAATATCTTACAGCTATAAAACCATTTGGGTTAAATGTGAAAATGTTGGTACGTTGCCGTAAAATCTATACGTACTGGGATAAATTATTATGGGGGGGGGGGGGCCTCACCATTGGCGTCCCTCGCCTAAAACGTATTATTGGGGTGGGGGCATATCTCCCCGGGATCGCTGCCCATGATGAGATCACTATATTCCTTTGGGATAAGACAAGTGGAAACCTACATGCTTACATCTTAAAGGAACTCCTTCCAACGAGGCATGTAGAATACTAGCGGGTAGTACATGAATATTTCAATTTTTGACTATTTGTTTCCCACTAAAACAGGTTAACATAGCATTCTGATTTGTTTTGGTCTGGATGACTTTTTTTCAAGGGAAAAAATGTCCGAGAACCTATCCTGCAACTCCCAAAGCAAAGTACACGTACACAGAAACCCCGGATATTGATGTAAAAAATCTCGGCGGACACACTGCAGATAGTGCCTTTGTTAGGCGTCATACCTCTCTCTTTGCCGCCGCTGAGGGGGTAATCATTACGCAATGGATGGAGCAGCGCTGCACAGATGACGCTTTTGGCCTTCCCTCGAAAGCCAGTATACACTTTACGTGTGCATGTCAGAAAATTGTTCTCTGTGCTTTGAACAAAGTTAGGCATTGCAGTGTGAGATGTATTTCATAAAGGGAACATGAAATACAATTTTGATTGCATTTTTAAAGGATGATGAATAAAGGATGAATAAAGGATGATGTTCTTAACAATATTTTGTGTATGGCGGTGTTTATTTTCTGGGATAAATGGAAAATAATTTGTGAACATGTTTGGTCAAACTACTCCGCCCCAAAAAGGGAAGCTTCATTAACATAAAACTTCGCGAGGGGTATGACGCAAATCAAGGCAGACACTTGCCGCGCTGCGGGGGGGGCACCGGCATTGCGGCGTGCATCATAATACATGTACATACATTGCGGCACTGAAAGTTTTTCTGGTGTTTCGTTCGGAATCGAGGAGAAATCATGACACCCGATTTTCGGCCATGCCGACAAGGTGTGTGGCTGCTGGGTGTAGCAAAACTACCAAGGATGGAGTAAGCCTTCATTTGTTTCCAGTAAATCCGAAATATTGGAGCATTTGGAGAGCCAAAGTGAAGGTAAATACCAGAGCAAAGTGGTCCGGGCCCAGTGAGTTCGCGGCCCTCTGCGCTGCACTGTCGTGCTTTGATGCTGGTCTGTCCAGCAACTTTGGCATGCTCCTAAAAAAACATTGAGTCAATGTCTGAATCATTAGAACTCTGATTCGAATCGGACGAATCTGTACAATTTTTATCGAATTCGCTAAGGAAAGAAGAGGAAGAGTCTTCGGAACCTTCACGGTCATGACGGTCGTCCTTGTTTCATTCGCAACGGTGGCACCGTGGCACGTCCACGTGTGCATGTAGTACATGTACATGTATATGTAGACACATTCGTACGTGCTTCGCTAATCCGTCTCGTACCCAGACGTCATTTACGGGCCCTGGATTTCTCTGCCTTTGTTTACGTCATGAACAGCGCCCTCATTTGGAGTTGCCGCGAAAATCAAAAAGGGGGGTTCAATTTTGGATGGCAAATTACCACACTAAACGTACACCAGAACCAGTTCTGCTTTTAATTCACATTTAATACACATAAATGAATGTATATATAAAATAACATACGTTATGAAAATTTTGGACAGCATGTTTCCTTTGTTAACGTCTTTGCCCTTTTACTTAGAGCCATCGTAGTACCCCCTACGGGAAGAGGAGTTACAGACGTGATGAACGCACTTCGTCTTTTTCATTGCAAGACTATATATGTAGCGCTTCACACGACTCAATTTTAAAACATATTTTCAGATAACACGGGGGGTTCCCCAATGCTCTATTAAAGGACTCTGAGTAGCAATGTCATTTTTCTTGTCTTGAGCCAAAAAGTATTTCACGTATGGGGCCTAAGTATTTTATTCAACACCTTTTCAAAAATAGCTGTTTACACTTAGAAAATTCGAGTGAATTTCTGAATTCCCAGAGTGCCTTTATATTTGCCAACAATTTAAAGAAACGCTGCCACTACAACTTCTAAATGTCGAATAATTAATATAGAAGATTCGATAAAAGTAAATCTTTATGCAACACCTGAATAAATCCCTGTCATCTGATTGGTGGATCGTTGATCACATGTCATTGACTTATTCGCCCCAACCAACGGCCCGGCCGCACCGCAAAATAGAAATTCTATTCCACGGTAAATAGATGTTTAATTTCACAGTCACACTATTGGTCACTTTGACCAATCAGACGACCAGGATTTATTCAGGTGTTTTATAAAACAAATAATAGCCTAAATGTTTCACATTCGTACAATGGAAAGAATAATTTAATTCGGTGACAGATGGAATGGAACATTCATAATGTCACCTCACAAAAATTATTATTTGCACTCATAAATATTCATTATTTGTATACTACACTTTCAAAAGCACAATATTTCAATTACAAGTTCAACAAGCGAACAGTGAACACATTTCCAAAACAGACTTTGCTATTTAAACAAATTATTTAAAAGGGTCTCAATAAAAATGTATGTGTATATATAGCTTTTGGAAACGGGGGTTTGATATGAAGGGGAGGTTTGCGTGATGGCTGAAGGTACGCCTTACTAGTGAGCCCGGAACATGTCCCCTATGCTTTCTCCAGCATTCCAAGTAGGCAATTTGAGAATAAAGTTAGGAACTTTAGCAATTAATTTCTTATTTTTTGGCCCCAATGTTTTGTTAGAGTATGATAACATTAGTGAGCGACTGAACGGGTTGTTGCAACCTCCCACCCCCTCACCGTAGATCCGCTACTGACCGGGCACACACACCACTGACCCCATGACCCCATTGTCCAGTTTTGTTTATTTCTCGTTCCGAAACCGACAAAATTATGTCCATAAAAACGGCCGGAGCCTGCACGTCGTCGGTAGTGCCCTGAATACTTTCTTAATACGTGTTCTTATTTGACTCTATGAAATACCGACTCATTGGTAGTATTGGTACCAAACAAAGGGTGAAAGGAACCAGATTTCGAAGAGTCTGAATTTCAAGTGACACCGGAAAAGTGTTTAAAACAAGCCTGCCGGTGTTTATCAACGTTTAAACCCACCCACGTGACGGCCTCTCGACCAATAGGAATGGGTAAACTGTAGCGGCAAGTTGTGAAATCTAATTTGGGTTTAATCATAGTTGTTATTTCAAAGTGTTTTCTAAACTTTATGATCACGCATACCTTTGATTGGAAATAAGTTTGTTGCGGTAAAACTGTGCGTACGTTAATCGTTCCCGTACTTTCGTAATCGCGCCCTCTTGTGATATGGTGCATTTTGTAAGATCAAAGTTTAAATTTTTCATGATTCCGATGATTCGTTAATAATGGACATGTACCAAGTTGTTCTCCCCAAATAAATGTAAAATTATCAGGTTTTCTAAGTCCCAAATGTTGTAGTTTCGGATCCAACACAATCGGTAAGCCTTGTTGATTTATTCATGGTTATAATTTATCGTATTTTGAGTGATTTATTACGATTATTTGCAGCTTTTCAAAGTGAAGATTTATATGTTTTGGGGTGTGTTTACTTACACGTACATGTACAGGGATAATGTACGCACTATGTCAAGTGAAGGCTCAAGCTCAATCGCATATATTTGACTAATTAATCTAATGGTTTATTATGTTTTTCTGTAATTGTTAATACTAAAGTTAAGTATTGTAATTTGTGTAATTACAGTGAACCACCACCATAAGCACCAAAGCACCAAATAAAGCAGCAATAAAGTACTACTGCCTCAGGGTGTGTTCAGAAAGGGACCGAATACTTCAAATAAAAACACTTGTGTAGCAAATGTCGTTTGCAAGGCTACATAAACTGTCTTAGGTATTTATGAATGTAAATTCAATCCGCCACGAGGTGGAATTTGGACGAATAACCGAGGAAAAGCAAGGAAATGAGGATACACAAAGTTTTTTTATGAAACAAGTTATCCTGACCAAGAAAAACCGTTGACGATTATTTTGTCACCCTCTATTGTTTCCCGAGACCGCAAAAAACTACATGTAATGGAGAAAAGCCCTACGTCGTGTCAGACCTGCCAGCTCATACTAAAATAAAAGGACCGTCATTAGCGGGGGGTGATAATTGGGATGAAAATCTAAATTTTGGAATATGATTGCGCCCACTTCAGAGGTGATGCATTGGGTCATTTTGGGGATATTTTGTATAGAAAGTGGGTGTCTAGCATGAACCCCCCCCCCACCCCACCCCGCCCAAAAAACTAAATCTGCACTGTACGCACAGTGGACAGTGGGTAGTTATTGCGAAATAAATGCCTTTTTTCCCCATTTTAATCGCTTTGGCATAGTTTATATTGAACACACCACTGAAGTCAGTAAAACTTTCATAGATGAGCACATAACTGACAATTTAATATATAAAGAACATTATTAATGCACTAATATCACTAAATATCACAGACAGTCGGGCTAAAGATATACATGTAAATATTTTATGAAACTGATATAGACCTAGGGGTCTTTCCACATACAAACGGTAACAAAAGTGTGACATTTGGGGAACCATAGACAGAAGTCGAAACATGAAGTACTCTGTCATGTTTTTTCCTCTTTCTACATCCCATGTCCTAGTAAGAACATTGTCCACCAACGAGTTTGATAAATTTCTCAGGATTCCAAAAATTACAGAGGATTATCTTCAAGATTTAACGTTCATAACATGGACAGACATTTCATTTTTAAGTGTTGGGAAGCAGTCAATGAAATGCATGAATTATCCCAAATTTGTTCCTTAAGTAAAGCTATCCATTGAGGGATTGCCACTGGCCAATCTTACATTAAACCTCCACCGGTAGGTATTTTTAAACTACAGGGATGTACATCTTCAAGACTTCATACATTTTCATAACAGGGACAGAAATTTATCACAAATTTGTGTCCTTGTTGTGAACATGTATCAAGTCGCATTTCAATTTCATAAATAAAATAGGTTGCTTTAGTGTTGAATGATACCAATTCAACATTGAATAAGTTATATAAATGGAACAAGAGCTGGATTAATCATAAGAATGAAAGTAGTATGATTCAAGAATGTCCATTCATGTCCGTCTTTTCATCTTAAAGATGGCATAGTAATTTCATGCATATCTATTGAATTAGCTGACTTATTTATCAATGCAATCACGAATAATACAAGAATGTCTGTAACAAAAATTTAAAAAAAAGCAAAACACCTGCTTTGAAATCCACCTCCCATGTCTCACCAAGGGGATCAATCGCTTCTCAAAAGTAGGGGGACATACCTTGATCGGAATGCGATCGCAAAGCGCGAAGCCCTAACGGTGTGGGGTCCGGGAAACTTTTTGAATTCTAGACGATCTGTGGTGCTATCTGAGGCAATTTTTGACAATTTAAACACATTTTTGTGAGCAAAAGATCATATTTTAAACATTATTTGCTCGAGTTTGAAGTCATTGAATCAGCTTTTCTGAGTTTAGTTTGGCTACAATTTTCATTCGGGGACGAAAAATAGGGGGGGGGGGAACAAATGATATGATTGTTAGGAGGGGCTCTCTCTCTCTCCCCCCCCCCCCCCCCCACTAGTGCGCATAATTTGCGGTTAGAACAACACCCCCATGGACAGATGGTATATACCAGCCCCCCCCCTCAATTTGATTTTACGGAGGGCACGTGTACTAAGAAAAAAAATGTGTCTGTATATACATTTCAGCCTGGATGTGCAAGTGCCCTTTTCAAGACATTGTTATCCCCCCCCCCCCAATATACATGTAAATTTATGCCCTTGCTATGCTCATGTTGCCTCTTTCAGGGGTTAAACTTTCAAGGCAGCGCCTCAAGCTAAGCATCTTACTGAGTTCTTTCCATATGCTGTTGTGCCTGAATGTTTCCAATTTGAAATAATAAGTCTTTATTCATCATAACTACAACATGACTAGTCAGGGTATGAACAGCAGAATACTCAAATAGCCAGAAAAGGGCCATTTTGGGGTTAATTTTGAATTTGAAGGGGTGGGGGTTATTTAAGAGATACAGCATTAGTTTTGGTGTCAAAAGTCTTGTATTGATGGTGTTAACCATTTCCCAGATGGGCGTCTTCAAATTTTGACATTGGACTTTACCACCCCTCTACCGTCATAATCCAATGAGTTCATTCAGTATGGAGACCGACTGCCTCTTTACCCTGACTCTTGATCCGTCTGACGGCAGAGTTCAAGAAAGCTGAGGGTTGTGGAATGTCATTCCATCGGCGACACCAAATACAACCGTAAACGTTCTTGAAGTCACGATGCCGGATGCCATAGAAAATTGGGTTGACGCAACAGCTGGAGAACAAGATGGCAGTTGCATATGGTACAGCTGGCTCAAAGCTGCTGATGAAAAGACACACAGCATACGGTAGGAGAAGAACTATGAAACCACCGACAACAAACGGCATGGTCTTGTTGATCATGTGAGTCGGGCTGATGGTGTCCAACGAGGCTGATGCAGATCGAGCACTGTCGCTGCCGGCGCCTGATACGTCCGTATTCAGGATGCCACCTCGTCCAACCGTAGAGAAATTTGGTTCTTGGGCTGGACAACGAAGGAGACGCCAGATATGTGAATAGCAGACGATGATGCAAACGAGGGGGATCGGGTACAAGCCAAAAACTCGGATAAAATTGTAAGTTTTGAAGCCTGCCTGGTCGGAGGACTTGGTACCACAGAGGTGGAATTTCTCATTGAAGCCGACTTTACCCACATTAATGAGTGGTGGTAAAACGATGACAAAGATCGGAATCAGCCAAGTGACCATCAGCCACACTGCAATCTTCTTCGGTGTAAAGATCTTCAGGTACGTGGTTGTCGGTCGAGCGATGAGTAGCAAGTGGTTGAGGGCAAGGGAAGCAAGCGTGTAAATACCGCAGCCAATGGTGATGGAGACGACGACGGTGGTCACACTGCAGATCCACTCACGATCACCACGGGGTAGGTCTCCCGTACTCAGCAGAGCTACCACATCCCATGGAAGCACCAAACTGCACATCAAATGCGCTGTACTCATATTCACAATGAAGGCGATGGTTGTAGACTTCAGCACCTTCGACAGCAATACAGCTATGATCACCAGGGAGTTTCCGATAATTCCAACAACCGACGTTATCAGGATCAACATTGCCACCACGACTCTCTGGTTGTAATCACTGAATTCGAATGGTTGGCTCCTCGTAGAATTATTCATGGTGAATCTTGTCTTTTCTCTGATCGAGATGAATTGGTTGTGTAAGCCGTTCAGCGCTGAATGCAATGGTGACACGCGTAGCCGTGTAGATCCTTTGTGTGGCAGGTCGCGCAGTGGTCAAGGTTCTGCACAACATATTTGTACATACATGATAATGCAAACGGAAGGAGCGATGGCTTTTGTATGGTGTCCTAGAAGGGACAATCTCATACGTTACTTTATCTTTCTTGAATTAAGTTAAGGAGAATACACGAGAAAGTGTGGATTCGTAATTTAAGAATTCACGAGGCGCGAAGCGCCGAATGAATTCGTAAATTAAGAATCCACACTTGCGAGTGTGATTACAAACCATTGCGTCAAAAGAAGTATTGGCATAAGGACTTGGGGAAAATGTTGCAACCTGACACCACTTCTGCGATTGTGTACAAAGTCTATGGAGAGTCAAGAAAATTTTGTAAGTACTTCCTAACAAAATTGGAAATATTTTTCAGTCCCAGATTCTCATCATTTTTGCAACGAATAACCTTCATTGAGATGATATATGAAGAAAAACGTGGCGTCAGGTTGCAACATTTTTCCCGGCTCCTTCCGTCGCGTCGATATAGTTCAGACGATGATTTCTTTCTGACTCGAAGTAGGTTTTGCAGTGACGGCGGAGAGTCTGACAGTGAAGATGCATTGGTAATTTCGAAAGGGAATGTTTCACGCATACGGTCCTATTAATGCCCATTATGGAGAACAATTGTCCAACGTGTTCAAAGTGTGGATTCGTAATTCCGAATCCACACTTTACTAAAGATTCTTTGTTCCGAATCCACACTTTGTGACCAGCGTAACAGATTTGTAGTTCCGAATCCACACTTTTAACAAGAGTGTGACGTCATAGCAATGGTTTAACAATACATGTAGGCCTATATCTATGTAAACGAAGAGAAAGGAAAATACTTTACCTTTAATCCTGCCTCACTTGATTCGAAGGCATAATTAAATTCATGAAATTAAAAAAGGATGGAATTAGATCTTACCATTATATGAACACACCCTCAAAGTCTTTGGTGACTGAACCGTATATAACGGGGTCAATTAATGTAACAGTTCATGAACGTAATTATTTTTTTTCGAAGTTCCAATAATCAATAAAATACAGTATTAGGCCTACAGTGTAAAAAGTGCAGCAAACTTGCTGACAATTTAGAAACGTACTTTGCACTTAACCCCTAAGCAACCCATCGTTGGTATTTTGGAGATTCATCCGACTGGGTTCTCTGCCGCATTCTAGTTGCAAAAAAAATCATCATCATTAATAATCCGTTCGTCTGGTGACTGACCAGGACCAAACTTGCCTTCAGACTTTCACAATACTTTATAAGCAGAGCTGATTATTATGAGCGGCAAAATGCAGGTGGCCCGTTCAAATCGCATCAATCAATCCACAGCCTTGAAATGAACCATTTTCAACCCCAAATTGATCGAAATCAGTCAATTGATCTAGAGATACATGATGATCTTCAGTTTTTATAGCCAAATGAGCATTCTGTTGTCACATGAAAGAACGAAATGAGTCTTAAGAACAAGGTTTGAACGGTGTGTTTTTTTACGTGCAGTACCGGCGCATGAACTTTGATTCATCACCAAGTTTGACATTTCTATAATTCAAGGCCCATGCAATGTATTATTTAATGCAATCCTTGAAATGCACCTTTGTGTCCCATTGAACCGTATTTTCAATTTTTGTTTTGCCATTTTCAAGGGTATTTTGCTGCCTTTTTATGCTTATATTCATGAGCAAAACTGTGATGTCATTAAGGGCAGAAACCTCAATGGAACTATTTTGTATTTATAATGCAGACAACAACAAAAGGTTTTTCTCGCTTGGACACACTAGCTGTTTTCAGTAGTTTTTACCTTGCTTTAACACTCAGAAACAAATTGGTTGGATTTGTTTTGCGATATAATTTGCTCATTTCCATAAAAAAAATGATGGGCAATACCGATATCACATTAAAATGAATTCATCGAGGAATATCGATAATTTATGTACAAATGCATCCAGCCAGTTTTCCTTTTTGGTTTATTTGACAAAATAGAATAAGTAAAAGAAAATAATTTCATTTCATGGACTGCAATTAATGTTATGGCCACGGACGAGATTTGGTATTTCATTTGTTTTGGGAAAAAACTCCGCCATGCATACTACACAATCCCAGAAATTCCACAACCGTCGCCACACCATTACATAGTTGAATATAGTTTTAAGAAGTCATACAAGAAATAAAAAATGGTACTAATAAATACATGTACCCTTCTCCACCAGAATCTCTTTAATTTTTTTTGTCAATTCGTCAAAGTTCTTACACAATTATTACTGCATTTAAGTTTCGTTTTCGAAATTGACCATCGCAGAGACTTTCCCATTTTAAAAAGACACGTTTCCTGTAATGTAACTCATTCTCTGAAATATCTGTTTAATCTGCTTGCCAGTATTCAAGTGACGACATTTGTTTATCTCTATGAATAAATACACCAAGTACATCAAGAGTCGCAAATATCGAAATGAAAGTGGTAGAATATGATTTTCTCGATGCTTTGTTAAATATCATACAATCATTACGTCATATCGGAAGTCACACTTTTAAAGACAAAGTGTTAGATTTTGCCCACACTGTGTTGGATAGTTCAGGTGTGTCATGGTGCTGCATGTATACTTTTCTTATTTCCTATTTGACAATTATACGTCTTGTGTACAAATTGTGTTGTTTGGTTATTAGGGGACATACGAGACAATCGTTTCCCCGTATAATGCTGATATAATTATTGATATAATATATGTTAAGGCACATAGGAACATTGGTAATTACTCGGAAATAACCTACCGATTTAAAAAGAAAAACCTCAAAATAAAGATAGATCTGGTCCCTAATATCCTGTGAAATTGTTCCGCTAGAGATGGTTTCGATCAAAACAAAACAATCATTGATGTTTTTTTTTTAAAACGTGCCCGCGGACACATTTTTTTACGAACATTATCAACGAAATTAAATTACAGGGCCAAATAACATGTGCACATGTTTTCTCAAAATCTGAACATGTACAAGTAGCAGCCACTGAGCTAAAATTCAACATGTCGGCTATTACCCTACTTACATTTCGTGGCAATTTTGCTGATCCAAATGGACAAAAAAATGCACAAAGAGCAATATACCTTTAAAAGATGCCATTTAGAACATTGTACCAGTTGATTCAAAATGAAGAAACAATAGTTGTATTATTGAAATTACTATTTAGTATACTACTAATTAGTATATTACTACATCTCGAATAAAATGCTTAAGTATATTTCTACCTCTTACTCTCATTTACGGCATGGTTTAAAAATAGTGACTAAATAAATTGTGATTTCAAATACAAATATATATCAATATATGTCTGTGCAGCAGGAAATGTATATATGAAATATTTTTTCTTATATGGATAAGGCTAGCGTAACGAAGTGAACAAAAGAATGTACAAGTTAAAATCTTATGGGCAATCAGGTCTCCGTTAATCAAGATTCAAATACCAAGATAGGAAAAACTGGTTAAAAAAAACCCCATTTCAAGTTAAAAACTTGCATTGAACATGTGAACATCATGTTTGATCTTTTGCAAAATTATACATAAACATGGTACGATTAATCATACATTCAAAATAATTTAAACATACATGTATTGTGGACAAACTAGGCCCCCTGGTATAAAAATATAAGAAAGATTAATATTGGTTACAAAGTATTTAACATTTTGAAAATTACGGGAGGGCACTGTTGTAGGCATCGATGTGATTGGCAGAGACACCCAATGTGAAATTGAAGACGATAACGAGGGATGAAGACACGTGGCGTTGTGAACGAGATCTCGGTTGCGACAACTAGATAATGATGATGATAACTGTTATAGCGAACCGTCTGGAGCGACACTAATTTGCACTGATCATACATCTGAGTGTATCCTAAGTTAACAGAGAGGTTTTCTTGAGGTGGTAACCAATCTTTACACATATTGTGAGATTACACAAATAATCGATATTCTGTTGAGGAAACTATAGAATTAAATATAGATCTAGCCCTATGTGGCATGGTTTACCTGTTCAGTTTCTGTACTTAGGCCAAGAAAATAGTTCTGCTTCCGATTACATGGCATTCAAAAATAGGGTAGATAGGTAAGTAGGGATTTTTTTTGGCCATTTTTTCCCCGTCTGCCTGTAGTCAAGAGTAAAAGGTATTAAATTGATGGTTTGGGGTGTTTTTTCCCCATTTTCCTTATTAAAAAATTAGGGTAGGGGCTGTCAGAATAGGGTAAGTAAGGAAACCGAAAGCAGAACTATTTTTTTGATGGCCTTATCCGAATACACAACTAATTTAACTTGTGCTATGAGGTATTATGCCAACGTCGGGGAAAATCAGGTTACGTGCTCATCAGCATGAACAACTGACCGCTTGCTACAACATTGGATCCTCCTCGTGGCTTTCAAAAAAGGTGAGGGTTGTGGAATGTCATTCCATCGGCGACGCAAGATACAACCGAAAACGTTCTTGAAGTCACGATGCCGGATGCCATAGAAAATTGGGTTGACGCAACAGCTGGAGAACAAGATGGTAGTTGCATATGGTACAGCTGGCTCAAAGCTGCTGATGAAAAGACACACGGCATACGGTAGGAGAAGAACTATGAAACCACCGACAACAAACGGCATGGTCTTGTTGATCATGTGAGTCGGGCTGATGGTGTCCAACGAGGCTGACGAAGATCGAGCACTGTCGATGCCTGCACCTAAATTCTCCTCCATTGGGATGCCCTTGTTTGTGGGTGTGTCGTCTCCAACTGAGGAGACAGTTTCCCCAATATGGCGACGAAGGTGAGCCCATATGAGGGCGTAGCAGACGATAATGCACAGTAGGGGGATCGGGTACAAGCCAAAAACTCGGATAAAGTTGTAGATTATGAACTTGGCCTGGTCAGAGGACTTGGTTCCACAAAGGTGGAATTTGTCATTGAAGCCAACTTCACCCAGATTAATGAGTGGTGGTAAAAGGATGACAAAGATCGGAATCAGCCAAGTGACCATCAGCCACACTGCAATCTTCTTCGGTGTAAAGATCTTCAGGTACGTGGTTGTCGGTCGAGCGATGAGTAGCAAGTGGTTGAGGGCAAGGGAAGCAAGCGTGTAAATACCGCAGCCAATGGTGATGGAGACGACGACGGTGGTCACACTGCAGAGCCACTCACGATCACCACGGGGTAGGTCGCCCGTACTCAGCAGAGCTACCACATCCCATGGAAGCACCAAACTGCACATCAAATGCGCTGTACTCATATTCACAATGAAGGCGATGGTTGTTGTCTGCAGCACCTTCGACAGCAATACAGCTATGATCACCAGGGAGTTGCCGATAATTCCAACAAGCGACACGATCAAAAACAGCGTGGCTACTATAGCTCTCTGGGTGTAGTCGCTAAACTCGTACGATGTGCTGTTAGTCGTAGAGTTATCCATGTTAGAGTTTATTAAATCTTTGTTGATCTCCGACCGCTGATATTTTATGATGAGATCTGCCTTTTTTTCAGCGATGTTACAAACAACCCCGTGCAGCCTACAATACGTGACAGAGAATTCGTCCTTCAAACACCGAGGCTTTTAACAACGCGTCAGTGGTTTTCAATGACTTTTTGTACCCACTTTACCACTCAACCGTTTCGTCGACCTGGGTACTCGCAACCATGAATGGATTGCTTTGGCTCAGTTTACCTTTGTTTGTTGCATGACATTATGATTGAGGTGAGGGTTGTTTAAACAGTAGTCTTGGCTCAAGTCAGTGCTCGATATTGATATTAGTTTTACGTTGAATTGCAGGACAGATGAATTCCATTGTGTCCGTTGCGTAGTCAACGTTGGTACTTCTGCGCGCATGTACCATAGGACAAGATGGTCCCCATCCTTTCGCAAATAGGTTCTGATCATAATGACGTCAAATTATCTGTATCTGTATCGGTATGCTACTGCACAATCGCCTATGGTGGGGCTATGGAAGTGCGCATGGGTGGAAAGTTGGCCGATATTTATCTTGTCTACAGGGTGAGTCAAAAAAGCGGAACCCAAACCCAATAAAATATATTTCATATTTAAAAAATATGTAGCACCAAAAATAATGACAGGAAAGCAAATTTTAAAAGGTACTTTTGGATGAAAAATTACTGAAATTGCTCAATCCGTTCAAAGAATATCACCATTTAAACACAATGACCCAAAACCTGTCTCGTCCCTCCCAAAAAGCTATTCATATTGTGTTTTGACTGTTTGGAACAACAAAGAAAATGACACAGAATACTTGTTTCAACAACTGTCACCAACTGTAGTACACAAACCACCCTGGTTAAGCAATCAATATGATTTATAAAATGTACATTTTTAAAGGACGGGGCTTCAAAAGGATTTTGTTGAATATTTCTAATGTTTAAACTGAGATTTTATCGCTGGTGATGTTTGAAGACAATTGCAACGACGATTCTTGAAATCGCATTTTTTTTGGACGAGACAGGTTTTACAGGGTCATTGTGTTTAAATGGTGATATTTTCTGAACGGATTGGCCAATTTCAGTCATTTTTTTTCATCTTAAAGTACCTAATGAAATTGGCTTTCCAGTCATTAATATTTTTGGTGCTAAATATTTTTTTTAATATAGAATATAATTTTGGGGGTTTGAGTTCGTTTTTTTTTTACTCACCCTGTAGTTGGGTTTTGAAGGCGTTCAATGTGGGTTGGTTTTTAGGAGAGTCATGTAGGAGGTTCCACTCAGGGATTGTCCATGGGTATAGCGAGTGGAGATAGTTGTTTTTGTTTGACTGGACGCGTTGAAGATTTAAAGCGCTATTGGTTTGTCTGGTAGTACGTCTGGTGGTACGCTGGTCATGAATGTGCAGATCGGAGATATTACTTGGAATAATACCGTGGATTTCTTTGTAGATTGTGCATAGTCGAGCTCTGTTGCGTCTTTCTTCTTAAGGGTCCCAGCCTAGCTCTTTGAGCATTGCAGTGACGCTTGATGAGTAACTGTAGTCCCTCAGGACGAACCTGCAGCTGCACGTCTCTGAACTTTTTCAAGCACGCTGATGGTGTTCAATTGGTGAGGGTCTCATATGACTTGACAATGTTCCAGTAGTGGTCGAACAAGTGCTTTTGTTATTGTCGCCGATAAGTTTTCCTCACCACCGCTCAGTTCTGTATAATTTGCATAGAATGTCAGGTCACATTTCTTTATTCTCTTATATATTATTATTCATCAACTAGCTTACGTAGAATTTTAAGGTCATAGGGCGTTAGTCAGACAATACTGTATTAGAATTCATCACGTGAACTCGCTCTATATTTAGTCTGGATAATTCCGGATTCGCGCCAGTCTTCGCCATGCCGCCGAAAGCTGCGAAGACTGTAAGTTTTCGTCCTTATTTTTCTGTGCTTTATTTATATTTATGTTATTTGGGGGGATTTCCACATTTGTGATAGTATCATATTTTGTGTGTACCTGTACATTGTGTATTTACCTGTGAATTCTGGCTTAGGCCAAAAAAAAAAGTCTCCGGTTTCTGGTATGGAGCTTGTCCAAAAAGTGGTGCGGCGACGCGGCTTTTTGTTTTGTTTGTACCTGACTTTTTTGCTTCAAATGTCGACTGATGACTGCAAATGGTGCCCGACTAAACTTAGTGCAAATATATGGGATTTAAGAGAGGCTACATAAAGCTTATTCTCGATCATAACCCAATCTAAAAACACGTTTAAATTGTGCAGCAGCAGAATTCCAGTCAAACCAGTGAGTTTGGCGGTTTTGAGACATCATCTTTCATTAAAAAAAAAACTTTTTCATTTTGCCGATGCGCATGGCTACGGCGACGCGCGCGCATACCAGAAACCGGAGACTTTTTTTTTGGCCTTACTTGACTTTATATCGTTGTATTTATTTTGCAAACGAATTGTTCATGTAGGCACAAAATGTACATGTACGCGTGCTTGTGCACGCGCGTTTTTGGTTTACCAGTTACGATATTGATGGTAGATAATGTAATTCAGCGCTGTTATCTGTTTAAGGGAAAACATCCTGGTGTCACCTCGTCAATTTACTTCGGTGTCACTCATACACACGGTGACAGCTTTATATGCTTTTTCTTTGGTGTGTTTTTCACAGCTGGATAGTGTTCTTTTGAGTAGACCGAGGGTTCCGTGTTTGCTTTGACTGCAATTTGGTTGGAGTTTGGTTTCCGTTTATGTGCCACTCGCATGGAGAAGCATTTGGACCGATTAAAACCCATTTGCCAGGTAGATTCCCAAGTGCATAGGTGGTCGATGTCCTTTTGCAGGATTTTAGAGTCCTCAGGAGACTTATTTCCTGATACAGAATGCAGTCATCAGCAACGTGACCATGACCATCCGGTTTCCCCGTGATTGGCCACATTACAGTAGGCAAGCGCTGGGTTATCGACCACGTCGTGCTTTGTAAAGTAGACAATAGGGCTTATTTTCACGTACAATAACTATACGAATTCTTTAATATCAAAATAATCATAATGGCGTATTGGTTACTACCGTGTGTCGTGCATGGTTGCCATAATCGTGGCTCAGAGTTCCTTTTTTCATTTCAACTTTGAACGCTTGCCTACTGCCTACTGCGCGCGGCGCCATACGATCCTTGCCTACTACAATGGCGATGCTGACTTTCCGGTAACCGGATGTAGGCCGGGCGACGTGGATCCATGAGAGTCCTCTTAATATGAGCCTATTATAAACAAAATTTGCTGGTCACAGAGCGCCAGCCTAAAGTCATCTTTGTTCCTATCCCAGCGACTATCATATGCGAGTAAACTTGCTTACACAAGAATGTATTTTTGACGCTATACCGACGGTAAGGATTATGCCCTTTGACTTTTCAAGTCATTTTGTCGAAGTAGAGATGAAATCATTACGAGAAACCAGTAAACAGGGCTGTTTGATTAAAATCACGATTTAAATCAGTGGAGCAAAAAAACAATTCAAAAGTTCACATGTAAAAGTTCACATAAAAAACACATAAGTTTGTAGAAAAAGCTTTCAAAGAATTTAAACATGTACCCTGTACATGTACACTGATGTTATCACTCCATCCAGGCTGCTCTCTCGGCAGTCTATGTATATTCTGGTTATGGTTATAAACTTCCCAAATGGGTGTTGTATAGAAATTGTTGTTTCATGCATGGATGGAAGGCATGTATGGTGTTACATGTTCCTAAAGAGGGTTTAAAGAAGTACATATACATGTAGTTATGGGCAGATAGTACATTAATTACAATGGAGTTACATGTACAAACAGCAATCTTCGTTGTTTGAACGGAATTAACACTTATTACACAGACGATAAAGTTCTCTTCGATGGTGGGTCCTTCTCATTACTCAATGTTCCATAATTTCGTAAAGCTAGTGAGACATTCAATTCTCTCTTTTTTGAGGAACAGATAATTTATAAACCAAACAGTCTTTTGGAGTTTTAAAAGGTAAAAATAAGTAGAGATTTACAGATAGGTCTTGAACATAATGTTATAATAAGTCACACAAAGACAAAAAGTATTAATAAAAAATGATAAAAATTTTAAAAATCTGACTTTGTAATTTTTGTTTTTATCAAATCATGATTTTTAACAACCCTGCTGTAAAATAAAAATTGAAATACTATATCATCAAACACGTCCAATTAAAACAAGGAATGTGCAGTGGTGAACATTCCTGAAATAAAAATACTTAAAACAATTTAGTCTTAAATAAAGAAGTACTTAAATTATTCATCACATGGTGAGACACCAGCAAGTCAAGGATATTGCAGTCTAAAACAACGACAGAGCACACAAAAATTTAGAACTTTAATCGGTCGTGCGAGACATACACAATGGTTAAACCGGCAAGCGAAGTAATTGACCCGCAAAACGGGGGGGGGGGGGGCACACATCCCTTTCATCATGATTAACGATGGATGTCCCAAACCAGGAAACGCACTTGTCTGAAACTTACGGGGAAAAAGCGATTGCATTGCAAGTTCCTCCTCCTTTGAGCGCCACATGAGATGAATTCCAGACACGCAAGACAATGATGCAATGCGATTTTCTATTGCTGCCACCTGCCACTTGCCAGAAGTTAGCTATTGCAATGCCCAGAAGTTATCGCAATGCCAAAGTCAAGGAAACAAATACTGGCTAGTTTACAATTACACGAACAATGTACTGGGTACGCCTACAGGCACTATGAAACTCTACAATGTACCTCAAACTCAAGCAAAGATACAAACTTCGCATCAACATTTGAAATCATACAATTTGTCATATGGGCAATCCCAGCTTTACGAAAGAAAAATGTAATGTCTGTGACACAGCCAAACGATATCTAATTAATGACTCAGAGAAATGATCGAAATTGACCATTACTAGATAATGGATCCATAATATTTGAAAAATACATTATTCACTGAGCTTTTAAAAGCTCTGTCATGGACATTATACTTAACACTGGAATTGCCCATGTATATCAACTAATTTCAACTGCCCATATACCATTCTATTTCAAGTACCCACAATAAATACAAAACAAATAATATGAATATGTACATAATTATGAATGAATATGCATACATTTGTAGAAGTATACATGTATAGATTTACAACTGTACATCTGCACCTCTGTAGTACTTTGCCGTGTTATATGACGTCATGACATATCAGTGACTCAACGAGCAAAATGCAAAAACTTACACAGTAAAGCAATTATTTGGGCAGATCAAAGTATAATACCAATTAATCCACTGAATTTCCCCGTCTGTTTAGGTTTTTCCAAAATTTCGTGTCACTTGAATCTTCAAAAGGTCATATTCACACGAAACACATCAATCTGCATGACGGGCAATGATGAAAACGTATATCAATTACGTAAAGGTAAGTGTTGAAATGTAGGGCAGAGGCGTGTCGAACAGGGTGGGTGGAAACTTGACCGCCCCCACCGCCCCTCGGCGAAATGATACCTTTTGCATGAAACACCATCGTCTTATTCAACCACATGAAATGATTAATACACTACTCGCTTGAAACTATGCATATTGTGACGATCGAACAATTTGGAGCATGGGCGATTCAGTTCTGCAATTTAATAACAGACTCTGAACAAGTTTGCCCTCTAAATTTGACTTTTAGGGAAAGTTGTAAAATTGAGCTCCGTGCTTTTAAAAATGTCTCACACTGTAGCGGTGACTGCAGGATAAAATGTGTTAAAGGGAAAATACAACATTTGCAAACATCAAAAAATAAAACTACCAAATCATTTTGAAATACCTTTCTGGACTGTTAGTGAATGACAGTGTAAAGCATCCTGTAAAATCATGGCACCTGGTATACTGTCATTTTCAAGAAAAGTGGTATTTTTGTATCAATTTCCAACGCTGATCGGCCGACCAGCGTTGGAAAAAAACTGGCTTTTTTTCAAATACTGGCCCCAGTTGACCATCGCACTTATTTGCAATCGATTACACACCTATGAACGGGTAAAAGCCAGCTAGACTGGTTCCCTGACCTTACAATTCCCCAATGTGTGTAAACTGGTCTGTTTCTTCTTAAATGGAGTCAGGGAACCAGACTACAGGAAAATGATTGTTTTTCTTGGTTTTTATAGCATTTTCGAACCCAAAACCTCAAAAAAGTCAGTGTAACTATATTTGCCATATATTTCCAACCCCCCAATTCCATCCATTTCTGAAAATTACAGCAAAAGCAAATGATGTATATTCCCTTTATACATTTTATCCTGCAGTCACCGCTACAGTGTGAGACATTTTTAAATGCACGGAGCTCAATTTTACAACTTTCCCTAAAAGTCAAATTTAGAGGGCAAACTTGTTCAGAGTCGAACCACAAACTATCTCCAAACCACTAGGAAAATCACGTGTCGCTGCTTCGTTCAGTTTGATCGTTTCGTCAGACAGCGCGGCAGACGGACAAACTTGACAATTGAATTCAATTCAATTAATTCAGAATGGGTACACAATGGGCCGGATTTAGCCCACTCATCGGCTTAAAGGGCTAATCCCATACGACAGCACTGCCAATTCAAAAGTGACAGTGAGCGGGCGAGCGAGTGAGTGGGTGAGGTAAAATAGGCAAAGGTTCCAGTAACTGGGTCGACCAGCAATGATAGGAACCACCACTATTTGTTCAAACTAAGCTAAATAAAGGTGTTGCAGTTTTAGCAATGGAGTAAAACTGCAACACCTTTAAATATCAATTTACTACCGACCCAGTACCCTAAAAAATGAAACAGTGTGACCAGCGTGAAGGACAATCGTTCCTTCCGGTAACACCTCCACAGGATGTGATATTTGAGGCTACAGGTCCAAGAGCTTTATGGTGACGTGTTTCCTAACCTTCACTTGGAGTGTAATGACCAACAATGGCCACATCGACTCTCTCTTCAATACAAACTCAGCTGGATATAGCCAAAACGTTTGTAATACATGTATCAGAATTTTGTATAAAGTGGAGTACCCATCCTATTCACTGTACACACAAATGCACAGTCGGGACCAAGGCTTTATGTTTGCTATAAAAAAAAACGAGAGTTGACACGTTAAGTCAAAATACTGTACATGTACATGTTGGGTTTTTTTTGAAATAATATTGGCATTCACTCGAGCTTGCATTTTATGTATTTACAAAACTAACGGTCTTCAGGCATGGTGACGCCAAGTTGAACACGCTCATTTACACGAGTAATTTCTTATGCATACTGCAATATTACAACAACAACAACAACAACAACAACAAAAGTAATTTAATTATAGCTACCAAATTTGAAACTAAATACGATACTACATGCCGTGCCCTGGGTCTTTTTTTCCAACTGGGGAAAAGTGATTAATCTCGATCCTGATGAGTAATTTTGAACTTGGAACAGGTGTGTAATTTGAATTGGACGGCGGTTTTGAGCCGAGGTACATGTGTTTGTGATGGATTACCATTACCAGTCATCACTAGCCATCTCAAGTCCAACACATGCCATCCGGTTCCAAGTCAACTACAATGTACCAGCTATTCGGATAAACTGTGGAATGAACAAAGTCATTATTTTGTTAGTGTCCATCATGCATCCCCCATTCCGTGTGACAGGATCTGTGAGTGTGAAGTAACTGATGTTTCACGTTGTGACCAAACCTGTGATGTTCAGTACTTGTGATCAATCATAAGCACATCAACAACACTGTACAATGGTAGCCCAAAATGAACGTGCTTCAACTTCTCGTGAGAAAGTGACCAAATGCATTGCGGCCATCTAAAGATGGCTTTCTCGGCATCTACTTATCCATCCAAGAAAAACTGATGTTGTGCAATAAGGTCAAGATAATTCATCATAACATTAACTTTTGCATTCCTATTCCACCAACACAGTCTTGTTAATTAATTTTCATTATTATCCTCTAGGCACCACAACATTTGGTTCGTCTCACTTTTTTCAAAAAGTCAGAGGGGTTCGGAATCTTGTCCCACTGGCGACGGAGGATGCAACCGAAGACTGTCTTGAAATCACGGTGCTTGGTCGCGTAGATTAAGGGATTGATGCAATTGTTCAGAAGTAGGATGACAGTTGTGTAGGGTATGGTGGGGCCCATGTCAAAGAAGAAGAGGTTAATGGCATAGGGGGTGGCACACAGACCGAAACCGCAGACCACATACACCATGTTCTTGGTAACTTCGTTCTGTCGACGTCGTTTTCGAGACGGGCTGTTGTTCACCGTTGTGCCTGACCGACTAGCGTACTCGCTGTTCTCCTCCGAATGATGAGACGGCACCATGGCGATGTTGGTGGGGGCGTACTTAGGTTTCTTTTTCGGGGCACCGATCATTTTCTTGGCGTGGCGGCGCAGATGGAGCCAGATGAGTGAGTAGCTGACGACGATGGTGACGAGAGGGATAGGGTACAAGACTGCCGCAATGATGATATTGTAAATGTTGTAGTGAGGATTGGATGGTTTGGATCCGCAGAAGTAAAACTGTGGATTGTAGCCGACGGCACCAACACCCGTCAATGGAGGTAGGAGGCTAGTCAGTAGCGGGATTAACCAACTCAGTGCCACCCATAGGACGATCTTTCTAGGTGTGTAGAGCAAGTGGTAGGTGGTGGTAGGTCGGGTGATGAGCAACAGACGGTTCAAAGCGATAAATCCCAGGGTGATGATGCTGCAGCCCACGGTGGTAAACTGGACGGTGGCGACCACCTTGCAGAACCACTCGCTGACCGGCAGCCCGTCCGTGCTAAGCAACGCCACGGAGTTCCACGGAATGGCCAGGCAAGTCAGCCAGTCAGCGACGCTCAGGTTTACCACGAAGGTGTTGGTGGCCGTACGGAGCTTCTTGGATAGAAGCACGGCCAAATGAATCATGGTGTTCCCGACGAGTCCCACCACGGATATCATCAGAATCAGCGTGGCCACAATGACTCTCTGTGTGTAGTCAGTGAATTCATACGAAGGAGTCTCTGTGGAGTTTTCAATAACCCCGTCCATTTGGCGTACGTTATAGTTACCCTTTGCTTGGACACAAAATGTTTTCGAAAATCTAGTGGTTTGTCATGTACATGTACTCCTGAAGTCCTGTGTGTCAACACACTGCATTCCGATTCCACTTAGTCTGAAAACACCTATTGAACTTTTATGAGTGTTGTCTTTTACAACAATGAAAGTTTGACCCACTGTAGTTGGCGTGGTCCGCAAGTGTTACGCGTATTCGTACTGTATAGTTGTGCAAGGACAGTACATGTACATGTACATGTATATGTACATGTACTTGTACGTGGACTGCGGAGTACAGGTACGTTGCGTAGGCTAGGCCTGTATTATGCCAACACTATATAGAGTTTTACGCATGGTTGCTCACCTGGCCTTTGTCAGCGTTTCGAAGGTGATAGTGTTCAGTACGTGCCCCAAAAAATCACAAGGTTGAGAGTGGGAATTATTGACCACTACGGCATCAAAAAACAACGCGCATGGGGATACGAAATAAGCATCCATATCGGTTGAGTGAACGGTGCGGATCTAGCTTTCAGGAAACGGTGGGGGGGGGGGGGGGGGGGGGTTGATGAGGCCCCGGGGGAGGGACTTTAAAATCCACGATGCTTTCGCCTGTATTCTAAGGCAATTTGCGAATAAAGGATGGAACTTTAGGAGCATCCCATTTATTATTCTTGGCTCCAGTATAATACTTTGTCAGGGACTGAACGGGGCCCGATTGCAACCCCCTTTAGGTCCGGCACTGGTAATTTCACTTGAGCTTAATATCGTCGGACGATTCTGTACTGCGAGTTAGTTAAATTGTTCTTTGAAATCAAGTTACGCAAAGTGTTCAGATATACACTCAATAGTTGATCACTGACTTTTAATCAAAATGGGACGAATACAGATTTATGTTAAAACCAACCTTTATAATTTTAATGCAGGACATCTGTAGGAGGCTTCATTTGCTCAGGTACTTTTTGAAATTAGAATGCGTTCTAAAATGAGACGGAACTGGGCACAGGCCATCGTGGAAAAAACTAAGAGTGATGAAGTTTCTGTGATTTTCAGGTTTATTAATATTGTAATATTTTATACGCATATTTTAAAGAAATAGTATAAAAATCGTGGGATAAAGATGTATTGAAGGCCTAGGAGAAACAAATTGGAATCTTTCATTTTCAGTCATATAAAACTCGAACGTTAAAGGCCATTTTCTCAGTACCGTATTTTACTTTTGACATGTCGTTAAACGCGAACTTAAAACAGCCATAACTTGTCAACGGAATGTTCTATCGACGTGCAACAAACAGTACTGTAAGGAGAATTGTATTCTATCTCCTAATACCTGCAAACCCTCATTTCGCACTCTACCCACTTCTGTCTCCTTTTGCCAGAACGTTTCATGTTATTATTTTATCACGGGGGCATGCTGCATCAGAACAAATTTGCGTTTCATAGCACGTTTTTATTCAAATACAACAAATCGTATTTTTTTTTAACTCTATTGTGTCGATCAAGAATGTATTATTCTAGAGTAAAGATTTAGGGACATGGTCAGGTGCTTCTACTAAACGGGAAGTGATTCGCTTCCATGGTCGTTTATGCGTGCGTTATTGCTAGTGTGGAAGGCGATTTTTTTCCCTCATATTTTGTCCCCCTGAGCTGGGCGGATATCCCTGTTTTTTTCCAGGATACAGTGTCCCCGGACAGTTTCCTCCCAGGAATTAGCGCCCCCCCCCCAATATTGTCTCCTACCTCAACGGAGAACAGGCCAGGATATTGTGTCCCCAAGCCGGAAACGTTAAATGTCAAGTCTGGAACCCAGAAACGTACACTTGGTCTGATAATCAAAGAAGTAAGCTTATGATTAGCCTTGAACTTTATCGTAGGTTATATTTGCCAACCGGAATTGTTGTTCAAAAAATTTTTCGCGGGAAAATGTATTCGTACGCCGTCAATTTGACCATCACATCAAACGTTTGCGACATGACATGGGGCCTGATACCATCTGTCGATGGGGGCGCTGTTCAAAACCGACGATTATGCACACAAACGGCCAACATGTGACCGTCCACCACCAATGGGCTGTAAAGTCGCACTTGTAAGTTGTGCACAACGGTACGAAAAGCTCGAAAAATCAGTCAGTTGGTTATTTTCCTTTTTTTTCATAAATGTATAGTTTGTAACATTTTCCTTTAGTTCTGAAAAAATTGAAATGATTGCTTATTCTAAAAGTAGTTAATTTTACGTTTTTTGGGGCCCTCAGTTCAGAAAAGTGTATGAAACCAGCTGTAACTTACGAAAATGTCTAAAAAATATCACAAAGTTGCCGCTATTGCAACCAGCACATAAAGTCCGTTAACCTCTACAAGTTTGGTACCTAAACGAACTGTACAGCTTCAGCAATCTTTTTCCCACTGACTATTTTCGCTTCATGACATTCCTGGCCAATAACAAGCTGTTTTACAAAGCTTTTGTCAGTAAACAATCGGAACGAAGTCCTTAGAAACGCTCTTTTCATTGGAGTAAATACACCACGTGTCCAACTGAGCTTGCGCAGTAGCGATATAAACACAGGAGGACGCGAAGTACGTGTCGTGACTTGGCTTTTTCATGTATCGATCTCAAGCAACAAGTGCAGCAACGGTGACAATTTTAAGGGATTTGGAAGCATTCTGGTAAATTTCCTGCTTACAACTAACAACGACATTATATCATAAGAGGTTTGTCGTTAAAAAATGGATTTTTAGATTTCTGATCGCGACATTCTTGTGACGAATTTCGGCCGGAACAGTGAAGGTACTTTTCAGGGCGATACATGAGCGAAATTCAGCAAAAGGCGCCCAAAACGGCAGATGACACAAAAATTGCCTCACTTCTTTTTAATAAAGGGCACTTGTTCAGAAAAAAGGGCACTTCTTAAAAAGAAAGGGCACCATATGCGAGTCCAGTATTAGGAGTAAACAGTTGATTTCTCTCATCACTCACAAGAAACGGATCTCTCACAATTCGCAACCACCATTTCCTTATGATCGACCACGCATTCACAAACTGAAAAACTACATGTATGTAGACCAGTCGCACTGTTTCTTTTTTTAAAAGTATCACCAGAAAAATCTCGAACATCACTCGGGTATGACCTGGCTGAATTTTGACCTAGACTGGGGGGGGGGGGGGGGGGGGGGGCAAGAAATCCTGTCACACCGGACGCAGCCTTAAGGTTCCAGGCCAGTAAATAGGCCCGAAATTACCTACGCTGGCCAAATCACGAATTGCATGCACTCACATTCTTCGGTATTACAGCATTTTGTAGGCCGTGAAATTGAGGGTTTGTACAAAAAGAACGGATGGACAGTGGCGCACCCAGGATTTGGTTTGGAGGGGGGAGCTCAAAAAAAAAGTTTTTATTTTAAATTTGTTAAATAAAAATTTCAAACAAATTTGCCCAAAAGTTTTGGCCGCAGAAAAAAAATTGGGTTTTTTTTTGAGGGGCGGCCTATTTTGACGTTGGTGGTGCCACTTACATACTACTCGAAAACAGGCCATACCACCAAGGCCAAATCATGGGACTAAAAAAATAATAAGAAAATTGACAACCTCTTGGGGGGGGGGGTTCAAGCCCCCTAGGCCCCCCCCCCCCTGGGTGCGCCACTGCGGATGAAAGCCGTGCACAGGACTGTGAGCTTGTATTTCTGTGAAATTTTGGATGAAAGTGGGCTCCAAAAGTGCTGTATTTTGCAATGGCATCGTTTTTCAAAACGGCGATGGGCTTCAGCTAGGACTATTTTAAGGGGTGATTATCTTCGGATGGAAATTTCTCCTAGAAATCATCGGATTATCCCAAAGAATTGAACAGAAAATGAAAAATGATTAAATAAGTGTTAAATTAATGCATGTCTTGAACACCCTGGAGAGTTGTGAGTATTTCTTCTGAATTTTTGAAGTGGGAGCATTTACCATTGGGGAATTGTCTGTAACCTTAAACTTACTATCCGGTTGTAATGCTGCCCTCAGTTGGTAAAATCGGAAAGCTCAAAACATCGGATCTGCACCATTGACCTCTATTAAGGCTAGTTGTAATGCTGTACAGGCTGATGTCATTCCATCATCGAAGCAGCGTCCGCCATGGATATCCTCTCATCCGTCTCACACGCGCAGAATACCCGCAGGTTTTATTCACGGGCAGTTGATATTCGAGTCGTCCTCAGGGTGCGAATATAAGATTGTATTGTTTTTTTCTGACCTGATTTTTAACACTGAAACAATCCTATGACAGGCCAACATCCACAGAATAATATTATTAAGGGAATTGCTGTATAAACCTCAACTACGAAACTCGTTTTAGGGATCCTAGATGGCGGACCATTTGCTTCAAGGATGCACACCGGTAAATAGGCCTAAATCCATCCTCCGAGTTCATGAATAAAAGTTATACCCTCAAAATATTCTAAATTAGAGAATTCTGAGAGCCATAACATTGGGGAACGACAGAGATATGGCAATGAACCTCTGGCCCGGACTTGGGGCTTCCAATTCTAAGCATTTTGGAATTTGGATGCAATTGGGCTCGAAAGTGGCGCTATTTTGCCATGTTGTGGGGGGGGGATCTTTTTCACGATGGCTACCGTTCCGCTTTGGGGAAAATAAGGGTCGTCTTCTTTGGGCGAGAATTTCTCGAAAAGTCAATGGTCAACCCACCAAAAATTGAAAAGAAAATGAAATATGACATGATGTTGGGGGGAGGGGGTGTAACTATCTTCCAAATGGGCGCTCTGCCAAACTGACCATTATTATGCATACTGCAAATTATATGCGCATTTTCAAGGCGCATTGTAATGGTTTTGGGGCGGGTTTTCTTTTTTGGGCTTGATGTCAGAAATCTCTTACCATTTATTTAAATAATTGCTGAAAAGAAAAACATTGTCAACAAAAATCCGCCGGGGGGGGGGGGGGGGCAAGTTGCCTCCTCTGCCATCCTTCCCCCTGGATGCGCCACTGTCGTAAGCTCGCCGGAATTATGTGGTTAGCACGGGCCATGAAATTCGGCCCTGCATGCTTCATTTCAGTTCATGTCCCGGCTCCGGGAAGTAAAGGGTCGAAAGCTGGCATCGCAAAACCTAGGGGATTTATTGGAACTTTACCTTCGTCTTTGGCGTCAGCTTCACGAGCTTTTAAGACCCGGCCCCTGAAGTAGGAATTCAGCTCTTAACTTTTTAGAGATGAGGTGGACACAATATTGTGAGTAAACCCTAAATGGGCCCACTCCATTACGGACAGCAGATGAGGCCACATCCAAATAGTTATGACAACCTTGTCATGTGGTTTTGACAAGGAACATGAGAAGGAACATGAGAAGTTTGCCGTGGTTTGGAAGATTTCTGTAAAACAATACAATGTTCTTCTAATATGAACGCCTGCACAAGAAACAAAATAATTTATTTACATAGAGGTGACTGCCCTCTCCATCTAAAAATCAACCCGTTCAATCGAAAGAAATTCGGAACTCAAAGGCTACAGAGTTTAATAACGAGTAATCACGTACGTGTGGCTGCTGGTCTGAGAGTAAGTGTCCACAGTTACAGGGCGTCTTTCAATTACGTCTTGGATAACATTAATACATACATTATAGGCCCCCTATGCAAGTCGTCGTCATCGATTCATGCATACGATGTCTAGTAGGTTTGAAGGACAGTACATTAAACTAGGACTACTGAGAGGTATTATTATACGCTACAGCGTGACAAATTGATCTAAACAAGTATTTAAATTCGACATGGAACGAATCAGAAGCGATTTAATTTTTAAAATATACCTCTCACTTATTAGACATCTTTCATTATGTAAGGGAGCGTGCCTACACTGTTTCGATCACCTCGTGAGTGCTTTAAGAAAATTTGACGGGTTTGGGATGAGGACCCACCGGCGACGTAAGATACAGCCGAAGACTGTCTTGAAGTCACGGTGCTTGGTCGCATAGATCAAGGGGTTGATGCAGTTATTGAGGAGCACTATGACGGTGGTGTAGGGTATTAATGGGCTTTTATCATCGACAAACAGGTTGATTGAGTACGGGGTGATGCAGAGACCAAAGCCGCACACGACGTAGAGCATATTCTTGGTGACCTCGGTCTGGCGACTAGTTCCTGGAGACCGGTTAGCGCTGCTCATGGTAGCTGCTGGTACCGGGAGCTGGTCCATGGGAATAGCGTCTTGGTTGTTTGCGATCGCGGACACGCTGGTGGGTGAGGAGACGGGTCGCTTAACAAGCTTCTTGGCTTGACGGTGCAGGTGAATCCAGATCAGGGAGTAGCTGACTACGATGACGACACACGGGATAGGGTACAATACTGCTGAGATGATCAGATTGAATGCGTTGTAATTGGGATGGGTGGGGATTGATCCACAAAAGTGGAACTGTTGGTTGAATCCCAGAGCGCCCACGTTTAGGAGCGGGGGAATGGTAGTGGTGAGGAGTGGGACCAGCCAGATGACTACCAGCCAAACGGCAATCTTCTTTGGCGTGTATATTCGCCGGTATGTGGCCGTCGGCCGTGTGATCAGCAGCAGGCGGTTCAGGGCGATGGATGCCAGCGTACAGATGCTGCAGCCCACAGTTGTGAAGATGACTGCAGCTACCACGCTGCAGATCCACTCGCCAACCGGCAGGCCGTCTTTACCCAACAAAGCCACGGCATCCCACGGGATGACCAGGCAGGTCAGCAGGTCCGCAATGCTGAGGTTCACCACGAAGGCGTTGGTGGTCGTGCGGAGCTTTTTGGACAGCAGCACGGCCAAGATCACCAGCGAGTTGCCGATGATTCCAACCAGTGATATGATCAGGATGAGCGAGGCGACAATGGTTCTCTGGATCATGTCACTGAATTCGAATGGCGGGATGTCCGTAGAGTTCTCCATGATGAGCTTGACTAATACGCTTTTCTGAACTTAACACGGTTCGACGTAACTAGATGTGGTCATCGACCACGGCTTTCATTGATCAGGGTTGAGTAAACATCAACTGAGTACCGCTTGTAAATGTACTCTCTTAAAACATGACTGTCTTCAACGGCCATAATATGTAATGATTCCAATGCAGCAGGTGCTGCTAGCAATCTGCGTCAGTGCGTTGTCCACTTTTCAGTGTAGCGTGAAAATTGTTTTTTTTTCTATCACCATGCATAGCTAGTCTTCAGAAGAACAAATGCATCATGTACCCGCAACTCTCACCGTTTCATGGTCAGATGACTGCCTGCTTGGCATCTAGTGGCCATTGAGATTCTGAAGATTATTTACACAAAATACACAATTAATGTTTAAGAGTTGGCGTCTGTCGGATGGCTTTATAGTAGGCCAATCGTGCTTAGGGTCTGTTGCTGCAGAGATTCTCATGGTGCAGCAATATTATTGTGCGTTTTGAAATAAATAGACCAAACTTTGGAAGCATTTGGATTGTGAACCATCGCAATATAAGGCCGCGAATACTCTATTATCGATCATTTAAATAAAAATATTATTAACTTCAACTATGCTGGCATAAGGTAAGGTACAGTCTTCATTCGACCAAAGTCAACATTTCATTTTGTGACAGTCAGTCGGGGGGGAGTCAGTCAGTCGGGGAGTCAGTCAGTCGTTAGGGGGGGGAGTCAGTCAGTCAGTCAGTCCGTCAGTGAGATATAGGCGCGCAGAGGACTCTACGCTGGCCCTCTGGGACCAGCAAAAATACAGTTTCCTTATCGTAAAAGCTTAACATACAAGGCGAAGATTGTAGTATTAATATTTCCGCCAGTAATACGCCTTGTCGACTCTAGGACCAGCAAAAGCTGTGTAATTATAGAGTTGTCCATATTTCGGCGCCACAGATAATCCATCGAGTGAGGCTATTTGTAAACTGCAAAAAAGTGTAATTTTATGCAGCATAACAAGTCTGAATAAAAAGCCATTGAAATATGAGCCAAAGCTGTCAACTGGTGCCGCTTAAGAGGAGTTTTACTGTTGTTCCAAAAACGGAACCAAAAAAACACATGTGTGTCACATTATATTTTCAACGGCTTGACTTTTAAAGACAAACAAATTTGAAGCTCGAAATTCTTTCGCTGGAAACCACATTTTTTCAGAGTAGAGTTGTGTGAACTATCACATCAAATTTTTCTTTCCGTCTAATATGATCATTTCATGGGAAACGCGTTCAAAATCCCCTGGCGGCAAATTTATGACGAACGGGCACCCTTCAATTTCTTTTGTTCCGGGTACTTTAACCACATCATTTGATTAAAATAAAACAATTATTTCTGTTTAAATGATCGTACAATGTACTTCCTTTAAATCAGAAAGGCTGCAGGTTTATATAATAACAGTTCGTCCACATTATTTTTTGTTTGTTTGCAATCAGTTATATATATGAATGTGCGCAAAGCTGGCTAGTCTGGTTCACTGGCCTGAACATTTCCGGATGTCCATAATGCATCAGCATTGTCAATTCAGATTTGACGCCGTGATGTTGAAGGCCATTCTAATTAAGAAACATTTTCGTTAGCATCTTCTCGCATCACAGGCTGAGTTCTGAGCTACAAATTGCCTTGAGGAAAACAATTGGTGTCATTATAAAACGGAAAAACAAATAAATGAAACAAAAAATAAACTTGTTATTCCTTAATGGCAAAGAGCTAGCAATTCGGCTCTGATGTAGCCTATAAGGTATACGCAACAAAATAACCTCAACTACATAATGCATGCAGACATTTATATCATGGTTAATACTTTTATAGTTCACTGGGAGTCCCTATATCCAAAGATATCTGAAGCAAGTCTTTGTATGTACAACGATCCACACAATTTACTATGTATTCAAATCGACATATTCCGCACAAACAAACACACACACACCCACCCATACTTGTTTCACATGACTAGTGTGGACTTTCCATTGCTTTCGTGTAGTTAAGAAAAACCAGTGAAAAAAACTCATTTTTCTCAAACTGTGAAAACTCTTTCAACCCAATTTTTTTTCTATGATTCCCTTTAGTGTTTCTCTTCATTCTGCTACAGATAAACCTAACCCAAAAATGCCTCTAAACCTGTTTTCCAGAAATGGGGAAACACTGTGTGGACGTGGGCAAGTCCACACAACGTCGGTGCTACCTACATTATGTGGACGTCTTTTGTTCGGAAGTCCACACTGCGTATGTAAGACAAGCTCATATAGACACACCGACCCACACACACAGAGTCGTTTTTTGCTATGCTTCCGAGGATTGGCTTTGTGTTTTCCTTTGTCCCTGTAATATAACACTCTCCCATAGACTAAGCACACAAACCTGCGTTCGAGGACAATAGGCACCTTCCTTCGAGGATCAATGGCCCCTTTGTGCTCCTTTTGTTGTCTGTCCTCAGGCGTAATGCCATGCAGGAACACACACCCACACACACACACGAGGTGTATTTGCCTGCAATCGGGGACCCCCTGTTGTCCCTCTTTTGTTTGTACTCGAACGTTTTAGGAAGACCTCCCATATGTTTTGTACACGAATCCGATAGCCCTCTATTGTTTAATGTCCCCTACAGAATGCAGAAACAAACTCCACGCACACACACAAGACAAAAGAGGAAAAGGTCCTTGAGTGGTTTCCATTCGTCATATAAATCCAGGAAGAAATTAAACTATTAAATAAATCCGATTAGATCGATATGTGCTTTGTATAAATTGGCTATTATTTTTTTTTTTACCACAAGTAGTTCTGTTCTTCAGTAGTGTCCATGGTATATTATGAATGCAAACTTGTTGTTCTCTTATTACCATTGCACTGCCAAAGGTGCCATTTTGTTTTCTTTATCCAATCTATAGATAGAAGAACAAGAAGAGGTTGAAACAAAATCAGAACAAAAACAAATGTTTTTCCGGAACATTCTAGTAAAGCCAATGAAGAAAAAAAACCCATTTGTACTTTAAAATCAGGAAGAAATAAGACTATTAAATTAATCCGACTAAATCAATATTTGCTTTTTGTGTAAATTGGCTATTATGTTCGTTTTTTTTTACCAGGCCTGTACGTCCTTCAGCTTCTCCAGTAGTATCCATGGTATGAAATGGATGCAAGTTCGGAGTTTTCTCATCTGAAATAAAATATTTATATGGGGTCTGACGATACCTGTTGCCACTGCACTGCCAAAGTGCCATTTATTTTTCTTTATTAAAAAATACATGTTTCCCCCGTTGTTACGTATGCCACAAGTAAACACTTAACTGGAAGCAGCCTCGTCGAGGGGGTCACTTGATTTGCAACCTCGTTTTTAATAGTTAGCCTTGGGATGGGAACTTCTTCCTGTATCCTGATTCGATAGGGCAATTGGCTAGTGATGAATTTATAACGTGTACTTGGTGTTGTTATTTCCAACGTGCATTACGTGTTTTTACGTTGATTGTAATTATTACGTCCATAGTATCAAAACTAACACTTTCCTTCTCAATTTTCTCATTAAAATGAAATGTGATACTGCATATTGGCTGGAAATAAGATTGTAACATTTTAACTTTGACAAAATATTCTGTGTTCGTATTGACGCGACGAATTGATTATGTTTTTACCTCAGACAGCACATAACAACAAAGTTACCCTGATGTAAAGCGTAGGCAAGCATCAGACTATTCCTCATTTGGATACGTATCCAACAAAAAAAATTGGATATGCAAATGATCCAGGTGAGAGAACAAGTAGTGGGAACGAGGTTGACTTGAAAGGGATTGTACGCATTTATCAAAATCTATTGACGGCTATTCTGTGGTCCCAACGAGCAGTGAAATCCGACGAAACTGGCATTGCATTTACACAATTAGTTGAAAGGTTAAGGACGAAAAAAGTCTTAAGTGTATAACGCGACGGCATTTTTTCTGTTCAATTTTTTTTCTTCGGAAATCTGAGTCTTTTTCACCCAACGGCGCAGATAGGGATCAGACTGATCGCTCATAAAACCACACGCTGATATACCCAAAAGAAATGGAAATACCCCCCCCCCCCCCCCCAAGTAAAGCTAATGAGGCAACCTTGACCATTTTCCCCGCAGGATCAAGGAAATAGGATTATTGCATAGGTCCATTATTGGGCAAAAACTTGTTTGGTTTTAAAATGAATCCCAGACTATGGTTGTTGTGTTTGTATAGCGCGGCTGCATGTACCGTTCACTAAAAATGAACTGTTAGGTCCTGTAATGTAACATGTATGACGGCTAGCATAATGGTTCCATTATCTAACAAGTACCAAGTGTACAACCCACGGCGGCCGGGTAGCAGCGAGGCCGGGTAACGTGTGAAGACGGCCGTACGGCACCGTCCTTGCACCCGGGCCGTACCGGTACCTTGAGAGTACAGAAAACGAAAATCTAATAATACTGTTGCGCGTGATCTAATATGCAAAAGTATGCAAATTAGACGCATGCCCAACAGTGTTTGCAATATGAGATTTGAAGGTTTGCATAGTGGAAAGGTACTAAGACAAGATAAGTTTGCGGTAGCACCATGTGAATAAATCTCTTTCGTAAGTATGTGTTTGCAAAACCGGTCTTCGAATGCAAAGCTGTATTGTATGAATACATATAATTATTATGGCCGAGTAATAGCGTCCACCAGCCCACTCCCCCATCCCCGTCCGCCCGCCCGCCCGCCCGCCCTCTTTCCCACCCACCCACCAACATAAGCAGCTCAAGCCCACGGTGTGTTTCACACCGCCGTGGGAAACAACAAATTCTAAAAAGTAACGATAGTAAAGAAGTATACTATATTGTCAGATTTTCCTTCAATATTCGAATTACAAACTGATTACAACTCATTTGGTCGAGATGAAATACATTGAATAAAAAACACGTATCACTGCAACTAAACTGCTCGCACGAGGAAACTGGGCGTCAGAGAAAGTACGATTTCATCTGTGCGTGACGCTTCACTCAGGGATGTACCCATGGGCTGGAGGAGACCCAGAGGAAGGCCTCGCGCGACCTGGAAGACCCAAGTCTCCGGCCCCTCGAAGAACTACTAGAACTTGCTCAAGAATGGACAGCTTTTTGCCGTTTAGTCACCACAGTCACTTGGTGGCCTTGTGGACATTCGTTGTTGTTGTTGTTACTTTTGCGGTAGGTTTTTTTTATTGGCGTGATGCATCCGCGCGGCGTCCTCTAGCTGGGTGTCAGTGCGCCCTCAATTGAAGAATTTTTGAGTCAGGTTTCGAATTGCATATTCATATGTACGAATTCGTACGATCGATGCTTTAAGGGTAGTTTTCATCATTTTTTATCATAACGTTATGTTGCGAGTAATAGCAATACGTTTTGGAGTGTTTTTATAGAGATAATGTAATACTCAACTATTCAAAGTCTGAATAGCTCATAAAATATCTGTCATCTGTGACTTCAGAGGACAGTGAAATCGGGGCATGTACCACTATAAGGACCTGGGTACAATAGCAAAGTCTCTCCATTAACTGTTGTCTTTTGTGCTTGATTGCGCACACTCTTAGGCCTTTTACAAAAAAACCCGTTACACATAGACAGACATCAGACAGCGTGGAAAACTTTTATATAGGATATGATAATGTATTCAAAACAAAGCTATTAGTTATTGTCATGTTGTGCAGGTTATCAGTTTGCGTTTGACCTTAACTGGTTGCTATAGACATAAAGTGTCTTTTCAGTAATATATTTTCTAGGGTAAAACGTATTTACATTTACATTAAGTGTTTACATTTAAATACTGTAACTCTTATGCATATTCTAGTTTTCATCGTGTCTGCAAAGAAATCATTGTCACTTCGCTTTGAATTTGAATGACTCAAACTGAGTCAGCATTATTTCACGGTCTGCAAAGTCATCGTGACTGAAATCATAATCATAACAGGTGCCGAAGTTCACAATAAAAACTTGTTGATGACGACATCGTGTAATCCATAGTGCACTGACTAATGCATGCAAGGTGGATTGACTATCAAAATCAAAGCGTCAAAACCATGAAGCTCAATCCCTGATAGTTGGGGCCGGTTACCATGCTGGACTATCGACACAAATACTTTCGCTAAATGATACAATGAGTCAGCGCAATGGCCTTGCTATACATGTAATTCGAAAAGTAACGTCAATAGTCTGACCATGGAGGTAGAAAACTACCTCCATGGTCTGACCTCAAAATTGAGAGTGCTTGCACTTTGAAAACCTATTGCAATGCTAATGATTTCCATACACTTTGTGCAGCCAACCGCGACATGACTGTACCCAGTGGTACTGCTGTACACAAGTGCTAACCAAATCCAGTTCACGGTATTCTGTACTACTGCGAATGGGTGTTGCTATCTTGGGCGCTTCCTGTAATAGAATGTTTGTGTATCATCAACTGCAGGTTACAATTTACAATGACGAATATGAACTTGTTGTTTGGAACGGCCGCGGTACGCATTGGTAGTGTCATGATACGTAAACAAGAGGTTGGGGACGATTCATTACATTCAATGTGGATGCATCAGCCTGAGGCAACTTTCACACACACGCAGAGTTGAAAAGCCGCCAGTTTTAATATAAGTTGTCCGCGCTGAATCGTACGATAGACTCAACCATTCCGCTGTTTGTGTTCAAGTGCTCGTGTTCGGGCAACTGGCGTGCAGACAGTCACAGGCTTTTGAAGTACGCGGTATGTGGCTGTGAAATCACTGTCACACTGCTATTAATTATAGCCGTATTGTGTTGGGACGGCATAAACTTGTATCGCACAAGCACAAGAACTTTCTGTTTACCTAGCCCCTGTAAATCATGGCAGGAACAACCGACTTAGTTAGCACTGATGGATCGAGGTTTGCGCTGGAAACCAATGGGGCAAACTCCACCGCGACAGAGTTCATCACCCATGGGTATAGTATGGCAACAACCCCAGACGACAATGATGAGGATTATTACGACGGGGAGTTCACGTTCAACGACTACACCCAAAGATGCATCGTGGGTACCATATTCGTCATCGTCTCCATTGTGGGGACATTCGGGAACGGACTGGTCATCCTGGCAGTCATCTTGTCTAGAAAGCTCCGGACAGTGACCAATGTCTTCGTGGTCAACCTGGCTGTGGCTGACTTACTGGTGTGCCTGATCCTGCCCTGGAATGCAGTGGGGCTGTTCACCAGCCCTGAACTGGGATGGCCCCTGCCGGAGAAGCTGTGCGTCGCCGTGGCTTTGATCTCCTACACATGTGGCGGCTGCAGCCTGTACACGCTCGCCACCATTGCCATCAACCGTTGGATGCTCATCACCCGTCCATCAAGGACATACCGTACGTGCTACAAGCCGGCCTATCTCGCGGTCATGGTCACCGTCGTCTGGTTGATTCCCCTCCTCGTGGCTTGGGTTCCTCCGATGTTAGGACTCGGTGAGCTGGGCTACACGGAAAAATACAGCACCTGCACTCACAAGAACTCTCACGAATTGGCGCCTTACTACAGTCTTCTGCAGTCTATAATCTTCCTCCCCGTCCCTTTTATCATAATCATCGTCAGCTACGTGAACATCTTCAGGCACGTCAGGCAGCACACCAAGGTCCTGATGACCAACCAGGAGAAGTCCGTAGAGTTATCGGAAACCTCAAACTATCGGGAGAATAACACCAGCGGAGCCAGGGAACTGGAGCCGTCGTCTCCTGTCGGGCGCTCGCAGAACCTGAGCGTTGCAAAGAAACGCCTAAGCAGGCGCCAGGTCGAGATCACCAAGAACCTGTTCTACGTGGTGTGCGCCTTCACCGTCTGCATCTTACCCTACGGGATCGCTTTACTTATCCCGCCCAGTGACCCAATCATTCCATGGACTGCTGCTTTATTTCTCGTCAACAGCTGCATCAATCCCATCATCTATGCCACCAAGCACCCGTACTTTAAGCAGGTCTTTAAGCTGATGCTGACCTGCCACTGCGGTAAAATCCCTGAGCAATCTGATTTTCTTCGTTCCGTCCGGTCAACTGTGAGGCGTAGTCGTGGACGAAGTAAGCGCCATAACTAAATAACTAATACATCCGTTCGAAAACTACATGATATCGAGGACGTTGGTTTTATTGGGGTTTTTTCTTGGGAGAGTGTATAAATGTGTATATAAGAAGCCTAAAACTTTTCGGCCGCTTATTAGTAACAATGTCATGATCTTTCTTTCTGCACACCGTACCCGTGCAGCCAACGTATACTACATGTATGTGTTTCTTGTCTACTACGGGTTGAAGTTGAAAAAAAAGAGTAGTTACTGCGATGTCCGTTTACGTTACAAATGGTAGTTGCAAAACTTACAACCATCATTGTTTGCACCGTTTATGCCTTATATCAGGTTTCTATATTCGAAACACATGACCTTAACTTGGATGAGAAAACAGTTAATACTGCTCTAAATACTTAATTTTATATACTTTTAAGAACTTCACTGCAAGGACAAAATTTTGATAGTTCTTCATACTGCTAGTGATGTACGTTTATTAATGTAAATTGTATGCAGTCATAATAAGGTTTTATATTTGTTACACAAAAAGTACCATGTGGCTTATTTTGTACAACTCCCATGAGTGACAAATCCTTTTTATTATTATGTTATGCAACATGTATATACATTGTGTAATGTGTAATCGTCTATACAAAGTGTATATGACTTTCTCATTTGGTCAATTACAGGAAATGCTATAATAATGACATGTATTTTCCCGTAAGTTTTTCTTTACAAAGGTATGTTGTCTGGTATGTCATATAATTAAACAATTAACAACTCCGGTAAACAATGAAATGCCTGGTCGGGACATATTAAAAGACAAAACATAATTCTCACATGGAAACACAATGTACGTCCAATAATTATACCTCCACAAAATACTAAGACATATAATTATGAACATTTGCTTTTTTGCACATTTCTATCATTTGAAGTAACGAAAGCACTCAATGATCTTAAAGCATGGTGAATAACAACTATAACCTGTTGAAGTTTTAGCTCTGTGACTACTAAACATTTTTAGAAAACAGAGATAACATACGAAATGTGGGTTTTCGTAAATTAATGTTATAATGCCAATGCTAATGCATGTTAAAAAAATTTCCAGCAGGCACCCTATTTTGAATCGTCCTCAATGACTGTTTTCTTAACAATACCCTTTCAGACGGAATAATTCACAGGGTATTTGATAACAGTTTTATCTTCACTTTTGAGCAAGGATCAGGTCATTCAATCAGTGTTTTCCGGGCGATTGTAAAAGATCCTACGTCCCAATCCATTGTTTTGTGAGTTAATAATACTAACTCTCATCAAGCTTGCTCTAACACAATGGGAATCACATACTTGGAATATATATTTCAAAGTCAATAGTCAAATTCTGCGCATTGGGGAACTAGATAAAAGTTCATGAGTTGCCATCGAAGGAACACACTGCCCGTTTGTGTCAATCTCCACTAAACAGCGGGAGACGGAAAACAACTGGACGCACCCCAATGAGAAACCAATTTTGATCAGGCCTGAGCCTTGAGATAGAGGTCAGATTTTCCGTGAAGTTTTCAATTTCATGCACGGTACGGCAACTCTGTGCTACCTGACAAGGCTGACATGTAATGGTGTGTATTGGAACTATACAATAACTTGTTCCAGACACATGCAGGCATTAAGTCCTTGTGTGAAAGGAGTATGGATTATTTCGCTGTGACTAACACACTGTACAGGGCGAGCAGGCGCGGTTCTAGAGCCCATATGTTTGGGGGGGGGGGGGGGCTAGCAGGGTTGGATTCATAATTTTTTGCAGGGAAGCGTGCTGAAATGCAGTCCGTTTTGTTTTCTACGGACACTTAGGCCTCCGAAAATCAATCTAGCTTTAAAACCGGAAATCCATTGTAGTCAGAATTTCTGTGAAATCTAATCATAGTTCCTAATAACCTCAACGGTTGTTTGTGAAGGGATAGTATACTTCAGAGAAAATGTTTGCTGGTACCAGAAAGGGCCGGCCTATAGTCATCTTTGTACGTCACTGATGGACCCACTGACTGACTCACTGTCACGTATTATGAGCCGGGCAGTGCTATCGCATAGGATTACCCCGTAACGTCAATGAATGGGCTATATCTGGCTCATAAAACCATTTCCAGCAAATAGCCCTTCTGAATCAATTGGATAGCATTTTGCGGGCTCTGAGACCAGCCTTACTAGGCTCGCCTTGCCCTGTTACTTTGTAGACGTGATCAGGCTCTCCTTGTTCCATTTCACAACAATGCCAATCTATCATAATTCTTCGAAAATAGTCTGGAAAGAACATACCAGAGCGCGTAAGCTTATATATGTAGATTGGACCGCCACAGACAAGCACACAGATAAAACGAAGCTGTTTTGATCGGTATTAGCCTACACGAGTAAAGCCAAATTCAAAAATGTTATTCCCATCTTCACTATTCTAATCAAAATAATGTCTGGTTTCTCTAGTCTTTGAGGAATCAACTGAAATTCTAGCTGAAATATACGTAAACACGTTTCAGCTTTCGATTTTTTGTACACCGTCCGTTTAGTCAAATATTTGTACAAGAAATAAAGCTAATTTGACTTATTTTCCCGTTGCGACCCAGCTGTTGGACCTCTCACATCTGAACAAAGCTGTTATATAGGGTATAACATTCGGTTGAGTGCCCAGAGTAAACCAACAGTAAGCGTTCGTAGGGCGGATCCAGAACTGAATTTTCGGGGGGGGGGGGGGTTACTGGCAAGCCGCTGTTGTGTGAATTTTGGACTTATTCATTCTTGGTATTAGTTAAAAACCACAGTTGCGACCTAAAGACAGAATTGCGGAAGTAGACAATAAAATCATCACAATATTAAATCAACCATTTGCATTTGAAAGCATTTAATGTTAAACTCATTATATGAAAGTATAGATTCGTAAGACATCATGGAACGACAGTTTAAAATAATGGGGAAATGGGAAAATGCAGTTAAAAAAATACACCTGATGGGGAGTCGGGGACATGAAAAAACTTACTTCGCACTTAAAAAATCTAATCACTTAAAAATAAAATATTGAAAAGGGTGACCCTAAAAATGTCGTAAAAAGAAGAGAATTCAAGCATGAGGCCTATGTTTTAACAAAGAACAAAGTACAAATTGATACATTATAACCATGGGGGAAAATTCTACAAATGGTTGTAGAATTGCGCATACCTTAAGGGAAGATAATTAGGAAAGTGACAAGTCATGGGTGAGGGTTAGCCAAGTGGACTCCCCACCTCCCTACGTACGGAGGGCACCTGGGCTAGGGTGAGGGTTACAGTCCATATGAGGTAAAAGAGACCTGGTTTCATAGGAGTCCAAATTTCATTTTCACACTCCGACCCCTGATGATAAGGGTGCTCTTTTTCCCTGTTTTATCTCGTACAGGTTATGTAATATTTAACAAATCCATAGATGCAAAGGAGATGAGTAGCGTCGATTTAAAAACAGTCATCTTCACTCCTCTCCTGGTTACATCACTTTAAAAATAGCACTATTTGAAGGGCATGATGATGTGTTTCATTAATATCGGGGAACTGCTGTTAGGGTCCCATCTTTAGCAAGAAATGTTTACATCAAAAGAATTAGGAAGCTCGTATCGGAAATGATTTGATCAGGTTTTGGTTTCGAAATGGACACAAATCAGACACATTTCCGCATGTAGGTCTACTTTTTTTCAAGCGAGCATGTGACGGGGGGTTTTCCATTCTATGAAAAGACTACACATAAACAAACAGTTTATTCTGTTGTGACACAGTAGTGATGCAACACCTTGGGGCCTTATGGAGAGAAAACAATGAGCGTAATTCGTAAGATGTTCCATACTTTTAAGAGATTCTTTATCCAACGAGAGTTGGGACTCGGGATTTTCCAATGCAATTGAAAGAAGAAACACGCAATGTAATAGGCCTACTGTATTATTACAGGCATATTCAAAAGGAAATGAAATTCTAAAATCAAACCTTAATCTATTTGTTAAATAATTTTTTTCTTCAATGTACGTTTAAAATCAGCTGGAATTCCCCTGGTTTAGTACCCTAGTCTTTATATGGGTCTGTCTATATAGACCATGCTGCACTGTGCACTCATGGAGGCCCTTTTCAATGGCGAACGCACTGTGTCAGCTATTGAGTATTGTTCAGATAATCCGCCATGGGCAGTTGCTTTATCCCATTCACCATTGAAGGGGGTCTCATTGCATGAAAAGCCTCTTTCGACGCTGGATCTGAGGCATCTAGACTCAGTCCTATGTTTTTACAATCGAGATCGCAGTAAGGATGTGAGACTGTCATTTGACGCCGGCCTGCGCTTACTAAATTTGGGGACACGTTGGCAGTTACCCCACGTTTGCTGGAATTTCTACCATTCTGAATTTGTATTTAGAACTTTGTGAGCATGCGCGACCTTGAAGTATCTGCTCCGCAAAAAGCTGTGCGCACGTCAGTAATGAATGAGTGCAATTTGTTCACGAGACAAAGTGTGCACGGTAAGTAGGTTTAACGGGTTTTAAAACACAGAAAGCTTCCGATGTAAAGCCTTGAATCGTGTCTTTCAACCTTGGCCTGTCTGACAAACAAAACAGGATGGCAGATTCGGATCTTTTTCATGGAGATCCATGGAATACCATTCGCGAATCGGATATAATTATTATTGAGAGGTGTTATCCCAACGACTGTTTAATGGTGTGTCACTGATGGCTTGTTCAATGTCTGCAATAATACTTAGAATTTATATCATCGGCATTATTTTGCATCACAGTGGCACTGCCGAATCACACTCTACGCTGTAAAAAAAATGCCCAAAATAACATTTGTGTTGTGATCTTTATACTCCTGTCTATAATCCAATTTTAATAAATACTGAAAGACAGTTCGGCACAGTTTTTGTTGTGCATGCGACTGATTTGTGCTCAAATGTCATATGCACTTTTTTCACACAAACTGGCAAATGTTCTTATCCTCATCAAAGCCCGTAATTTACTCGACATATGAAGTTTGACACTTTCACATTGTCAATAAGGGCTGCTTTTTAAGAAGTAAACGGCCTTTTTTCCTCAATGAAAGCTGAATGAATCGACTTTTCAATCTTTTCAATCATAACTGCTATTCAAATAGGGCATAATATATTTCTTTGATAAAATAGCGGTAACTTCAAGTTGAAGGTGTACTAAATTAGGTTGTGCGGACAAATCCTTTTCAGTGCCAGCGGAAACGCAGCCCACTGGTCTTGAAACAATACATCTTTATCACGATGACCATGCAATAACAGGACAAAGCCTTCCAGTCTACCGGAAATAAAATACCTCAACAATAAATTAGCTCATATTAGCGAGACAATGGATTTACCTCGCTTCTAAAAACCTTTAGTATCACTCAGGCAGAGTCACTGACCTATAGATTTCTCTCACGGAGTCAACACTGATCCCAATGAACTAATACTTGGAATGTACTTTTGCCAGTAATATATATTTTAAAGGGGTTATTAAAGATTTCCCGTGCAATTTTCGAGTTTCACCTATAAAAAAAAGTTTTTTTTTAATTGCTATTTTCCTAGCAATATAAACGTTATTCACTTTTAAATGACACATTAAACGGACAAAAAAAAACCCACCGACGTTTATTTATTGATTATTTCTTCACAAAATTCGAACAACAATTCGATTATCAAGGCGGGTCATTTGTGCACAGAATGAAAGCCCCTTTTTAGAGGGTTGCGGACGCCTAAAATCGGAACAAGGTAGATTTTCGTTATATCAAAACATACTAATTGAAAAACCGCTAGGACGAAACTTAAAAAAATCCATTTTCCCCAAGAGTATCTTTAAAGATTTGACGGTCCTTGGGCAAGTGAGCTGATTGTCATTTTCATTTGTATGAAAACCAACCTTGCTATGATACTAGACTGGAACGGAAAGCACAGACGCTGCCAGAAAAGACATTACTCTTAATACGGTCAATAGAGGGCGATAGAATCCTGGACGGACAAGAGCCGTATGCGAAGTTGTTTCCGTAGGCGCGTGAAGCAATTTCAGGAATAATTCAGACTTTTGATGGAAAATTATGTCTATTCATGAGAAAGGAACAATGACGTCACATCATTGTTATTACTTAGTCAACTAGTTCATTAAAGTACAAAAGCCGTACAAAATTTCTAGTTCTCCATAGGTTTATGCACAAACATGGATGCGCCCAGCAGGCATCACTTTCTACATGACTCAGCGCTCTAATAATTTAATATAGCTCTATGACTCCGCCCCAATAACTTTGGATCATTCGAAATACGCAGTGGAAGCACTGGGAACCAGTCCAGGTCACCCCCAATTCTCCTTTTGGGCCGTTGAAGGGATACTGTGCACGGAGCCATGAAGGACATCTTGGTCTTCTTTTTCACTTTCAGATTTCACCTAACGACCAACACAAAGTTCAGAAATTCTCATAAATAAACCGATTTAGGGGTATGCATTCGTAAGTTGCACTAGTCCGCATGTATTTTAGATTTTCGGAAGTGAGAGGACAATTTTGGCACGACAATTCTTCTTCATGTCAGGCAATTTTTCAGTTTCTATCAATTGAGATGCTAGTAACAATTTTACAAAGGCCTTTTTTGAGGGTGATTTTATTAAGAAATCAATGTACCATAAAATAATGATCGCAAATGTTTGAATTTGTGCACGTTAATTTTCCTATTCAAGGGTTCCGGAATCGCGCTAACAGGGGTAAACTCTCAGGCTCTATTAATGCAAGTACGTTTAAAACCGATTAGGAGTCTGGTCGCGAATAATGGCCCAAGGTTTATCTGTTTATTCCCTAATTATTGGAAACAAATCCAAAATTGCTGAAATAACGTCACACAATAATGCAAATCTCGATTCATTGCTTCGGGCCTGTTGGCTATTATAGTGTGTTGACGTCAACACAACAGCTACCTCCCTTTGAAAAATCCTGGCTCCGCAACTGAAGACAAACATTGCGAGTATCACTTGATTATTAGTTTGGCTATTTGGGGTCAAGATTAATGGTCTCTTATGAGCCATGTCGAGTCTGCCAAAACAAAGAGCGCCAGCACCAAGAAGTCTTCGTTCTCTCACTCAAATTTGGCCTAAATCAACGTCATGCTAACATACTATCCGTATGCATACTGTCCGAAACGTTGTGTTTCCCTGGTTCTTTTCCGAACCACAGACACTCACCAAAAATTGTTTTTCTTGTTACATGGTGATACTGCATACTTCTTCTTATTGCCGACTCTACTATCATGCAAACTTGTCTCCGTTTTGCTGATGCGTTTGCCCGTTGTTTTTGGTTGAATTACAGTTCATTTCAATGAGCAATTTCATTTCACGTTCTGTTGAGTTCATCTGGGACATACTTTCCGCAAGGTAGTCACGGGATGTTACTGAGATGGTAAAATTCATCTGCCAAGATCGATATTAAAAATTGACTGCAATGCCAGAGCAAAGGGTGACAGGTTCGTTGACATCCACAGAAATGAACGAAATAGAGAGGAAAGTTGGCAAGGGGAACGAAGCGGAACTGGATATGAAGGCCACGGGATGAAAACATTACTTTTGGCAGAGGAAAAGCCGTATACCGCTTCTGCGTTATCAGCATTGTTTCCGGTAATTTATAACGTTTGGGACCGTTATTCAACGACTTTGTTTCAGTTTCAAACCTTAGTTTTTACGGTTTTCTACCTTTATTGCTCCAACCATCCCGAAAACGGACGTGTGGCGGGAAATTCCCGTATTTTTTTTGTCATAACGCACGATGGGATTAACAATGCTGAGCATAATATGGGTGGAGTAGTTCTCATTACTCAGTGCATGTGTATACATGCTTATGAGCGTAAAACTCTTCCCGTCCCAACCCTGCAATTTTTCTCACCCTCACAACCGCCTGTTTAAAGCTGTGATTCGCATATAAGTCTAATGCATTTATGGTATGTAAGTGCGAGTACAACAAGATATACCATGGCGATTCCTTGTGCTGATGTGGCTTGATATTGTAATGAATACATACAGCTGTTGTAATTCAAGCTGTTGTCATTCAAGCTGTTTACTATTATAGGCGATCCCAATTTAGGGGCTCAATAAATCCGGGTCCCCGTTGTAAACCCGATGTACGCCTGTCTCAAAACCCTCCATCCAGCACCCCAAGTGCCTTACCCCGCGATCTACCCACAATAGGCCCCTTGACCTTGCCCATGGCGTGCGTCTGACGATGAAACGGAGAGAGTTGCTGGTACATAATGCGTATATTCTTCTGACGAATAATTAGGGGAAAACAAGTATTTACTGGAATTGGAAAAAAAAATCTGACGCAGTCACGCAGATTGCTCACAGCCTTGTCGCATTGGAATCATGGCCGTTGAAGACAGTCATGTTTAAAGAGAGTACATTTGCAAGCGGTACTCAGCTGATGTTCACCTGATCAATGACAGCCTTGATCGAGGGTCACATCGTACGTTGACGTCAAACCGTGGTTAGCTCAGAAAACAAACAAACAAATCAAGTTCATTATGGAGAACTCTACGGACATCCCGCCATTCGAATTCAGTGACATGATCCAGAGAACCATTGTCGCCTCGCTCATCCTGATCGCTTCAGTGGTTGGAATCATCGGCAACTCGCTGGTGATCTTGGCCGTGCTGCTGTCCAAAAAGCTAAGCACGACCACCAACGCCTTCGTGGTGAACCTGAGCATAGCGGATCTGCTGACCTGCCTTGTCATGCCGTGGGATGTCGTGGCTTTGTTGGGTAAAGATGGTTCGCCGGTTGGCGAGAGGATCTGCAGCGTGGTGGCTGCGGTCATCTTCACAACCGTCGGCTGCAGCATCTGTACGCTGGCCTCCATCGCCCTGAACCGCCTGCTGCTGATCACACGGCCGAAGGCCACATACCGGCGAATCTACACGCCAAAGAAGATTGCCGTTTGGCTGGTAGTCATCTGGCTGGTCCCACTCCTCACCACCAACATTCCACCGCTTCTAAACGTGGGTGCTCTGGGATTCAACGAACCTTTCCACTTATGTGGATCAATCCCCGCCCATCCCAACCACAAGGCATTCAATCTGATCATCTCAGCAGTCTTGTACCCAATCCCGTGTATCGTCATCTTAGTCAGCTACTCACTGATCTGGATTCACCTGCACCGTCAAGCCAAGAAGCTTCCTAAGCGACCCGTCACCTCCTCACCCATCAGCGTGTCCGCGATCGCAAACAACCAAGACGCTATTCCCATGGACCACCTCCCGGTACCAGCAGCTACCAGCAACGCTAACCGGTCTCCAGGAACTAGTCGTCAGACCGAGGTCACCAAGAATATGCTCTACGTCGTCGGCGCTTTTGGTATCTGCATCATCCCGTACTCAATCAACCTGTTTGTCGATGATAAAAGCCCATTAATACCCTACACCACCGTCATAGTGCTCCTCAATAGCTGCATCAACCCCTTGATCTATGCGACCAAGCACCGTGACTTCAAGACAGTCTTCGGCTGTATCTTACGTCGCCAGTGGGTCCTCATCCCAAACCCGTCCAACTTCCTTAAAGCACTCACGAGGTGATTGAAACAGTGTAGGCACGCTGGCTTACATAATGAAACATAATCTAAGAAGTCGGAGGTTTTTAAATAATAAAATTACACCATTAATGCTGCAGAGGGCTTCTGATTCGTTTCATGTCGAATCTGAACTACATTGTACTTGCCAGTTTAGATCACTTGATTACACTACAGCCTCAGACTGGTATTATTTTGGTATTAACTTCATGTCATTGCTTTCATTTCTCTTCGCAAGGTCCAAAAATGAAGATTTTTACCTCGCTTTCAATTTAATATAGCCAACTCGTAAACAGACAGGCGGTGAGCTTCCGGAACCCTCGCGCGGCCCGCCGATGGCCATATTGTACAGGTTTCTCGCTTTCTTGCTATACTCTTTGACAGAATGATTTTTAACCATAATCACCTCCAAGAAACAATCATGTTGGAATTTTATCTCGGTATTCCTCAAGAAAGAAATGACCAGAATTCACTTGGAGATGGGTACCTATGACCTTTCACATCCGGCATTTTCGTTCTAGGGCTGTGGGTCATTCACGTTTGTTTTCACATCGCTTACTCCCTTGAGAAGGAAAATGAATAACGAAGCGAAGATTTACCTACTTATAGCCTATGCGTTTTAGATTTAGTCGGGCTGGCTTGAATGCAGTCCGTATCAGCGGTCATTTTAGTTTTTGTAAATTCTAATGAGTCTTTCAAGTTTATTAAAGCAAATTGGACCCCTATTTAAGTTTCGGTTTTCACCCAATGACCGCCACAAAATTATTTCGTAAATGTTCATCTTTGTAGGAGTTCACCGAGTTCCACTATAAGCAACAATTTTGGTTAAGCGCTAGGGCAATATTTGGCCCGACGTCAGGCAATATTTCTGTTTTCATATATAATTGAGATGCTAGTAACAATTTTACAAAGGCTTTTCGAGGGTGATTTTCTTCAGAAAACTCATTGCAAATTCTAGAATTCGTGCACGTTAATTTTCCTATTCAAGGGTTTGGAAGGGCGCTACCAGGGGCAAACTTTCAAGCTCTATTGAGCTGATTGTCATTTTCGCTGACCTCGCAAAGCGTACGGGACGCGAATTTTTTATTTAAAAACCATGCTCCATAGGAAAGCGCACAAAGTACCCCAGATAGTTGTGTAATAAAAAATATCGCATACGGGACTGCATGGATTGGAACGGGAAGAATGGTGCCGGAAAAGGAATGGATTACAAATTATGATCAATAGAGGGCGGTAAAATTTCGGACAGACGATAGGCGTATAGGGGTGCAACAAAGTGGATAGGCCAAAAATCAATCGGCTGAGCTCATGAATATAAGTTAAACACTCAAATTCTTCTATATTAGAGAGTTCTGAGAGCCATGGAATTGCGGAATTGAAGACATATGGCACTAGCGTATTCCTCTGGCCTGGACATGGGGCTTCTAATTCAGAGCCTTTTGGATGCAATTGGGTCCGTAAAAAAGGCGCTATTTAGCCATGTTGTATAGAGGGATTCTTATTTTTTCGAAATGGCTACTTTTCCAGTTTGGGAAACATCTTTCGTTTTAGGGGTTATCTTCTTTGGGTGAGAATTTCTCCTAAAAGCCATAGGTCAACCCACCAAAAATTGAAGAGAAAGATGACATGATGATCATCTTTTTTTTTTCTGTGCAGCCTGAATACCTATGAGAGCTCTGAGGATTTTGAAAAGATTTTTGAAGTATGGGGATTTTACACTGGCGTCTCTTGGAATTGATTTGCTTGGGTGCATCCATACGGCAGACGTTTTCACAACATCGCTTCGAATAACTGCCGACGTAGCGCGAATGTAAGACTCTAGGAAGTATTGGTAGTACTGCACATTCCTAAGAAAAGATAATTAGGATTTAGGATAATGACCAGTCACGTGAGAAGGTTTCACCAATAATAGGGCAAATGAGTCCGATTTTCATAGGAGTTCGAATTTCATATGACACCGGCATTACAGAGCGACAATAACCGGATTGTTATGACGGGAAAATGACGGATCCAAGGGGTTGTTGGGATGGGTAGTATAAGCCCATCCAACCCTTCCCGGCAGTGAATTTTTTTCCCCAAACGATATCCGCATATGGGTGTATAGGAACACTTTGGCGTTGTGGACCTTACTTCTCTTAAAAATACGAGAAGAAAATATAAAATTAGAAAAAAAAAGAAATGAATTCGAACGTAATGAAATTCGGACTTTATTTCTTTTAAAAAAAAATCCTCCGAAGCCTCAGATCAGAAAAGAAAAAAAATGGGTGCAAAACGGTGATTCGAACCCACAACCCCGCGGTGCAAAATCACGACCCTATCGACTGAGCTATCGCACTACACCCCAAATCCTGGGGGGGGGGGGGGGGGGGGGGGGTTATATATACCTGCGTACGCATCATAAAAGTATCGTAGAGGGCGCTAAACAACTATGTATGTGGATGTAGTTTTGGAAAAGAAAATTCGTTTCCCGGCCGTCTGACCAGCAGCGTTGATTAAATATAATAGAGTTTATTTCTAAAACGCGACATATCCATTTGAAAAATGTGAAGAAAAAAAACATTTGCACCTTGATAAAACTTTAAAGAATAACATTAAATACATGTAAAACAGCTGTTTCTGAACTTCATTGTTCGCTTTATTGTCTTTTCAAATAAACTCGTCGAAATTGACTTGACTTTTGGCAGCCAGTAGAGGGCGGGATTCTAAAAGGTTACAAAATGACGTTTATCGCGTTTTTGGAAATAAACTCTTCATTGGAAATAAATTCAACATTTAAGTTACAACGTCCTGCAATATTGCTTTCGGGCATGTTATATAACGTGTTGACTTCAACACCACAGCCACCTCCCAAATCTTGGCTCTGCAACTGTAGACATTAATTTTGATAATTGGTTTGGCTTTTTGATGGAAATGCTTATATCTGTTTCTGTAAATCAGCTTTCAATTTAAGGCAGCTGCAAATTAAAACATTTTGATTGGCTTTCTTTTGAGATAAATGCAACAAGTGATTACATTGAATCTTGCTAAAATTGTATTATATAGGCAATTTAAGAACATAGTATCATCCTTTCCCTTAAACATGTTATATGTTTTTAAATGTGACAAGAAAGCGTTTACATATTAAACACTACGTTTCACATTGAAATGAGCCATGTCAAGTCTGCCAAGAAAAAAAAAACATCATCAAGAAGTGCTCGTCTCACACAAAATACATAAATTGCTCCTGCCAACGATCTGCTAACATACTGCCTGCATGCTGTCCGAAAATTGACTTTCCCGTTGCTTACCCGGACCACATAAACTTACAAAACAGAAACAGATTTCTTGTTACAAGGTGCTATTTCATATGATGTAATAAATTTAGTAACTTTTGTATTTATTTGCTTATTCAACCTTGATTCAATTTTTATTTTATTTATTTTTCTTATGTTTGATATCTCCTGTATAAGTTTGATTTATGTACTTTCTTTTTTAAAATCACTACCTGCCTTTAGAGCTTCACTAAATTGAATTAATTTAATTAAATTAAGTTTCATTTCATTTCATGTAATTCAATTTTTGTGAACCTTTTAGTCAGGAGAACACCTCGACTGAGACTTGGTGTCTTTTGAGCGATCCTTCAGGAGCTTGTTGTTTAGTTTGCTGTTGTCCTTTAATATTTGTTTGTCTTGGTTTTACTGTCTGTCCCGAGAAAAACAGTAAATATAAAAGTAAAATGTAAATGAAACGGAGAGAGTTGCGGGTACATCAACGCATATATTCTGAAAAAAAAATTGACCTGGAATTAGAAGAAAAAAAACCAATGTTCGCGCTACACTGAAAATTGGACAAGGCAGTGACGCAGATAGCAGCACTTGCCGCATTGGGAATCATCACATATTACGGCGGTTCATACAGTCATAATTAATGAGAGTAAATTTGCAAACGGTTCTCAGTTGATGTTAGCTCACCCCTGATCAATGAAAGCCTTGATCGATGATGACAGCTAGCTACGATGACGGCGAATCGTGTTAAGCTCAGAAAAGCATATTAGTCAAGCTCATCATGGAGAACTCTACGGACATCCCGCCATTCGAATTCAGTGACATGATCCAGAGAACCATTGTCGCCTCGCTCATCCTGATCATATCACTGGTTGGAATCATCGGCAACTCGCTGGTGATCTTGGCCGTGCTGCTGTCCAAAAAGCTCCGCACGACCACCAACGCCTTCGTGGTGAACCTGAGCATAGCGGACCTGCTGACCTGCCTGGTCATCCCGTGGGATGCCGTGGCTTTGTTGGGTAAAGACGGCCTGCCGGTTGGCGAGTGGATCTGCAGCATTGTGGCTGCGGTCATCTTCACAACTGTCGGCTGCAGCATCTGTACGCTGGCCTCCATCGCCACGAACCGCCTGCTGCTAATCACAAGGCCGACGGCCACATACCGGCGAATATACACGCCAAAGAAGATTGCCGTTTGGCTGGTAGTCATCTGGCTGGTGCCACTCCTCACCACTACCATTCCCCCGCTCCTAAACGTGGGTGCTCTGGGATTCAACCAACAGTTCCACTTTTGTGGATCAATCCACACCCATCCCAACTACAATGCATTCAATCTGATCATCTCAGCGGTCCTGTACCCAATCCCGTGTTTCGTCATCGTAGTCAGTTACTCACTGATCTGGATTCATCTGCACCGTCAAGCGAAGAAGCTTACTAAGCGACCCGTCTCCTCCTCACCCATCAGCGTGTCCGCGATCGCAAACAACCAAGACGCTATTCCCATGGATCAGCTCCCGGTACCAGCAGCTACCAGCAACGCTAATCGTTCTCCAGGAACTAGTCGTCAGACCGAGGTCACTAAGAATATGCTATACGTCGTCTGTGGTTTTGGTCTCTGCACAACCCCGTACTCAGTCAACCTGTTTGCCGATGATAATAGCCCATTAATACCCTACACCACCGTCATAGTGCTCCTCAATAGCTGCATCAACCCCTTGATCTATGCGACCAAGCACCGTGACTTCAAGACAGTCTTCGGCTGTATCTTACGTCGCCGGTGGGTCCTCATCCCAAACCCGTCAAACTTCCTAAAAGCACTCACGAGGTGATTGCAACAGTGTAGGCACGCTGGCTTACACAATGAAACATAATTATGTGAGTCATAGGAAGAAATAAACTCGCACAATTAAGGCTTCTGATTTGTTTCGGGTGGAATCTTAACTACTTGTTTAGTTTAGTCTCAGTCAACCGCTCACGGTTAGAAGTTTTTTGTATAATAATTGTAGTTACCTCTCAATATTGTATGAGTTTTTCGAAGCTAATCCCATTTCATTTAGAACAATATTTCAATGTTGTCATTGTCCACAATGTGTACCATCTTGTATAAGAAAAAATGTATAATTGGAAGGGTATTATAAAAAATTATACAAAGGTGCAAATTAACACCAATATTTAGGTATAAAGGTGAAGCGAAATGTTTTATCAGTGACACATGTGTCAATGGTGGCCATAGGAAGGTCTGCAATTTTACTTAGAATGCACATCGGCATGCACTGCCGAATCTCAGTCTACGCTGTAAAAATGCTTAATGTAACATTTGCGTTGGGATCTTTATACTCTATATTCTACATGATATTTAATTACATTTTCATAAATACTGAACGACAGTTCGGCACAGTTTTTGTAGTACATGCGAAAGATTAATTGTGGTCGAATGTCAAGTATGCACACATTTTTTTCACAGACACATTAACTGGCACATGTTCTATTGTTATCCTCATCAAAGCCCTAATTTACTCGAAACATAAGGTTTGAATCACATTGTCGATTGCGATATATTATTAATTTACTTCGACATTTCTGTCGCGGGTTGTGGAAAAGGTTACATAACCCATATAAAATCCACAGTCGCGTTAAAAAAACCTGGACTTTTCCGGGAAATGTATTTCGGGTCATTTCGGGAAATTCTGTGATGAGGACTGAATTTACAAAGGCTCCTCGCTGTCTACTGAATTTGACCAAATACACAGAGTTTGTCCAAAATAACATTATTTGTCGGCTAATAGCCGACAGCTATACCAAAAAAGCTTCAGAAGACCCTTACTTTTGTTACATCTTTGTACCAAATTCAAACAATGATTCACAATGTAATTTGAATCAAATCTAAAAGTCATTGGATATATATTTAAACATCATTTTAGAGGTGCATGTCTTGTTGCACTGGGCACGATTTTAAGGTCTCTTCTTCTGTGTACGTCCGAAACTGAAAAGGGCAATTATTTAAAATTACAAAATAAATTTACAAAAGTGCAGTGATTCAAATCTTGTGTGCACTATATAACCACTACTTAGTGGGCCATCTATGTCTTACAGGTTTGAAGAAAAAAGGTGTCGGACGTACTCTGAATGTGAGTCCGAAACCGTTTATGTCCGAAACCATGTTTGCAGGAACAGCATACGCATCCTTTACATTCAAATTATTGATTAAAACGAGGTCTTTAATGTATATTTATTAATTCTAACTTAGATCCAACAACTAAAATTGCAAAACAAAACAAATTAACAAACACTCATCAGTAATGTGTTTGTCACGTGGACAAACACACCTGTTTCGGCTGTTTGGAATGACTCTTGATTTGTGATGATATTGTCATGATGTCACTAAATGCCATGCATAACACATTGCACTATAACACCAAGTTACAATCGAATCGGACCTTTAGTTCACTAGATACAGGCCTCAGAAAAATGTCCCTTTAATGTGACGTCACATTATTTGGGAATTTTTAAGGGCTATATCTTGGCGGCACTTGAATTTTCATCTTTAACACGTCCTGGTCTAGGTATCTACCAAGTTCCAACCAAATGGGACACACAGTTCAGTACAATAGACATTTGAAAATGCTCCGTTAATGTGACGTCGCGTGAAATGTGATGACGTCATCATGATGTAATATCAATTTCCATCTATAATGCATCCCGGGATGGGTACATACCAAGTTACAACCAAATCAGATTTATAGGTCTTTAGATAAAGGCCGTAGAAAAATTCCCCATTAATGTGGCGTCACATGAAATGTGATGACGTCATGATGACGTTACTTTAATTTTCATCTATTACACATCCCAGTATCAAGTTGCAACCAAATCGGACCTGTAGTCCTTTAGACATAGCCCTTAAAAGTGCCCCTATAATTTGAAGTCACATGTGACATGTGATGACGTCATGATGGCATCACTTGAATTTTCATCTTGAACACATCTCGGTAAATTTCCAGGTTTAAAAACTACCACGGTCAGGGGCAAAATTCACTGGATTCCTCAGTAATTAATATAGTCATCACATCATATGCGTGTATACCAGTACTTATGAACACGTACACGTACACACAGTCGTGTTTTACTATACTCTCGAGGACAATACTTTGTCTTTTCCTTTGTCCCTGTAACATAACACTCTCCCATAGACTAAGCACACAAACGCACAACCGAGGACCGATTTCACGTACACGTGTACAATGCAATGTAGTTGTACTTGAATATTATGAAACTGAGGTTATAGAAACCATGCAGTAACCCAATTTTTTCTTAACTTTTCAAGAGTCTCTATGTAGATATGTTCCACAGTGACATACACAGGTTCTGAAAAAATTCAATTGTTTTAAGTGATTACCATAACTCTCTGTGTTGTATTTACTTGTTTATGTGTGATGTTGTGCTAGATTCGGGAAGTGCTTTAGATCTTAAATTCCTCAAAAAGTTTTTAAAAAAATCTGAGAGAAAAATGCGAGAAATAGCAAACTGCTTTGAAATCCTGGAATGAAATTTAAATATCGGTTAGATTTTCTAAATAAGACATTTCGGTTTTGGACGTAGGCCTACACCTTCTAAAACTGCAACATTTAACCACCAATTTGCATAATTTGAAAGATGACAAGTAACCGTTTGTTTTTTTGAAACTTGTTTTATTTCAAATCTGTGTGCTGTATTGAAAAATCACCTCAAATAAATCAATATTTCGCAAATGCACGTCCGAAAACGTGTAGGCCTACCTCCGAAACCATGAACGTGGGTCAATTTCACCAAAAAGACAAAAACTCAGTTTTTTCTGTCGTGTTTTCTTTAGTTTGGTCCCTCTTACAAACAAAACTGCATCAGTTTCCATCAATGGCCCAAACACTTCAGAGCGATTTTGAAGGGACCACAAGAAGTAAAACATTGCACTTTTTCTGAGTACGTCCGAAACCGAATTTTTTTTCCCCAGACTAATCGCGCATATTGCGAATGGTATTATAATCGTTTTCTCAAGAATTATACTTCTACCAGGGATGCTTGAAAAACGAGTGTTTCAACTCGACAGCATTAATACACGATGAATTGCAAGCCCCAAAGTCTCTGAAATGTACGTCTGAATTTCCGGAGTTATTAAAGGTTTGCATACATGTACATATGTATTTTCATTTGATATGTGTTCGGTCTTGCTGCAGTATTACGATCACTTGATTTTGTTTTTACTCCCCCCCCCCCATTTTTTCTACAACTCAATATTGTCATGTTAGTTTTCTCAGAAAACAGTTTACAATTTAATTGCTGCCCAGGTATTAATTTGCAATTATGAACATGTGTTGCTTAGTTCAAAATCACAAAAGGGTTTCCAGTCCACAATTTAGTCAGTGAATGCTTCAGAGAGCAACAAAAACCAGCAGTTTTCGCTTATGTCGTCCTGAATTATTAATGTCTCCTTTAGTCCTTTCCCATAAGGGCAATTCCGTAAAATCCAATTCTCTGCGTACATCCGACCACACGATGTACAAGGTCGTTGTTATGTGGTCGTACCTTGGTTTGGTCAGTAATTGTTTTCAATATTCATTAGTTGTCACATAATATTAGTAATGTATCACATTCACTTTTCCAACAGCAGCTCGTTAAAATGTCTGATATGTACGATCGAATTTACAGAATTGCCCATAAATGTAAACGAATTTTAAAAGCATGCATATTCGTAGTACAACCTTAGCAGAACCCTAGCATACCGGGGCAGGACATTCGTAGCGAATTCGTAGAGATTTCTACCACGAATGAGCTACGAATCTCCAAGAACATGTATAGGCCTACGATTAGCCTCGAATAACGCTACGAATTAGTACGGTTGTCCTACGGATGTCCCACGGTTGCACTATACGGATTGATTTTCATGGCGATTCTCCACGAAAGTTTGGAACAGTTTAAAACTTCCATAGGCCCTCCACGAATAAATACCCAAGGATATGTAATATGGTGTTCTATAGACGCCAAGTCTGCGTCGCGTCGTGCTTTCACGTCGTGCCGTCGCGTCGTACCGTCGCGTCGTGCCGTCGTCCGTCGCGTCGTGCCGTCGCCCGTCGCGTCGTGGCGTCGCCCGTCGCGTCGTGCCGTCGCCTCTTAAATTACCGTTTCTAAGCACGTACACTGCATGAGGAAGCGACGTACCTTCACACGTCGCGTCGTGCCGTCGTACGTCGCGTCGTGCCGTCGTCCGTCGCGTCGTGCCGTCGCCCGTCGCGTCGTGCCGTCGCCTGTTACCTCGGCGCTTCTAAGTAGACTGCTTGAAGAGGCAATAAGACATTTCGGTTTTGGACGTAGGCCTACACCTTCTAAAACTGCAACATTTAACCACCAATTTGCATAATTTGAAAGATGACAAGTAACCGTTTGTTTTTTTGAAACTTGTTTTATTTCAAATCTGTGTGCTGTATTGAAAAATCACCTCAAATAAATCAATATTTCGCAAGTGCACGTCCGAAAACGTGTAGGCCTACCTCCGAAACCATGAACGTGGGTCAATTTCACCAAAAAAACAAAAACTCAGTTTTTTCTGTCGTGTTTTCTTTAGTTTGGTCCCTCTTACAAACAAAACTGCATCAGTTTCCATCAATGGCCCAAACACTTCAGAGCGATTTTGAAGGGACCACAAGAAGTAAAACATTGCACTTTTTCTGAGTACGTCCGAAACCGATTTTTTTTTCCAGACTAATCGCGCATATTGCGAATGGTATTATAATCGTTTTCTCAAGAATTACACTTCTACCAGGGATGCTTGAAAAACAAGTGTTTCAACTCGACAGCATTAATACATGATGAATTGCAAGCCCCAAAGTCTCTGAAATGTACGTCTGAATTTCCGGAGTTATTAAAGGTTTGCATACATGTACATATGTATTTTCATTTGATATGTGTTCGGTCTTGCTGCAGTATTACGATCACTTGATTTTGTTTTTACCCCCCCCCAATTTTTTCTACAACTCAATATTGTCATGTTAGTTTTCTCAGAAAACAGTTTACAATTTAATTGCTGCCCAGGTATTAATTTGCAATTATGAACATGTGTTGCTTAGTTCAAAATCACAAAAGGGTTTCCAGTCCACAATTTAGTCAGTGAATGCTTCAGAGAGCAACAAAAACCAGCAGTTTTCGCTTATGTCGTCATGAATTATTAATGTCTCCTTTAGTCCTTTCCCATAAGGGCAATTCCGTAAAATCCAATTCTCTGCGTACATCCGACCACACGATGTACAAGGTCGTTGTTATGTGGTCGTACCTTGGTTTGGTCAGTAATTGTTTTCAAGTTGTCACATAATATTAGTAATGTATCACATTCACTTTTCCAACAGCAGCTCGTTAAAATGTCTGATATGTACGATCGAATTTACAGAATTGCCCATAAATGTAAACGAATTTTAAAAGCATGCATATTCGTAGTACAACCTTAGCAGAACCCTAGCATACCGGGGCAGGACATTCGTAGCGAATTCGTAGAGTTTCTACCACGAATGAGCTACGAATCTCCAAGAACATGTATAGGCCTACGATTAGCCACGAATAACGCTACGAATTAGTACGGTTGTCCTACGGATGTCCCACGGTTGCACTACGGATTGATTTTCATGGCGATTCTCCACGGAAGTTTGGAACAGTTTAAAACTTCCATAGGCCCTCCACGAATAAATACCCAAGGATATGGTGTTCTATAGACGCCAAATCTGCGTCGCGTCGTGCTTTCACGTCGTGCCGTCGCGTCGTACCGTCGCGTCGTGCCGTCGTGTCGTGCCGTCGCCCGTCGCGTCGTGGCGTCGCGTCGTGGCGTCGCCCGTCGCGTCGTGCCGTCGCCTCTTAAATAACCGTTTCTAAGCACGTACACTGCATGAGGAAGCGACGCACCTTCACACGTCGCGTCGTGCCGTCGTACGTCGCGTCGTGCCGTCGTCCGTCGCGTCGTGCCGTCGCCCGTCGCGTCGTTCCGTCGCCTGTTACCTCGGCGCTTCTAAGTAGACTGCTTGAAGAGGCGACGCACATATTGCCCGTCGCGTCGTGCCGTCGCCCGTCGCGTCGTGCCGTCGCGTCGTGCCGTCGCCCGTCGCGTGACTGTATCTTTCTTGGCAATAGGTGGCGCCTTCATTCTTCATGTACCTGTACTGTATTTATGACATGCGTGCCGTGCGGTGAAAGTGTTGCAAATTGCTATGTCGTACAGTTTGTACACGGTTTGTGGGGAGGCCTTTTATTAGTGGTTGCGGAGGTCCGACTCAATCAATTTCAAAATACATAGACTATTTTCTGCTTCCGATTGTCAAACAACAAAGCACATATACACGCGATTCCGGGCATGTGCTTGAAAAACTAAACAACGTGACATTGAAGCAGGATAGCCTATTGATCACATTGGATATTGTGTCCATGTATACGAACTGCCCACAAGATGAGGCAATTGAATCAGTTTGCGATGCACTTGAAGTTGCCGATAGCAGTATGTCCGCAATACCCAAACCTACAAGAGAACACGCTCGCTGTCTCCTGGAACTTATCATGCATCGAAACATATTTGAATTCAATGGAAAGTTCTTCAGACAGAAAATTGGCGTGGCTATGGGAAGCGAATGCAGTCCAGAAATATGCGATATAACCCTGTTCAAATATGAAAAAGAAATTATTCTCCCACACAATCCTTCAATTGTGAGTTACATGAGATACAGGGACAACGTCTTTATAATATTTAACGGTAACGAAGACCAAGCCGGTGACCTCGTCCAAACTGTAAACCAAATTCATCCCACGCTCAAGTTCACGTCAGAGATTTCAAACAGTCAAGTCACCTTCCTCGACCTCGTCATCTACAAAGGCGAACGGTTCAAAAAAGAAGGGAAACTGGATACTCGAGTAGCAACCAAAAAAACTGATACCTTTCAGTATCTTGCTCGAGTTCAGCCCACCCTGAGTCAGTGTTTGGCGGTTTGATTAAGGGAGAATTAATGAGAAATGACCGCATATGCACACACTCAAAAGAATTTGAGACAAACTTCAAAAACGCGGATACAATTTAGAAAACTTGAAATTCAACGACGATTTTTGCATCAAATATACTCGAATCGTATGGGCGAACTTTATGCTGCGTCATGTACAATTTTGAATTTGACGACCGTTACCGAGATTTTCCAAAACTCGGTCTTCATTCGGCTCCACCTGCTAAC